GTAAGCGCGAAGCTACCTTCGAAGTAGATCTTGTCTGTTCCTAAGCGTCTATATGCGATATTAAATACGAATATTCGAAAAACGATTCGTTCGAGCGAGCTTTAGCTAAAGCAATCAGAGTATTGCGAGAATCTAGGATAACTGTTTACAATTTCCTTGTTGCGAATAAAGATATTCAAGATATTAATTTCGAGTTTTTCCATTATGCGGCTACGCACGCACAGCGCAATGCGACCAATCGAGGATTCTTCCCAGGTATTCCCATCCTAATAGGACATGCGGACGCGGTGACTCATTTTTCTTGCGCGTTGATAGCGGTTCAAAAAGAGGCTAGACATTCTGAACTAAGCGCTCGACCACATGCACAAAGGATATGTGGAGCAAGGATCAAGATGGCTGTACCCTTGTCCGAAGCAACCCTTGCCATCGGAGCTTTGCGTTTAGCTTGCTCGGGCACAGCCGATAATTACATGTTCAACGACGTATTGGAACATGTCATGAATGTTCTTGGACGCTTTCCAGATTCATTTCTCCGCACCCGCATGCTAGTCATTGCAGCAATTCCCCTGGATACGGAATCGAGCGATTCACGGTACTTCAACGCATGGTCAACCTGTGATTCGAGTGTATTCATAAGTCAGCCAGCACTATTCATTGCTCGCGAAAAGCTGAACGGCACTCTAGTTCTAGCTCAATACACTAATTAGGCTTCTCTATATACTAATCAGATTTCAGATATCATCACAGTGATATCGTATCTCACTATCTCCGATCAGCAAAGCGCGACTTTTCTCATCCCCGTCTCAAATGATAGCTAGATCCACATTGTGTTAAAGACACCACAACGGAGCGGTATAATGAACGCGAACTTGATGATTAACCGCGAGCTGCGTGCTTCCGTTCAATTCATAAACACTCGTCCTAGTAACTTGAGAGCTACCACAGGTGCAAGTCCCGTTGCGGACCGTACGGAAAGGTTACATTTCTTGAGCAATTCCTTCGAAAACAGTTTTGCACAAGATAATGACTCTATATTCCGACGCTTAGGCGATCATCAAGTGCTTATGGGCCAGATGTTATGAGAGCTCATTGCGAGACGGGAGATGGACAAGGAGGCTATGTTCAACAGAGACGGGCGTTCGAAACTAACTATTGATATTGGACATCCGGAGTTGGCGCTGAAGGAATAAGAAGATGCCGATCGAAGAGCGTTTGATGCACTGGTTAGAAGATGTAGTCTTTCAGAGATAGAGGATACCATTAGGAGCTCGTTGTAAAGCCTTGTGTGTGAATGAAGGGAATGCGCGAGAGGTGTAAGATGAGATGCTGACCCACGAGAGGGTTCATACTAGGGCAATCTATATCTGAGCCAACAGCATCGACGTGCGCCAGGCGCGACTCCTTTCCGGCTATTTTGCGGACGCACGGCGCTAGGGCTCTATAGGAGTACTATCAAGCGCAAGCTAGGTTCTTATGCAGCGATTCGGTTGTCACACTTCAAAGTAATAAAGCTACTGGGTGTTACGATGCAAAGGCGCTCGGGGGTAATAGAATCTGATTAATTAGCTAGTATACAAGATGTTGCACAAGAACTGAAAGGATTATAAGCATAACAAGTAAAAAACCTTAGTATAGGAGGATAGACTGTATAGCTCTTTTCTTGCACTTGCTTGATTGTATCCCCTTCTCCCCTTCTCACCGCTCTTCTATCTCCTCCCAATCCTATTCACGCGGTTCCCGAACCACCGTGAGGTCTCGGTGCTGCAGCTAGCTAGCCACGGGGTTGTGTATATCGAGATAGCCCCTAACGGTACAGCAAGACATTGTAGAAGTTTCACAGACAAAGCGTTGCTTAAGGATGTGAGACGAGGATGATAACGGTATAACCAGTGCGGTGCTTTATGCAATCGACGGATCAAACGCGGAAAGGTCAAGAGAATGCAACAGCCAAGTTGCTGAGAATAGCGAACGCATCGATAGAGGCTTGGTCGCGGCAGGCTGATAGTGCTGCCCGGTCCTATTTTATAGGATGTCGTATAAGGCTCGGTACGCTATTACTATAAGACAACTAAGGCTGTAATGGGTCCTCTATACGTTGTGCGCGTTCTTTACAATAGGAGAATATGTCGTCGATAACCAAAGTCGCAGTCTCGCAGAGACCGTACTACGGGGATGTACGAGTTTCTGAACGAGATGCGATAGCGAGGCTTCGCGGGCTGCATTCAGGTATTCCCACAGGACTTTTAGAGGTAGGCCCTATTCCACTTCGGGTAAGACCGAGGGGACAAAGCAGAGTTTCAGAACAGTTGCGATCGAGAACAGAGGTAGATCGTGGCCCTGCAAACGCCAAAAGGAGCTCTGCTTGCTCTCCACTTGTCTAGCCGCTTACCGAAAGGATCCTCACCTGCCCTGTGACCACACGTGTGCCCGGATGTTCCGGGCGGCCGAGCAACGCGAGCTGCTAGAGAGGCGTAAGTGGGGGAAGCTGTCGATGGGGACGCAACGATTGGTAGCCTTGGGAGAGAACAAGGATAGGGGCGAGAGGCCTAAAGGCAAGGATGCTAAGAAAAGAAACCCCACTTGCGCAAGGACAAGGAGGTCAGAAGCTAGGAGGCTCAGAGTAAGCAGAGGACGAAATACTGAGAGTGGGGTGGTCTAGTTCAAGGACATGTTCTTGCCGTCCCATCCACGACGCATTGCACAGACTATAGTACAGGGTCTGCTTAGCATGAGAGAATCACTTCGTCAAATGAGGAGCGCGTACTCAGCTCGAAAGGGCGGCATTTGTGGGACTTTGGACATCCTATCACCTCCACCCACGCCCACGCCCAAGACTCGAGCGTGAGAGATACAACACGGGATAGATTGGTATGAGAACTCACGACGATAGGAACCTTATTGGATAGTTGAATGTTGATATTAACGACCACTCGAATATCGTGCCCCGATACTAGCAACACTATGAGCGCGCGTGCGGTTAGCGGTTGGCAGTCCAGTCGGCGTTTGCGTGATTACAGGGCAGCATTGAGCCGCTTAGCCCAATCTCAGCTAAGATTCAGAGTTATCAACCAAGAAACTATCTTAACACGATCAGACTGGCTTATGTTAACTCGGCAACTGAATGGTTCAAAACGCATGGAAACATCGAGACGTTTAGCGGGGGATCCGCAAAATGCTATTCTAGTAATTTGTCATCACAACACGAGCATGTTTTTCATGCAATCCTTCAAGAGCTATCGTGGTGTTTGCCAAGTGGAGCATGCGGCAGATCCACACAGGGCTAACGTTTTTGTATCATCCAAGATTGTTACGCGCAAGGGTTATGGCAAACGGCTGCTCACCCCGCTTCCGTCCCGCTGTCATCACCTAAATTTGACCACTCAAACTGCTGTTGTAAGTGGCTGGCCCGTTTCTAGGGGCTTGCTAAGCCAGATACAGGTACGGGTGGAGAGGCTGGAGATTCGCCGCAGGCTAGAAAGCGGGATCGCCATAAGCTACTGCATTTCGCTTCTGATATGCCCTTTACCATGCCCTTACCCACGTCAATGCCACGAACAGCCCTGCTCAACCCTTACCTGTCTTCCCCAGAAGCTGGAAGTTCAAGGCTGTCTCGCCTTAATCGACACATCGGTTGCGCCTAGCGGCCTTGCGAGGACGACTTTGGCGTTGTATCGTGAAAATATTACGTTACTGGAGTGTTCCTCATTCGTACATCGTATTGGGATACCATGGGTTTCACTGCAGCCGTCAGCCTTCTCTCACTCTCCCACCTGTCGAGCTCCGCAGCTAACGTCGTCCTGTGCCCAAGTGCTCCTCAAGCAACGATCTGCTGTAGGTGACCTTTCAGCTTCTCCATCTCATAGCCCAGTATAGTCACGGGAAGTCAGTCTCTTCTAAAGATAGCAGCTGAATCGCAGCGATCTTCATCGTTCCAATTCGATGTTCCGTGAACAAAGGTTTCCATCTCCGCGGTTTATCTATCTTAATGATCAGGAGTCTGTTCTTTCTTCCGATGACAAGTTTGTACTCTGGCGTCCCCCTGTGCAGATCTCCTACGCATCAAGGACAGTCTTCCTACAACAGCACCCCCGCTGTGGGGCACCACACAAGCCTCTCACTGTTCCTTGATCTCCCATTGTGCTTTGCAAACGAGGTTGGCAAGCGACTTGTCAGATTGCCCAAGTAGACCTAGAGCCTTCGTCAGCCCTTCGTAGGACGGGAAGCCGTGTGCCCCCGCCCCCTAACCACATCGCGACCCCATAGCAAGGAACTGATCGCTTCAAGGTCCTGGACGGCTTGCTATTTCAGCTTCAACACTAGAGCGCGGTAATCCTTGTTGAGTAAGCTCATATTTGGGAGGTTGGCCAAGTTCTCACAAAGCCACCTTTCTTGGACTATCTAGCCCGCTCAACCATCAGGTCCAATTGTGTCACTCCAAGTCGTCCGTACATTCCGCTTTAGAGAGTCCAGATCATCAGAGCAGAGCCTACTCTAGCGAACTCGTGCGGCTGGAGAACGCCACCAATATTGAAGACCCAGCGGTGCTCCGGATTCAGGTTCTGCGTTTCGACGCCCTTCGCCCGGCTGGCCGGCTCACTCAAATCCATCCCACCACGGATCGACCGCTATGGCCTCTGGCCCCTTGAGAAGCAGCTGAGTCAAACTTCTCCTCAGCGCCACTATGGCTTCTCGCCCTCTCAAAGGAGCCGAGTTTGCACAACCCCCCTTCAGCTCTACGGTCGACCTGTCGATCACAAGAAAAACGAGATGGAGGGTGGGGAAGATCGCGCTGGCCGAACGCAGTCTCGTTTCTGGAGGATTGTCATCTCAGCTGATTCGAGGAGGAATACGAGGACAGCTGAGCAAGAGGCTCAAGAGCTCTATATGAAGGGGTCTCTCGCCCGCCTTTGTGACCCACGATCTGATACCCTTTCGCTCACCTCCAAACCCATCACAGTCAACCAAGCTCCTCAGTCGTTGTTTATGACCAGACCATCATCATGCATTTTACCAAAGTCTTCGCTCTTGTTGCCATCTTCGCTACCGGCGCCCTTGCTGCTCCTGTCGCCGAGGCCGATGCTACCCCTCCAAAGCCTGTGAAGCCGGTTATCAACAAGCCGAAGATCAACATAGCCACCCAGACTAATGTCTGTGGCAATGGCGTTACCCCGTTCTGTTGCACTAGTGACAACAAGGGCAGCTCCAGCTGCAAGGCGATGAGTAAGTCGTTCCCGTTCTGGATGAAACTGCCGTCTCCTAAGAGATCTCCCGCCTCGGGTTGTCAAGTTTCTGAACACGCCCCTGTACAGGTCAAGGCGCTATATGCCAAACCACTATCGTCTGCTGCAATGCTCAGGATGTAAGTTGTCTCCCTTACTAGCGTTTGTCCCCGGCTGTACTAAGCTCAGCAGAGCCTCCAAGTGTGCACTGGGAATATCAACGTCATCGTCGTCTCTTAGTACGACTTCACAACTCACACCTGTCTCGGTAACGACCGTAACGTCAACATTATCGTCTCCAAGTGCGACTTCACCGCCTACACTCATCTCGGCAGCCAAGCCTCAATTCGAGATCTGGAATGGTTTCCTGGAGGTCATCTTTTTCTGGAGGGGAACCTGGATAAGGCGTCGAGCTTTATTCAGTACATTGGGGCGCATCTATGATGGGTTATGATTTTGTGTTAGTCGATGACGGCTGACCATCCATTCGTTGATTCGGCTCTTGCATTATGTTCCTCGTATCTGCCGGTTTCGGAGGAGGTATGGTTAGCAATGCACATTGTTACATGAACCTGCACTGTCTTCGTTCATTTGATTGATAAAAGCATGCCATCTTGATACAGCTGCCAGGTCGAAGCCCTAAAGAACAGGCGCATCGGAGGCTACGGAAAGTCCGCGATTCACCCAGGGTGTCCAACAAACCGTCGGACGGTTGGAAACGGTTGGACGGTCGGCTATATCGCCGACCAACCGTTGAGTATTTGATGGCCGTCTAACCGTTCGCAAGGAGCCGACGGTCGGGGTTAAAACAGTTAGACGGCTTGGCAAAGGGTTGCTAGTGGGTTAAGGCTATAAGAAGTAATCACGTGGTGTTTCTATTACCTTAAGAGCCTTAGTATATCACGTGGTGATAAGATAAGATCGGAATAACTACCTCCCGGCATCCGCTTCAGGGGCTAAGCTCCTCGCTTAATTACTCCACTACCCTTTTAGGTATAGAGTCGCCTAAACCCTGTCCAACCGTCGAACGGATCATCTTTTTACCCTAGTGGCCGTCCAACCGCTTGCGGTCTAGTTTGACCCCCGACCAACCGTTTTGAACCCTCCGACGGCGACGGACGGTTTGTTGGACACGCTGGATTCACCTGGGCATCTTGGGAAGCTTGACATTCAGTGAAGCCCACAAGGAACATACACATGATGAAGAGTCACCATCCCGGGTTTGTTTCGAGATAAAGGCGAGTATGGTGCCGGTGAGAGAGAACGCCGCAACGATAGTGGAAAAGTTGCGACGACAGGGGTGACCGTTTCGTGGGAGACGTAATCCTTTTCACTCTAGCCATAGCGGGTTGAGAATGTGGTTACAACCTGACTTGAGATCAGGACTCCAACAACGCAGTATAACCGTGATGTACATGTATCATGCTCGCTGGTTCACCCAAACTCCTGCTGGCTGCCCACTGGGTTACTTCGGTTGAAGCTGTCCAACCCAACCTCTAATTCCAGCTCGTGCGGCTTCCTAGGTTCACCAGTTTGGGCAGTCCAAAGAGTTGACCGGCGAACCGCTAAGGGTGTCATCTGACTTGTGGAGTTATTGTGGCCTCTCGAGATGTCTTTGAGAAGCGCGTAGTAAAATGCCGCGTTTGCGACAACGCAAGCACAGAACATCTCGATTGATGCCCACTGCAGTATAGATGAAACGTCGCTGTCAGCCAGCATATGGACAGTTGCAGATCTAGCTAGGGTGGAAACGATAGCATACCCGAGAACGAACCAAACGGATTTCGTGGTCCTCGGAGTGACTGAGGATCAAGGGTAGGCGGGTGATAGTAATCGCCACCACAAGCAAACCGACACCGAATAGGACAGTCAGCTGAAGTTTCCTTAAAGAAGTGTTTACGTTAGCACAGGTATTCCAACTTCTCCGCCGTCTCAATGTGTTGAGTCCTGCCAGTAGATGGCGAAGTACGTACTTAGGAAGCGACAGACTCATATTCCAGATCATCGGAATTGGAAATGCGAAGAGAGCAATATCCGTAACGATGTTTAGCACAGCCATTGTCAAAAGGTTTCCTCTAGCCTTTCGACACGAGTCTATCCGCAATCTGTTGTCAAACACGTAACCGTGGAAAGCATGCGACTTGACAACACTCACACTTGTTCTCCGAATCCGGGTTCCAGTATCTGGGGTTCAGGTCAGAGGGAACCGGTACATCGCTTCGGCGAAAGCGCCTTACATCGAGAGTGGTCTGCATTCGGCTACCGTGGGTATTATGATTACAAAAAACGTAACCACAAAGGTCCACTGCATGATTGTAACAGCTCTTTTGTACCTCGTCGAGTCCTTAGTGAATCGCGAGTAGAAATCCAGTAGGGCAAATTTCATACACCAAAGGCTATAACGTGAAACAAATCAGCAAAGGTATTCGACTTCGAGAGGCCTGCGTCTAAGAGTAGGACGACGCTATACGGCTCACGCACAAAAGTGCATAGCAAACGCGAGCGGGTATCTGCAGCTTGCGTCCAACTTTCAGACCCTCCGGATCTGCTGTTCTGTGGCCGAGGATCAAAGACTCGACAACAGTAGCGCAACGCCCTGTCAGTGGCACTATACCAGATGCCATCCAGAAATCGTCCGAGTGCCAGCTGCGATGACAGGTTGTATGAATCTTGCAGATGCAGAGCAGGCGATAGCAGCAACGGAAAGCGATCAGGAGGCCTGTGAAGGATGTGAAGAGAATGACCGAGGTTGTTTCCGAGTCCAGCATTGTTTCTTAAAACAGCCTACGCTTGAGGTTTGGGGTACGCATAAAGCTTACGGAAGATATACAACGGTGGAACAACCAACAGGACGATCACCGCGCTGCCGTTGTGAAGGAGCTCCCCACCGTTGTCCTACATTACAGGTTGAAGCATACTTACCTGTGGTAAACTCAACAGGCGCATGCTGGGCAGAGGATCTGAGCCCCGCATTTACAAGTACGTAGGTACATACTGGGGAAACTCTTTACCCGACCTCCAGGTTTTTGAGCTTCGCATCGAGGATGCGCCGCAATTGTGGCATCCTGGGAACTCATTGGTCGCCAATGACTGGTTCACGCGGAACACCCAATTTAGACAATCACCTAGATTCCAGAACTTCTACAAGAGCTGCGACGAACATATACGGATTCTAGCGAGGTCCGCAAGTACGCTCACAGCCTGACGTCGTCGAGGCTGCTATGTGAAAGAGGTACCTGGCTGACCGCACTCGAAACCTTCACGTGTCACGATTCCTGGTTGGCTCCAACTTAGTCAGACAGACCTATCCAGGAAGCGACCGTGGTGTAACACACTTTAAGGGGCGAGTGTTGCTCAAGTTGCCTACATGTTTCTGGTTTTCAGCTCCTTCCGTTCGTCCTTATAGTTTACTCGCCTCACCCTCCCTTGCAAGATCGATGACTAGCTTGCCGAACTGGCTACCCTTCTTCATATCCTCAAAGAGCCCATCGATAGCCTCAAGGTCCTCCATCCCTTGAACAACCCTCGAGATGATCGGACGGAGATTCTTCTTACAAACAAACTCGACCATATCCGCAAACTCCTTCCTTGAGCCCATGGTCGACCCTCGCACCTCGATGTTCTTGAGTACCGCGCTCATCAACCAAGGCATCTTCGGACTGACGGTCATACCGTAGACCACTATGACGCCGCCAGCCTGCAGAGAGAGTTAGCACCATCCATTTCCAATGTATGATATTCGGAGTCCAACTCACTTTCAGCAACTTGGTACCCTTCTCGACGATATCTCCCCCAGCGCCATCAATGATTGCGTCAAAGTGCTTTCCCGATGGTAGCATTTCCAGCAGCTTCTTCTCCCAGCCTTCCTCTTTGTAACTGACCCCACCCGCCGCACCTAGCCCCTTCGCCTTCTTGATCTTCTCTTCGCTCCCACTCGTCACCCACACATTGACTCCCGCCGCGCTCGCCAGCACCAACGCCATGAGCGCCACGCCCCCTCCGATTCCAGTAACCAGTATGTTCGCCCCAGGCTTTGCGTTTCCTGACTTGGTAAATACAGCCCTCCACGCCGTCAACCCCGTTAGCGGCAGCGCCGCGGCTTCCGCATCATTCAGATGGGCGGGCGCTTCCTCCACTTCCCCGGCGTCGATGACGATGTACTCGCCCAGCATCCCCTTCGGATTGAGTTTCGTGCCGCCTAGAATCGCATACCCCTTCGGATCTTCAGGGCCCTCGAGCGCGTCTTTCCATCCCGTCCCGGGGTTTATGATGACGCGCTTGCCCTTCCATCGCGAGGCCTCGGACGAGGAGCCGGTGGAAGAGACCACGCCGCAGCCGTCGGCGAGGAGGGGTACGCCGAAGGTTGTGCCGGGGTATAGGTGCTGCCGGATGAAGAGGTCGCGGTGGTTGAGGGAGGCGGCGCTTAGTCGGACGACGACCTCGTTGGGGGTGGGCTGGGGCGCGGGAACCTGGATCCTTTCGAGTGGGTAATAGACTTGGCCGGGCTTGCCGTCGACTTTGCGGATGGCGATTGCGGAGGGCATGGTGGGATGGTGGGGCAGATTTTTGGGGGGTAGCTGGGAGGTGGATGGGGTCTGTCGTGTGAATTGGCAGACGGAGACGGTTTTGATGACGGTCAAGCTTTGGGAGTAAGAATTATCCAGAGGTAGTAAGCAGCAAGATTGAATTTGATGTTGACGTCTGTTCAGCAGTTCAAAGCTTCCCCACGTTCCCGAGGGTGTTGCGGATCATTCTACCGAGGTCGGAGTTTGTGCGGACATAAGATCCATCAGCCCTGGGGAACTTTCGAAATCTGTGGTTGACAGCTCTACAAGATTCAATGGTTATGTCGTACGTTGCCGCCGCTGATCCAAGCCATTGGAGGATCTCCTTGTAGCCCTGTAATCGCCTTCTCTGAACACTGAGCATTCCCAAGCTATGGATGCAGATTGAGCTATGGTTGAAGATTACCTCAGTCAGAGGATTCGCATAAGCATCGTGGAAAGAGGTAGCATGCCCAACTAGAGATATCTATAGGTAGCTTTGCTGTCCTGATGCCCACTCCGTTCTCGCTCGTCCATCTCCTCGATCAACGCGTGCCTCAATGCCGCAGCTTTGAAATCGACAATGTTCTCTTTCTCTCCATCGGCGAACGCTTCATAGCATCTCGCGATGTTCTGAGCAGGCTGTGGCAGAGAAGAGAAGTCGTCTTTGCCAACTTCGAGTGTCTCCACATCGCCACTCTCGAAATTGTGGATTTTGACTGTAGTATCCGGGGCCCCAATGTTGAGCATTGCGCTTGATCCAGTGACTTGTATCTCGCCCTTCTCACCGTATACACGCCAGAGGATGCTGGGCTCGCCTGCAAAAGGCTTACCGCCACGCAGATGGAAGGAAAGCAGAGCGCCAGACTCGAGATGGCCTTGGACAAGGACCTGATCAGGCGCGTCCTTGGTGAACGTCTCTACAATCTTGCCGGTGCCTTTGTCGATGAGCTGCACTTTTGGCCGCTGGTTTCCGTAGATGGAGCTGTAGGACTTGAGCTCTCCGAGGGCGTAGAGCACGAAGTCCATCACTAGACGTGATCAATGTTCGCCTCTGCTGTTACGGTTCTAAGTAGCTATGAAACTTACTATGCCCAAAATGGATCGTAGCCACGTTCCCACCCACATGTCTTTCACCCAGATACTTTATCCCCACCGGCGTAGGCTCGGTCCCGAAATTGTATCCACAGGCCACGACCGTCGTGCTCAGCACCTTGCCAATCCTGCCGCTCTCCACCACCCCCTTGACCTTCCTCACATACGGCGAGTGCCTCGCCTGCAGCCCCACCATACTGCTCACGCCCTTTTCATCCGCCAGCCTCGCCAGCTCCTGGGCCTGTTCAAGGTTCGCACCAAGTGGCCACTCGCAGAAACAGTCCTTCCCCGCCTCGAGAGCCGGCAGAAGGGCGTCCCGGTGCTTGTCCACCCGCACGCAGCAGACTACGAGGTCGACATCGGCGTCTGCGGCTAGGTTCTCTGGGGAGCCATAAGCCTTCGTCTCGGCAGGGAGCCCATTCGCTTTGACGGATGCTTGCGCGGCTTCGACGCTCGAGTTGCAGAGGGCGATGATACTGTATTTGGAGGTGTTTCGTAGATAGGGCAAATGGGCGCTGTTGGCCCACCCGGAGCCAGAAGCTGCAGCGCTCAGGCCGATGAAGCCGATGCGAATGGGTGCCATTAGTTTACAGCGAGATTGCCTGAGCCCTCATACCGACGGGCCGGGCGTGTTGCTCTCTAATAGCCCAAGAACATACAGCAGACATAGCCGAACGGATCCGGACTATTGGTCAGCGGGATTAACAAGACACTCATCCATGACCTTTGTAGACTTCAATGTCCAGTGCATAACACAGCCAAACTACCCCAGCCTCAGCCTCAGCCTCTGGAGCTTTCTTGTTCTCGATGCCCTTCCTCAACACATCACCGTGTGCTTGGACAAGCTGAGAGGGGAAGACGCGGATATTTGATGGCAGCTCGACCCCAGAGTTTCATTTTCAACCCTGCAGGTGCTATTTTGGTGCCCGTCGGTCGGCCCGTTGCCAGACGGACGCAGGCCGATCCCGCCCCAGTCGGGCTGATTGTCCCCCCGCGCCGTCGCGGTCTTTAGCGTCCTGTTCATCCGCAACACCAGACATTCTACCCGTTCCTTGCAGACGCGTCTGTTGAGCCAGCTTCATGGGATAGGGATGATGCCGACTACTACGCGTTTCACGGCGGCTGTGCTGCAGCTGTTCACCTATATAGCCATGGACGACGCTCCAGATTGAGAGAGAGGCATCACGCATCACACCCAGTCAACACCAACTCATTCACTTTCTTCACTCACAGCAAACATCAAACCTTCCACTCCTCATAACCACGCAACAACCACGCAACAACCTCAAAACCTCCGACATCTCCACAAACAAACCCAACTTGCTCCTGTCGCAAAAAGCGCACCAGCGATACGCCGTAAACTACATCCGCCTCACAATCGTCATGTCTTCCACCAAGTCAACACTCACCTTCTTCGGCGCAACCGGCGGCTGCGCTGCTGCTACCCTCGCACTGGCACTCAAGGCCGGTCACATAGTAACAGCTCGTATGTAGATATCTTGTCTGGCCTAACCTGCGAGAGAGTTCACTGACCACAAGCCAGTCGCTCGCACACCATCCAAGCTCACCACCCTGCTTACCTCCACCCACGGCATCCCACAACATGTCCTCGACTCCAACCTCATCATTGTCAAAGGCGACATCAAAGACATCACAGCCGTCAAGAAAGCGCTCTTATCCAAGGACGGTCGCATTGTCGACATCGTCGTCTCCGGGATCGGCGGCACACCCGCCCTCCAGTGGAGCCTCCTCCGTCCTGTGACACTCACGGACCCGCACATCTGCGAGAGAGCCGCCGCCACCATCCTCTCCGCCCTTCGCGAACTACGCCAGTCGCGTCGCGATGACCCTCTCCAGAGCCAGGGCGAGAAGAGCGCCCAGGGGCCCATGGTCATCGCGATAAGCACGACGGGCGTGAGCACCAAGCAGCGCGACGTGCCGTTCCTCATCTATCCGCTCTATCACTGGCTCCTTCAGGTACCTCACGCCGACAAGCAGGCTATGGAACAGGTCCTCATTGCGGATGCGTCTTCTACCTCTCCGGCTATTGGTGACTTCGCCATTGTCCGGCCCACGCTGTTGACGGATGGTGTGGCCAAGGGCACTGACACGGTTAAGATGGGGTGGGAGTATCCTGAGGGGAAGCCCGAGCAGAGTGAGCCGGCGCCTGGCCCGGCGCTTGGGTACTCTGTGAGCAGGGCCGATGTGGGAGCTTGGATCTTCGAGCAGCTCGTCGAGGGAGAGGGCAAGTGGGGCAACAAGTGTGTCACTTTGACTTACTAGGACATGGACGTTGGGGATCGTGCGGGCTCTGGGGGCGAATAGGATGGGCATTTCACAGGTGTTCAGGGCTTTTTTCCTTTCAAACGGTGTCAGCCTAGTTTTCTCAATATGCGGTGCGCTCTACATGATACCTTAGTGCGAGCAATGGACTTGATCGGCATCACTTGTTTCCTAACGCTGCCGTGAGATGTCCTGAACAGTTATGCCTTACCCGTCCATGCCGGCTTGGTTGAAGAGTAGCGAACCGGTAGCAGTATAGATGCAGCGAGTGTGCTTGATACCTACCTGGTAAGATTTTATCCGGGGATGCATCGACCGCTGAGACCCTCAAACCGTTACAGCTTGGCGGATGACACAAGGGGCGCGGCAGGCTGTCGGCATGTGACTGACACTTTTGACACCCGCTTGACACCCGCTTGACACCTGCACTCATCCGACACTGAAATAAGCACAGCTCTTCCGTCAACCACGACCACGCCCCGCGCTCCACTCCATATACCGTCGGACACAGCTCCCTTCCATGTCTGGCAGCTGATGAAGCAGCCATGGGAATTGCAAGTGGCGCTGCTCGATAGCATTCGCAACCGCATCACAAACCGGCTCGTTGACCATCAGCCATTGCGGCACATTGACTGGCTCCGATGCCACCAAAAAGGATGAACCTGCCAGGCACCGCGCCATCCTCACAGCAGGCACCGGTGCCTCCCCGAAGCCCGTCTTTTCCTGCTACGAGACAGCACGAGTATGCGCCGATAAACCCTAGCCAGCTCCGCGAGGCTCACAGCTTCTCTTCTCCGCCGGAAGATGTCATGTCTAGACCTCACGTCAGGCCAGACTCAGAAGATGGACCTCTTCCGGAGCACCATCTGCATGCGATAGATGAAGGCGCCGCCGCGGCATCCTCGAGACTATCCACCTCCTCCAAGCGGTCGGATAAGGGCAAAGGGCGGGAGCGAGCGTCAAGCGACACCGATACGGTGCCAAACGCCCGTACACGTCTTCTGAATCATGCGAACTGGGACCGCGAGTCTGGTTGTGGGAAGGATGATTGCGCTCATGGAACTTTCTCGCCTAGACCGAACACTTTGAGGAGTTATGGGAGCACCCAGTCAAGCTTCTCCTTGAGCGGCTTTGGTGGAAGATACTCTGGGGCCCTGGGTGGTGGACCGAACAATAGTATGGACCCCACACACGCCGACGTTGGGGACAGCTTCGCTGATAGCGACTTAGGTGGCGATAGAGGCAAGCAGATGAGCACAACGGAGTGGCTAGCGAAGCAGCACGGTATCAAGAACCGAAGATTAATGTACGTAGCTGAGATCCCTTACATCGATCGTACGATTTTGCCGGCGGCTCCGTACCCCGTTGCAATTGCAATTCTTTCGCTCTCCACCAGCGGCTGATGAAGGACACGAGACAGGTACCTGGCATACTACATTCCAATCTTCAACTGGTTGCCACAGTATAAATGGGAATACCTTCGTGGCGACCTCATCGCGGCCTTAACCATGGCATCCTTCTATCTGCCCATGTCCCTGTCGTATGCCTCGAACCTCGGCCACCTGCCCCCTATCAACGGTCTCTATAGCTTCGTCTTCAACCCCTTCATGTATGCGATCCTCGGTAGTTGTCCCCAGATGGTGGTCGGGCCAGAAGCAGCCGGTTCGCTGCTAACGGGCGAGGTCGTGCGCGAGAACATCCGCAAAGGCACAATCGCAGACACAGACGGTGTCGCGAATGCAGAGATCGCGGGTGCCGTCACGTGCATGGCTGGCCTCGTCATCTTTATCGGTGGTGCGCTACGCCTCGGGTTCTTGGACAACGTTCTGAGCCGGCCGTTTCTCAGAGGCTTCATCAGCGCCATCGGCATTGTCATTTTCGTTGACCAGTTGATCCCGGAGACGGGCCTCGCGAAGATTGTTCCGCAAGACGTCTCTCATGGAAGTTGCCTTGACAAGATCATCTTCTTATGTCGAAACATTGGGCACGCGCATGGCCTCACCACCGCTGTATCCTTGGGCTCGTTCGCCATTATCATGGTTTGCAGGTGAGTGTCGCCGCATCTCTCAGCTACCTGCAGGGCTAACGTGGCGAACAGGGAAGTCAAGAAACGCCTTCAGCCTCGCTTTCCAACCGTAGCGTATATTCCGGACCGCTTCCTCGTCGTCGTTCTTTCCGCTGTCTTCACATGGCATTTTGAATGGGAGAAGCACGATCTCGAGATCTTGGGCAATGTACAGACCGGCGGATCAAAGTTTGCCATCCACTTCCCCTTCGCCGTCAAGCATCTGAAGTACGTTTCGGATGCTGCCAGCACGTCATTCGTCATTGCTTTGCTCGGGTTCTTTGAGTCCTCCGTGGCGGCGAAGAGTCTTGGTGGCGGAGGCCACAAGAGCGACGGTATTCGGAATGTCAGAATGAGCGCAAACAGAGAGTTGTGGGCGCTGGGTGTCGCGAACTTGATCGGCGGCATGTTCATGGCCTTGCCTGCCTTTGGAGGTTACGGGAGAAGCAAGGTCAACGCTTCGACTGGCGGCACGACTCCGATGTCAAGCATCTTCCTCAGTCTCATCACCGTCATTTGCATCACGTTCCTCTTGCCATACTTCTACTACATTCCAGTATGTCACGTGCCACCTCTCAAGTCTCAAACTCTCCAACCCCCCCTTTTGTACGCTGCCGAACCCACGAAACGCTGATATCCCTGCAGAAAGGCGTCCTCTCCGCCATGATCTCCGTAGTCGCCTACTCCCTAATCGAAGAAGCCCCGCACGACATCCGCTTCTTCGCGCGCATCCGGGGCTACTCCGAGCTCCTGCTAATGTCCATAATCTTCCTGACAACCGTCTTCTGGAACCTCAAAATCGGCATCTCCGTCGGCATCGGCCTGTCCGCCCTGCGCCTCATCAAGCACGCCACCCGCCCGCGCATCCAGATCCTGGGCCGCGTGCTCGGCACCGAGGATCGCTTTGAGAATGTGGAACTGGACCCGGAGGGGCTAGAGTTTATCGAGGGGTGCCTCATTGTCAAGATTCCGGAGCCGTTGACGTTTGCGAATACGGGGGAGCTGAAGCAGAGGTTGAAGAGGCTTGAGGAACATGGGACGGGGGCTGCGCATCCGGCGCTGCCGCGTGTGCGGCATGTTGAACAAAACAGGAACGTTGTTTTCGACGTGCATGGCGTGACGAGCCTCGATGGCGCGGGGGCGCAGGTTATGGCGGAGATTGTGAAACAGTATCGGGATCGGGATGTGAGGGTCTTTTTCTGCAGGATCAGTAAGGAGAATAGGGAGGTTTGGCCGCTGTTTGCGAGGAGTGGGATTGTCGAGATGTGTGGGGGTGAGGAGTATTTCTTGCCTGATGTTAAGGAGGCGCTGAGACGGATGGAGAGGGAGGCTGTGGGGAGGGAGTTGGGGTTGGGTGTTCTCGAGGGGGAGCATGGGTGGAGAGGGGCTGCTGGGTGAGTGTTAAGCATCAACGACCTTCTGTGAGATTAGCTTGTTTTGCATCATTTAGGCGGAGTTCAGAGCCCTTTGCTCGGGGGCATAGCGCTGGCGTTCCCTTTGCATTGCTACCAATGTTAGAGTCTGGGTTTTGTAAAGTCCTCGTGTCTTGTGTTGAAATGGCAGCCTCGTGATGTCGTCGACGGCAGCATTTGGGCGGCATTGTGCTTCTAGCATAAGAGAGAGGCTTTTGAGCGCCAGTCCTTGGATGGTGATGTGTATTATACATTCGTACAATCAGGAGTATCATTTAACACAACAACTCACAGTTGACTATGAATGCCTGCGCCGGTGCAGCATTCATGGTTTGGATTAGGCGGCAAGATATGATGGGCAATATTTGAAAGATTTGAACTAGTTGAGCAAGCACATACAATCTACATGACTGCGCCGCTGACCCGAACACCAGACTCATGGACCCACATGAGCGTTTTCACCAATCCATACCACCAACAGCCTTTTCCCTTCCAGCCAGAATCTCCGCCGCCCGACCCTTCTCTCCCGGCGCACCCTCTAAGTGACTCGCCTGCTGTCCCTTTCGGCCCTTGAAGCCCATACCATTCTTCAGCTTCTTATCTAGCGACGCAAACGGATCTTCCGTATCCGTCTTCTTAACCTTCCACTTCGACGTACCGAGCACAGAATCCAGCTCCTCAACCGGCGGCAACTTGACATACACCCACCCATCGTCGCGCTCCTCGACAGGGAAAGTAGCGATGTTGACTTGGTCGTCATTGCCGCACTTTCCTGCGTCCGGGCCGCCGAGCTCGTAGTTCCGCTTGTGGTACGGACAGCTGACCCAGAGCTTGCCGGTCTTGAGGTCGTCGCCGATCAGGCCGTCCGACAGTACGAAGGCACGCTTGTGCGGGCACATCTGCTGCGTGCAGTAGTACTTGCCCTTGATTTTGAAAAGGGCGAGTTGGGTGTCGCCCCGCTTGAGGGCTGCGCTGTCGCCGGTCGGGACGTCTTTGAATTTGGAGGCTTCCACCATCGGCTGCCAGGATAGTTCACTCCACTTGGTGCCGCGGAAATCCTCCTTAATGGATTCCTTGGGCCAGTAGGCTGGGCGTCTCTGGCCGCGCTCTTCCACTGCCTCGACGGGGTCGAGAATGTTCTCGTCGGTGTTAATGAACTGGGAGAAAAGTTTGCGGCGTTCGGGGTTCTTGACCACTTCGGTCCATTCGCAGAAGAAACTTCCCACCAAGTCTTCCATCTGCTGCTCGAGGTCCTTGCATATGCCGAGCTTGTCCTCTAGGATAACCTCCCGTAGATACTTGATGCCTCCGGGCAAGTTTTCGATCCACCGTGCTGTTCGTTGGAGCTTGTCTGCTGTCCGGATGTAGAAGCTGAGGTAGCGGTCTAACATGGGAATGACATCGTCTGGTGGCACGTCCGTCGCTAGCAGTTCTGAGTGGCGCGGCTTGGCACCGCCGTTGCCTCCAACGAAGACGTTGAAGCCCTTCTCTGTCGCGATGAGACCGAAGTCCTTGTTCTGTGCTTCGGCGCACTCGCGCACGCAGCCAGAAACACCGCCCTTGATCTTGTGAGGTGAACGGATACTCTTGTAACGTTCCTCCAGCCGTACGGCCATGCCTACACTGTCGCCGATACCAAACCGACACCACGTGGTGCCAACACAGCTCTTGACTGTACGTAGGGACTTGGCGTAAGCGTGACCGCTCTCCATGCCGCCTTCGATGAGCTCGGTCCAGATATTTATCAGATCCTGCTTCTTGGCGCCAAACATGTCAATACGCTGGCCACCCGTAATCTTGGTGTAAAGACCATATTTCTTCGCAACGGTGCCGATGATGATGAGTTTCTCGGGCGTGATCTCGCCAGCAGAAACGCGTGGAATAACCGAGAAAGTACCGTTCCGCTGGATGTTCGCCAAAAATCTATCGTTGGTGTCCTGGAGACCACGGTGTGGTGGATCGACGATGTGCTTGTTGAAGAGGGAGGCGAGGATTGAGGCGATTGTCGGCTTGCAGGACTCGCAGCCGACAGACTCTGGATCCTTGCCGCATTGCTTCATTACTTCCGGAAAGTCCTTGAGCTTCTTGACGTAGATAATGTTGAAAAGATCGGCACGAGAGTACTCGAAATGCGGGCAAAGATAGTTCTTCACTTCCTGTCCCATTGATGCCATGGTCTTGTTGAAGATGGTTTGGACGAGCGGCATGCAGCCACCACAACCAGTGCCAGCCTTCGTGCAGGTCTTGACGTCGCCGATGCTCTTGCAGGTTCCATCCTTGACGGCCCTGGCAACATCACCTTTGAGAACATTGTGGCACGAGCAGATCTGGGTGTCATCGGCACTGCGCAGGATGTTAGCACACGTACTCAGGGCGAGAATGTGGCAGCGGCAGCTTACAGATCGTCAGGATTGTCGTCTCCCTGTCCAGCAGCGACAATTAGTTCACCTGGCGGTATCTCGAGTGGCTTCTGTCCCTTAACCATTGGCACCAGCTTGACGTAGTCTTTGGTGTCCCCAATCATCATGCCTCCAAGTAGGTACTTGCCGTCGGTGGTGAAGAGGTACTTCTTGTACACCTGCTGAAAGGGGTCTTTGTAGGTAAGCGCTTTCACTGGAGGCGGAGCGGGACCCTCAGTCATGTTCTTGACGCGATCTTTGCTATCAATCGTACCTTCCTTGATTTTCCCACCTCCACGCCTGGCGGGCAGCTCTTTGGGGCCATCGCGATCCGCAAAAAAGTCACCAAAGCTTGCGACTTCAACACCGAGGAGCTTCAGCTTGGTGCTAAGATCAGGGCGCTTGAATTTCCGCGGTGAGTGTGCCTTCGCTTGAGTAAGATTGAATGCGAGTACATCGGCCATCTCTACGCCCGGCGCGATGAGGCCGAAAGTCTGACTTTCCCAGCTTGCGCACTCGCCGATGGCGTAGATGTCAGGTATGGATGTTGAAAGGTCAGGGTTGACAACAATACCGCCACCTCGATCTGCGCACTTGACGCCAGCCTTCCGTGCCAGCTCGTCTCGTGGTTTGATACCAATCTGCGCAAGTTAGGGGTGTGACATCCGCGGTCTCCGGAATGGATGATCTTACCGCAAAGCAGATCGTTGAGCACTCCATCTCCTCTCCATCCTCGAACCTGAGCCCAGTGACAAAGTTCTCCTCGTTCGTATTGATTCTACCCACGCGCTTGCTCAGCATGACATCAAGACCAAGCGCCCGCACTTGCTCGACAACCATGCCGCCGGCGTCGGCATCCAGTTGCCGCGACAGAACCCATCGATTTCGCTCGATCAATGCGACCTTGCCGAAATCTTCCAGATCCATCATAGCCTTCGCTGCCTCCAGCCCCAGTAGGCCTCCGCCGACTGTTACACCGGTTGTGCCTTTCCTTGTGCTTGCAAACTCGATGAGCTTCTGCAGATCATCGATTGTGCGGTATACGAACACGCCCTTCGCGTCATAGCCTGGCGTATGCCGCGGAAGAACGGCATCGGAGCCTGTGGCTAGAACGAGGATATCGTAGGATACGGTGTCGCCGGCGGATGTCTTGACCGTCTTTTCGTTCGAGTTTATTTCGGTGACTAGTGTGTTGAGGTGGTAGTTGAGGGATCCTTCCGGCATGCTTGCATACTTTCCACGCACTTGCCGTTAGAAGCGTGCTAACAACGTTCGAATTCATTAACGTACCCATTCTTTCGGATTCAGATACAGGTTCTCGACCTGCCGGTGCTGGAAGAAGCTCGTCAGGCCCACGCGGTTGTACGCCAAATGCGGTTCTTCGCCAATGACAATGATGTCGTATTCGCGCCTCTTAACGTCGAGCTTCATGAGTTTTTCGCTATAATCCCATACAGTCAGCCCCGGCTTCCCCAGAAGGGCTACAAGGATGTTCACATGAAGGCCACGCCGACCATACCCAGGCCGACTACCACCACCTTCTTCCTCTTCGAATCCTTGGGTATCTCCCCTCCCTTCTCTAACTCGGCCACCTTCTCCGGCAGCCTGTTGGCCTCCGCATCGTTCCACTCGCTGTTGCTCATGGCTGCTGCTAGTGCTGACGACTTGCCAGCTCGTTTCCAATTCCAGAAATGAGGAAGAAGTAGCAGCAGCAGAAAGTTAGGAAAGTAGCGTCGACCTGGGGTATCACAATTGAAGTCGAGTGAACACGCGCGCAGAAAGCAGGGCTAAAGAAATGTTGCAGATATCAAAAGAACAGAATTGAAGCTAGGGTCTCCGATCCCCAATGCCTAGCTTCAAAACTCACCATACAAATAGCGTCAGTCATAGCCGTTGATAGATACCCCACCAAGACCCTCTGCAAGCTGACTGCACCAAAGAAGCAGCAACACATAGTGGCACCGCGGCGAACAGCCGGAGAAGGCCAGCCAACCTGCCACTCTGCATGCCCCCAGCATCGCATCCACGGCCATGGGAACATCGTCCCGCCTTGCTGATAACGCGTAAACTGGGCCATACGGATTGGCTGAAGCCGTTGTGCAGACTCTGCCCCGCGATATTAGGGTGATAAGGATGACAGAGAGAAGAAAAGAAATCTCCTCGGCGTAGATCCTGATAAGGTCGTGTCCTTTCCGCGCTTGCGGGAAGAGACGGCGCTAGGAGGTGTGGCTTGTCAGCCGCAACGATAAGGATGCTTCGGGGCTAGGCGGAGTTCATCTCCGTGGATGCGTGCGGCTACCTGTTTGTGCGTGAGGTTGAGACGGACGGGAGTCTTCACTGTGGCAAAGAGATACAGCACAATGGTTGTGGCATGGAAAAAAGGGCAGATCAGAGGCTTCTAACAGATTGCAGTTGCAGGAGAAATGTAGTTATTGATCCTTGGATGAGGTTGGGATACAGGTGACAGGGTTCCCTGTTCCTGACGCTAAGCCCTAAAAACCGATCTCACGTGACAATCAATGCCGAAGCAGCGGTGGGATGCTACTGAATACAGATATCAGGGAGCAATAAGCCTGGTACAGTGCAAGCACAGTCCCTTATTCCTAAGAGGATGCCATAAAGCAAGGAGAGTGATGAAAAGACTACACAAGGGTAAACAGCCGTGGCCTTCCCCAGATCCCAAAACTCCGTGAAGCTGGAGCAAATACTTCAGCAAGACAGTCCATCTTTTACAGCATTCCAGTAATACTTCTCAGTGCCAGATAAGACGCATCAGAAGAACAAGAGATCTTCGTCAAGCCAACCTTGCTCGTTCAACGCAATATGCACGCTTTTCTCCAACGCTTCGGGCCCGCAAATCAGCACCATAGATGATTCTCCCCTAAGGATATGTTCCTTGAGCAGTGGGGCTGCTATCCGTCCCTTGAGGCCTTTCCAGTCGTCTGACGCTTGAGTCAGCGTGTACAGAAGCTTGCACTTCTCTTCATTGCCGAGGGCGTAGGTATCTAAATCTTCTTTGCACAGAATGTCCTCGGCAAGTCGGTTGCCGTCGAGCAAGACGCAACGCGTCTTATCCTCCTTGTCCTGCATGATTGCTCTGTACACTTGGAACACAGGTGTGATGCCGCTGCCGCCACAGATCATGAAGAACTGCTTAACGTGGCGTCTCCGGCCGTTTACGGCGCACTCACCGCGGCCAAGATACTCAAACTTGCCGATGGGGCCTTTGAAATCGACCCCATGACCAACCGGTAAAGAGTCCATGGCTTTGGTCATCTTGCCGCCAGCACGATCCTTGGTGTCGAAGTAGACTTTGACAAGCACGTCGAGGTAGCCCTTCTTGTCTGTCTGGGAGATTGGCGTGTAGCTTCGGATGATTGCCTCCCGTGTTACGGGATCGCGCAGCCGTATCATCAGGTGCTGGCCGGTCGGTAAACCCAGCTTCTGGTCGTCATGTTCCAACTTGAACGTAAAAATTCGGGTGTCCCAGGATACGATCTTCTTCGCGTGGAGCGTTGCTTTCCTCCAGGCCCGAGAGTCGAGGAAGCTCTCGCGTGGTCCTGCTGATGGATCGGGTTGGACGTCGCCTTCACTGAGCACTTTCCTCGACGCTTCGTCCAGCGAGCCAACGTGGTAGCCTGGCATCATGCCCTTAGCCGTCTCGCTATCTGAGATAAATCAGTACTGATCCTGTGTGACGATGAGGTGATCTTACGGATTGCCATGAACTCATCAGAAGCGTCCATGCCGGCCGCGGATACAATGCTTTGAGCGCCGCCAGGATGACCTTCCATGAACGCGGTACCATCGTAAACCTCACCGTTCACCACAAACCAAGGGTTCTCTGTGCCATCGTGCTTCCTCAACTCGTCAATGGTGATCTCTCTGTTGACTCCCTCCTTGGTCATCTTGACATCCCCAGCTTGCTCCGTTACCGGCTCCGCTGCATCCTCGCTGCCAAGTTTCTCGCCCCAATAGCCATTCATGAGGTTGCCACCCGCTTTCTTCACTCTTTCCATCCACCCTCCTGGCATCAGCGCTGGCTGCGTAGGATGCTCGAAGCGAAGGAAATCGTTCTCTTTGTTGATGGCGATTCGATACCAAGGATTGTTCATCATGCCCAGCACAGACCAGTACATGTCTCTCGGCTGCAAGTTCATACTTTCGTCCATCGCACGCACGAGAACGTCTTTTGCATCTCTCAGCTCGCTGACCGGAATGTCGATACTCCAGAAGCACCAGCAGAACGAGCTTTCCCGCCACGTCATGTCGAGGGTGCCACCATAGAGCTCCTGTAGTCCGGCTTCCCGGTATCGATCTTCGGCATAGTCGATGTTGGAAAGTCTCCATGTTTTTCCCTTGTCTATCGATACCTCAACTCGCGTCACCCGGCGGCCACCGCCCCCATATGCGTAGCCTTTTACGCGGTAATTTGCAGGCGCGCCGACCAGACAGAGCTGCTCCTCATGCGCCGGATATGCGATAGCGGAATTCGTGCTAAGGTCGTAGATAGCGTAGCGTTCATCCATCCACCATTCCGGCTTGTTGGCTGCCTCGTCCGGGGAAACGGAAGTAGGCAATACGCGGTTGTCGTAGATGTGGTACCAGTTGTCGCTGGGCTTGTCTGTGATGATAAGATGCTTCAACCACTTCACGCTACGACCACCAATCTGGCCCGGAATGACCGCTCTCAGTGGCTTGCCGTGATCAGGTCGGAGCATCTCGCCATTCATTTTGTGCGCAAGCATCATGCCCCTGTTCGGATCCATGACCCAGTTGAGCTTGACTGAAGTGCCATAGTAGCCGTTCGGTAATTTATCGGCGCCCTCCATGCAGACATATCTCGCACTCCGCAGCGGCTTTGCTTTCTTCATCAGGTCTGCCATGACTACACCAGTGAACAGCGCTGTCGAAACACCGGCCGGGCCCCAAGAGAAACCTTTAGTTTTCCGAACTACGTTCTGCTCTTTCCGCCTGTTACCGGCGCAAACCAAGGTGATTGGGCATGTGACCTGCTCATAGTCGGATATGAGATCCCTCAAAGTCAGTTTCATTGGGTTTTCCACAAGGCCTTCCACGGTGACCTCCCAGTCTGGAATGTCCTCATCTCTGACTTCCGGCACGGCACCATGGTTTCGGACGTAGAAGAGCTCCGGGCTGGTCAAAAAGCCTTCGTTGAAGAGGTCTGTAAGTGGCGCTTCTACGTTGAATGGATGGACCCCAGTGAGTCTGATGAGCCTTGGATCTCGTGGTACATGACGATCCGGGGTCTTCTTATCGATATCGAGGACGTCTGTAGGAATTGAGGTTGGCGGTGGCAGAGGAAAGTCCGTGGGATCAGGTGTCGACTTGTCACCATCTACGGTTTCTGGTGGTGTTGGTGGTAAATCTCCTTCGACCCTGCGGAGGTGGGTCCGCTCTTCATCGGTGAGTATGATGCCCATTTTGCGGCTTAGAGTAGGACAGATATGGAGATTGAAGAATGATAGCAGTTTGAGAAGTTATGCATGTGAGAACAGACTGAACTTCAATTCAAACGCAGCAAAGAAATGCGGCGCAACAATGCTTACCCCAGGCCACCCCAAAGGATGATCTGGCTATTTGGCTTTCGTCATATTTGTGACAGCAGGCCACCTACGAAGCCGGAGAAACAAAGCAACGAACAGGGTCAAAGTTAGGGCGAAAGCCAACTGCAAGACCCGCGGAAGCGGCTGCTAGAAGCACAAGTCTGTGGGGAGGGCCGTGCAGGAGAGGACAGGAGAGTGGGTGAGGATCTGCCATCCTTATCTTTGAGACGGAAAGAGACTAGCGTCTGTACTCAACACCAACAAGTCATTCGATCCACCCAGCAAAGATAAAGGTGTCAGCCGGCAAATGGCCAGTCGGCTGCGAGCCCAGTCTCGGACCAGTGCTACGATAAGATGCGGATGGTAGTGTGTTAAGGCATGGAGCGGGACTGCAAGACTTGGTGGTCATCGCGCAGAACTGAAAACGACCTCGAACAAACTCGGTACAGTTCTCGGACTGGCAAGTTCAAGACCCTGAAAGTCTCCACAGACTCCTTACTCTTACCGCAGCGTCACGAAGTCTGCTGCGAGATACATACCTACCTTGTTCTAGGGATTGCTGTTGTTCGCCGGCATGCTCGCGTTGGAAGTGCTTGATGAGGTTCACGTCGAGTGGGAGCAGGGGTCTTTTCCGGCCCGACTTTCCGCCCGGCACTCCAGGGCTTTGGCGGATCGATGTCACGAGATACGCACACAACATGAACGTTATGGGCAAGTAACCCTAGATTTGCTCCGTAAACCCTAGTCTACGCTATGAAGATGGGAAGCGCAAACGCTCCATATATCCATCCGCTGGAACCTGGAAAGTCCATCACCAACCCTCCCGCTAACCAAGTAGGCTCAAGCATCACCACCGAAGAAGCCCGCTAGAAGGTTGCCTATTCCCAATTGTGTCTCTCGTGAACCACAAGAACCAGTGTAATCGACCGAGGTTCCTGATGCGGCCACATCACTCAGCGGGAGCAGGCGTGGTATCGTCGTCAGCTGCAGTCGTGTTGGCAGCAGCGGCAGTCGCAGCACCAGCGTCCTGAAGCTTCTTGAACTGCTTCTGCAGGAAGGCGCCCTGAGAATTATTAGCATGATTCACGTCTTAGCGAGGGCCGGACGAAAGGCGGATTGGTCGCCAGCATTCAATGCATAGCACAGTGCGCGCCTAACATCCAGGGCAAAGAGATGCAAAGGATTACTCACAGTGTAATCGTCCGTGCCCAGCTCCTTCATGGCAGCAGCGATCTGATTCCACTTCTCCCGCTCAAAGCGCTCTTCAACCGTCTTCTTCGCTTCGAAGAGCTTGGGCTTGTCATCTTCCTTCACAGCCTCGATATTGGCCTTCAGGCGGGCGTAGCGGTTTGGCAGCGTCGATTTGGCAGGCTTCTTGCCAGTGATCATCTCCCACATGTCGTTGATCTCAGCCCATGGTTTGCCTTCCTGCAGTCGTATTAGCTTAGCTGTTTGCAGTCACGTGCATCAGAACGATGATATCTGGGAATGCCGTTTGATATCGGTGGGTTGGACTCACCTCCTTCATCTTCAGCAGGACCTTGTCGGCTTGGGAGAGCTCATCGACTGAAGTAGCGATGGCCGTTGATTCGGCCTGGATGCACTTAGATTAACCAGCGCTCTTTGATGGGTCATTGACCTAAGATATATGATTGTAGACTGACAGGCTTAGCGGCCGGTGCCTAAACTGCTGTTAGCTCTGACACATTTTATGATAGATGTCTTGGATAGATCTACCTTGCGCTGGCGAGGGGTTCCTTTGGTCTTCTTCTTGGGGCTCTCGTCATCGTCGTCCGCCTCGTCGTCCTTCTTCTTCGAGACGCTGGCACGTTTCTTCGGCGTCACGGGGATGGCGGCGGGAGTATCTTCATGGGCTTCTTCGTCCTTGACCTTGGGAGGGGTAAGGTCAGAGGCATTGTTGACAGAGGTGAATTTGGGGGCGGCTTCGGATACCAGCTCAGCGGCACGGTTGGGCTCGTCAGTGGTGGTGTCTTCCATGGCTGCTTCGCTCTGGAATGGGATAGGAGATGTGATCTTTGGAGAGATGTTGTGATTTGTGGAGGAGCGAAAGGTGTGCGATGTCCGTCGAGATGGAAGAGGTCTTCATGGGCTAGCGCCTGGGAGGGTCGGGAGAACAGCGTTTGATATGTGTGTGAATGTCATAGTGAAAGTGAAGCGTGGTCACATGACCTTTTCGAAGTGTCTGTCTTCTTCGGTCCATTGACAAGTGCTAAGGAATCAGTCTCATCTATCAACACATGGTCCAATACTTACATGCTTACTGCCCTTATCACTCAGTCCTCAGTATATGTTGTGTTCCTGCACGGTCATCGCGAAGCCTTTCTATCGACTATTGTCTGCCCACACTCGAGCCTCTTCACGTTCAAATGGAGTTTCGACATGATGAAAAAGACATCAAAGAGAGGGACTAGGAAATTCAGGTGGGTGATGAACAGGCCGAGAAGCGGACTCCTGCTGTGATTCTGTGTCTCGCTGTCCATTCTACACTTCAGAACATGATTGTTGCAGAAAGGATTATTGTCGGATGCTTCATGTTTCTCCCTACAACGTCCGTAGCGCCTCCAAGATGACCAGTCGGAGCTTCAGAAGCAACTACATCCCTAGCACGTCATCACCTCTACTGGCACTACCGCAAGGAGACTAAGACAGCTTCCGAGGTTCTCCAATCTATCGCGCTGGAGCATTGCGGCGGTGCGGCTAAAACTTTGCGGCTCGGCACTTGGAATGACGCACCGAACCTGGCTCGAAGCTAAAGATCCAACTCGCTGAGCCGGGCCGGACATTGTGCTCAGTGAGCAATTTCCGTGCTGACTAGAGCAAGGGACTATTGAATCTGTTTTCACCACGGCAAATCTTCACACGTATTGGCCGGCATTCGGAAGGCCCGCAATTTGCTATAGCGACTAAAGGTGGACCAGGCTTCACTGATAGGAAAGACATTAATACTGTGTTTTGAATACCTTCGCGCCGGATGTGGAGCAAAAGCACAGCCGAGTTGCTTCTGGAAACGCTGAGAATCGCTCAGACAAGCGCCCACTTGCCATAGTACTGCGGACAAAGTACGGGAACCCCGAAGCGTGGCCGTCAAAGCCGTTTGTTGGAGCCGGACCCGAAGCTCCTGAATAAGTTTATCAACATGTCACGAGTCTCAATAAAAAGAGACAAGCAGAGAAACACAATACGAGACCCTTGATCCAGCGGCGGGCAGTCCCTGTGGATACACGCATGCTCAGGCCTACAACAGCCTTGAGATGGCTATTCGCTGTGTATGCGGAGAAGTCATGGCTTACATAGAGAGAGCGGCCACAAGCCTGCGATCGAGCGATGACATCGTCGATGATGTACAGAAAATTGGTAGCATATTAGTCTCAGGATGAGATTCTGAAGGACAGGTGAGAAGTCGATGTTGGCTCAACCCCTGTCTAGCGCCTGGCCAAGCCGCCGTAAACTCCACCGCCGAGAGGCTGACTCAACTTCTGGAGCAAACAGTGTCAGTCGACAGCACAGTTCATGCTCTCCTCTCACACACGCCTCGCCAGCCTGGTTACTGTACTGCCGCTTGTTCGCACAAGGAACTGTGGGCTGCTGCATGTTCCACAGACACTTCAGTAGTTTGTCCTCTTGCTGCGGTGACCGCCTCGCCGGTCGGGCCTCTTCTCTAAGCATGTTGAGTCACGACATCTGCTTGCTTCCACAGAACCCTCTCGCGAACTCCGAAATTGCGCTGCTATTGCCGCCTATACCTCTTCTGTCTCATGTCTTTATGCATTTGCGGGCACTACGTGTGCGCGAAGGTACCTTGGGAAGTCAACGTTGCATGAGCGGCCGGCTCCTGAAGGGCTGAACAATTTCGATGGTGTTTCTCCGTATACACCCGCCGATTACAAGTCTCTCCTTCCTTTGTCAGACATTCGGGTGTTTTCGTCCTCGGCTTTCTTGTGCGGTCGACTGATCTCAGGATCTATATGCGCATTGTCTTAATCATGATGAGCACGTGCTGTCAAAATCACTCCCATTGCGGAGCAATGGCCACGCAAAATGACCTCGGGCGGCTGCAGAATCATCTGCTTCCCTGCTCGATGACTGTGGCACTCTGATTCACAATCCTCCGAGGCGTAGCTCGCGAAGAGTCCTTTATGGTTGAACGCCCTGCCAACGGTTCGCTGTATCGCTGATGGTGCAGGTAGCCGAGCATACGATGCTGCAAGTACCCGTGAAAGACTGCCTTATACAGGACGTTGAGCCAACCGGTGTTCGCGTACCGCGCTCCCGGCGAGCCTAGATGCCTGAGAATGGATTCAGGCAACTTCCGTTTGTTTGCTACTCTAGGGAGTGCCAGTAGATTCTGCGCAGCGAAGCTGATGGATCCTAGACATCGCCCACCTGCTAGCCAAACTCGATGCCGTGTGACAAATCGCGCTAAAAGCAGGGCAGTTGAATTTGGGTCTTCGGCCTAAGGCAACACAGCCCTTGGGTTATAAACAGACTTTCAGTTCCTGGCCAACCTGCTTTTCTCTAGTCTTTAAAGCACGCCATCAAGAAAGATCCATCATCACTCAGATAATTGAAACACATTACACCAGACAGATACCAATACGATGGCCGCTCTGGTCATCCCTGACCGCTTTGGCTTGATGCAGCCCCAACACGGTCGACCCGTTCCCATCCAACTCGGTCGAGTACGCCAGATGTTCGACGTTCAGAGCGTTGCCAAAGTCCTCCCTGGACTAGTTGAAGACCTCCGATACGGCCGAGGTGTCGTCGACGTCAGGCGGTACATCCACCAGTCAGAGCTGGTTCAGACTGGAGAAGTCTCGCAACGAGAGATGCGAGAAGTATGGTCGTGCATCCTCGCCTCGCTCAACCGTCAAGAGGGAAACGCAAGAACAAACATCACCTTGACGGACAGGTTGGAAGAGTGCTATAGGATCGACCGTCAGCAGAACATAGGCGGCCCTTCTCGCTACCCGCAGACTTTGACGTTCTTCTCCTGTCTCAGCGAAATTTCGCAGCAAGTGCACTCCAGGTGCATCGGTACAATCCTGAGCACCTTCTTCAGCAAGCACGGGGAGCACATCAGCAGGACAGACCCACGATGTCTCCTTCAGTGGGGGGAAGCGATCATATCCTCAGCGATGACCGAAGGCGAGATCATGACCTGCGCACGGGAGATGATCTCCGGACGACCCAGCCTTCTTCGAGAAGCTCGCAACTACCAGCTCGAGTGGACACCAAACACCGAACTCTTTTTGATGGTCGTGGCCGACCTCATGGCCCGCATGGAGGAAGGAGAATTCGACTGGCCAGACCGTGGCCGAGGCAGATGGCGAAGAGGTGCAGGCTTGCATCCTCGAAGGGACAACTTCTATCGCTTTCCCCGCCAGCCGTTCCGGGATGACTTCGACTACCCTCGCGGCTTCCGCGGTCCCGCTTTTGGGGGACTGGTGGACGACAACTACCTCTTCGATGAGCCACGGGGCTTCGGCGAGAACTACAATCTAGGTGGAGCCGCCGTCCGGCGCGAGATTGAGGACCTTCGCGATGATGTGGACGATGTGCGGGCAGAGGTCAAGCAAATTGGCAGAGAGGTGGCACTGGACCGCCGTGTACCTCGCGCGTTTCGCAATGATATCTATGCTGGAGGGTTGGATGATCTAGACGGACTCAACCTTTTCGGTGGTCGACGGCTTTTGCATAATCGACCTATGTTCTGACCTATGTTCTGACCGCTGTATCTGCATCTTTCTTGTTGCGCAAGCCGCTTTTTACTGCTTGCTTCCAACACTTTGGTGCCCCAAGCACTCTGTTGACATTTCATTTAGCTGTATTCCAATCTCGCCTCAGTCGGAGGCCTTTCTGTATGCGGTCCACTTTTAGTCAACCGTTTCAGTTATAATCACGTGACGTACCTACCGACAAAAGTGTCTTGACAATGAGCTTTCTTTCTTTCTCTTCGGTTTTCAAATCGAATGTAGATAATTGACGATCCCAACGCATAGGTATTGACGCTCAACCATCCGCTGCAAACCCCCACATGACTGGGAGTCTTAACTGCATTACCTTACTGTATCGGCTCTAACCTTCGGTCCGGTTTACAGACGGCACTCTGGCAATGCAATCCAAAGGGTAAAGGGCCTGGGCCATGTCTAGTACGTTGGTAAGATTCGGGTCACGTGCTGATATCGGAAGCTCGTAAGCGCATCGTGAGGCAATCGTATTCGTAGCAGATACTCTCGCTTGTTCTGATCTACTTAGCATCCTACTCTTCCCATATCGCTGTCCAATCCTTCCGTACTTGCTCGAGCAGCACATCCGGACCGCAGCGCTCGCGTCAACAGCCCAAAGACATGGGTATGCGCTTTAGAAGAGGAAGCGTCGTGCTTCCTACATGGTCCTCCCGCCTTCCCATCAGCCGCAGAAGTGTACAACCCAGGCCGTTCCTTGGCATACAAGGGTACTTATGGCGGGTTGTGTTTTCGGCCTCTGCCCGTCTTTCCCCAGCGCTTGACAGACAACGTGCAGTGATGCTTCCTTTCGAACCCGTACCATGGACGTGTCCCTCAACATTTCGGGTCCCGACTCAGGACTGGATGCAGTCCGTGTTGCACACTGAAGTCCTATCTTTAAGCGTCTCGCCAGGATGCTCCAACTTGGTTCTTTCCACCCCTCGTCCATGACCTCGTAACATACCTGATACCCCAGCCTCTTATGATAGCTACCTCAACCACCTGAGAACAAGGTAACAAAACACAAAAAACACAACCACACACGTCCAAAAAATCCACTTATCCTGCCTGGCCCTCCTCTCCACCATGCGAATAGTATCCCCACTAATTCCCAGCGTGTTGGCCACACTATACAGCTTCCGCTGCGTCCCCTTCAGCATCTCCCGCTGGTCTCCCAAATCCCCCAACACAGCTCGCCCGCGCTCCAGAAACTCGTCCAGGTGCGCGTTCGTGCTCGCCATGAACGATTGCTCCCGAAACGCGTGCGACTCGCGTGTCGCGTCTGCCTGCGAAGCGCCTAGCGCGGTGTGTTGCCCCTGGATATAGCTTCCACCCCCCGGCCGCTGGAACAGCGGATTAGAGTTCATGCCCTGCACCTGCGCCTGCGCATAGGGATTCTCCGGCGTAGCGGTATGATGGGGCCGTCGTCCCAGCAGCTCATTGCGCGAAGTGACGGTCTGCCGCTCCTCGGCCTCGGAGCGCAGCGCCTGCAGCTGGGCCCTGTACTCGGCGAGCTCGGCGCGGAAGTTTGTGATGCGGCCGCGGGCCTTCTCGGCTTTTTCAGGGATCAGCTCGGATTTGGAGAGGGTGGTGTAGTCGTCGATAGTACGGGAGAAGGAGGTTAGGGAGGCGGAGAGCTGGCCGAGCAGCGCGGGGGAGGGGGTGGGGGAAGAGGCGAGGGTGGTGAGCTCTTTGCGGATTGAGGTGCTTTGGCGGAGGGCGGAGTTGAAGAGGGTGTTCTGGGTGTGTTTCAGCTTGGGGGGAGTTGCGCTGAGAGTGTGCTTGAACGGACCATTGTGGAGAGGCTCTTATTCTGCCTTGATTGTGTTCAAACTTCGAAATATCTATCAGTTCTTCTGTTCGCGAGAGTTATTAGAGAGGGTTGTAAGAGTTTTTTGTAGTTGAGGGGAGGCTACGACAAATTGCTAGGCAGCCTTTGAGTGAAGCTCCAAAACAACACGTTGATGAATTGCAAGTATTCTGCCGCATGACGAAGGCGGTCAGATTCTATCGTCCGGGTCCTCGAGCGGCCACGAGCTGAATTGTTTCAACATGCAGCACCGCGTCCCTCCCTCTTCCTTTTTGGAGACGACATGGCATATGTCGCCGCTGGCACGTTATCAGCGTTCATCGAAAAGCGTACCTTCCGGTGTAGGTGTCGTTGCAGCTGGAAAGGCTCCTGGCAATAACGTCACTCCACCAAAAGCCTTGCAGAACAAGCGGCAGCTGTTACTTCCCGGAACAGGTCTCCGAGGTCTTCTCGATGTTTCCCAAGGAGCGGCTGGAATCCCCTCACAATGACAACCCGTACAGATGCCTGGATATGGAGATACAGCAGCATGCCTCAGTCACCTTCCTATTCCGGTAAAGGAGCTACAACAGCTCCTCTCCTGCGCTGCAGCAGCAAATCGCCGGACAGTCGAAAACTCCCGCCACTCCTTGCTAAAGTACTTCAAGTGCGCCTGAAGGAGGCGTTACGGCATCGTTAATCACTTGGCAAGCCTCCCGCAGAGGGGTAAACGTGCCCACGAGCTCCAATAGGCAGCTGTCAAGGTAGGCTTGAGGTAAGCTTCAGTTTGTGATGTCAATCGGTTTTTGAAATCTTCCGAGATGCGGGCAAGTCGCGTGTTAAAAGACCGCATGTCTGCTCCCAACTTTACTTTCCAAGTCTTCGTTCCGTAAACTTCTCTACCATGCGCGGTTCAATCCTCTCGATCTGCGCCCTGGTTTCGGCCACCTACGCAAGTCACGTCCTCCTCCCAAGAACCCCTTCAACACCGCTCTACGGCAACGCTTCTGCTACCAACCTGTTCTCCTGCGCCGCCGCATCATGGCCGCAATCGGACGTAGGCGTACCGCTCACGCCCCAACCGGTAGACAGCGAATTGGCAGGGCTGCTGTCAGAGATTGATCCAGCACGGATCGAAGCCTACATCGCGAAGCTCGTCTCCTTCGGCACCCGGCACACGCTATCTGCGCAGAACAGCACGACCCGTGGGATTGGTGCGGCGAGAGACTGGATTGCGCAGGAGATGCGGTCGTTCGCTGCTACATCGGAGGGCAGGATGACGGTTTCTGTCCCTGGTTACATTCAGGGACTTGAGGCGAGAGTCCCATTCCCTGTCTTGATCAGCAACGTAGTTGCGAGGATTGAGGGCTCCACGGACCCATCTAGAGTCTATGTGATTTCGGGACACTATGATAGCCGGGCGAGCGACCCCAATGACTATACCAGCGACGCGCCTGGTGCGAACGATGATGCCTCTGGAGTGGCCGGTAAGTCGAGTCGCCCCCAGCTGTACCTGTTAGCCAATCCAAAGGCTGATCTGAACAGTGGTGCTTGAAATTGCCCGTATCCTAGCGACTCGCCAGCCCAAAGCAACTATCCTGCTTGGCGCCGTCGCCGGTGAAGAACAAGGCCTCTACGGCTCCAACTTCTGGGCACAGACTCTGCGTAATGCCAGCGTAAACGTTGAGGGCGTCCTAAACAACGACATCGTGGGCAGCTCAACCGGTGACCGCGGCCAACGCGACCCTTACACCATCCGTGTGTTCGCACAGGGCCTACCACCCACCGAGTCTGCGGCCCGAAGAGCCCAGCGCCTGACCATCGGCGGCGAGAACGACTCCCCAGCGCGTCAACTCGCACGCTTCAGCGTCGAAGTGGCCGCCAACAACGCAACGGGCATGAACATCGCCATCATCTACCGCCTGGACCGCTACCTGCGCGGCGGCGACCACAGGAGCTTCCTCGAGGCCGGCTACTCCGCCGTGCGCTACACGGAGCCGAACGAGGACTACGCCCACCAGCACCAGGACGTCCGCGTCGAAAACGGGACACAGTACGGCGACCTCATCGAGTTCGTTGATTTCGAGTACGTTGCCCGTGTCGCGAAGGTGAACCTCGCCACGCTGTGGAGTATTGCGAATGCGCCGGGGCAGGTAAGGAATGCGACTGTTAACGCGACGCTGTTGAGCAACGACAGCCAGTTTTCGTGGCTAAGGAGTAACGACACGGATATTGAGGGGTATGAGGTTGTCTGGAGGCCTACGGCTGCGCCGCTGTGGACGCATGTTGTGGATGTTGGTCTGGTTAGTACGGTGACGCTGCCGCTGAGCAAGGACAACGTCATTTTTGGGATCAGGTCGAGAGGGAGGAATGGGTATAGGAGTCCAGCGGTTTTGCCGTTTCCTGGGTAGGTGAGGTAGAGCAACTCTCGGAATGCTTGTAGATCAAGCCACGTATCATGATTGCGTGATTGTGAGGTTATCGTCTCTGCGAAAGGCTTCAAGGCGTTTGGCCACAGCTCTGTCATCCACACCTCGATGAGCGACGCTCGGCGAGGGCGTTGGCGAGTCCGGCTTGCCCACTGAACCTGGCACGGCGAGGGGACATGGTGACGGAATTCGTTGTTGAGGCCTGATGCGATTTCCCGCGCTGCTTGATTAATGATCTAGGCTTTGCGGGCTGTATGTCCGACGTTTACCTACGATATGTCCGCGCCTGTTCTAGTCGACATCATGGTTTTAGTGCCGCCTTCTCGCCGCAGATGATCCGGGAAAAAGGTGATGTCGAGCTCACGATTCCGAAGAATAGGCGTGTTTTTGACCAATCAAATCACGTACTGGCAGGCTCGATAAATCGTAAACCAACGGCTGGTCGAGGACGCTGTCAGCCACCTGCATTAACATGACACGACAGGACGACGCTCAACTTCTCCTTGTCCTTTCTGAGTTTGTGAAGTTGGCAGCAGGCTTCGAAGGTTTGCGGTTCTGCACGTGGCCCTGAAGACGCGTGTTTTCTTCTGGCTCAGCATCAGCATCAGCATCAGCATCCTCATCCAGGCCCACACTGGATGGATGACTCTTCGATGCCGCATTGCGTGATACTCGCCTCTCCAATAAGGGCTTCGTGACGGAGTTGGATACGAGGACGCTTTCTAATCCGCAACGGTGGCCTGTCTTCGGCTTCACGAAAACCGAACGCCAGCCGCATCGTTGACTCACACTCAGCGACGACGGCGCAATTCTGTCCTCCAGACGGGATCAACCCCGCGCGCATTCGTCAAGCGGCTCGTGGCTTTTCTCCGGCGTGTTGCTGATCATCCAAAGGCCTCCAGCCGGCTAAACTGGAGGTGGCTGCACCTGTGCACCCAAAATGCGGCCACCTCTGCGGGGATATTGCGGCTGATGTTGCTGCTGCTTGCTGACACTTGCATGCGGAGGTAAGCCCACGTTTTCGACGCTCTTTAGCGCAGGGCGGTACGGGCTTAGCAGATGGACATAGTCTGCATGGCACAACGATGAGTCGGAATCTTGAGGGCTGCTTTGTAAACTCCATCGGTAGGGCTTCGGATCAGTCGACGATGCAGAACTTGGCCGGCGTTGCGGTGGGTATATAGGGACCGAGAGATGCTGGGTTGAGGTTCTTGCTCATCACCACCAACCTCCAACACAGCCTCGACGGATTCAAAATCCAACCAAGACTTCAGAAACCTCAAGCTCCAAATCCTCGACGGATTCAAAATCCAACCAAGACTTCAGAAACCTCAAGCTCCAAATCCTCAGCGAACTCAAGACTCAAAGCCCCCTACCATACGCCGTCTGCATAGCCTCCTTTCCGGCCCCCATCAAACTTCATCGTCGTCTCGACCGTCTCAGTCTCCTGCTTCTAGCCACGAGTAAAAGAATCAAAGAACCGTCTGCGTCCACCTTACCATCCTCAATAAACACTTCCAAACTTTCTAGAACTTCCAACCCCTCAAACCAAAATGTCTTTCCAATCCACCGCTCTCATGACCCTCCCCTCAGTCATCGACACCCCCGCAGCCATGGACTCCTACATCAGGCACGTCGAATCTCTGCTTGCTGCCGAGAAGGCCGAAGCTGCCTCCCTCAGGAGCATGTCATCCGCCTCTCTCAAGAGCGCATCATCCACCTCCTCACGCTCCTCGCTACTGAAGAAAGTCTTCAAGAAGGAGAAGAAGATTCCCTCCGAGGCGCCGTCGGCTAAGGCTGAGCGCAAGGCGCTGAAGGCTGAGGCTACTGCGACCTACCTTGCCATCAGATAGGTAGTGGCTTGAAGATTGTTACGCAAGATACCGATGCTTGCGAGGGGAAGAATCCGAGCCGTTTGAAGGCAACCAGGGCCTAGAAAGAGAAGGGGCTGTCGAAGGCCGAAGTAGTGGATGAGGATAGAGGGGCCATTATAGGGCCATCGCCTGCTGGCGAGCTGTTGAAGGAGTGGGACGTGCATGGCAGGCCGAGTGGGAGGGGAGGCGGGGACGCTCTAAGGCGGGAGAAGGGGAGGCCGTCGGGTTGTTTTTTTTGGACTTCTGTAATTCCTTCCTGTCAAGCGTTCTTCCTGTCTTAGTTTGGCGTTGATGTCTTGGAACTCTTCTGTCAGGGTTGGTACAACGCATTCTACTCCAGAACATTCCAAAACTCTTCTCACGTTTCTACCACAGTGAGCCTAAAAACGCCGTCATCATCTCTGTTCGAACTGGTACTCAAGAGTGCACGTGCAGATTGCTGTGGTTCATGGGCACGCATCGGCACTGATCCAGCTTGCTCTCCCTCAACGATCTGCATCCGTCCTTCTCCTCCAAGCTAGTCTGCCTCTTCACGGCGCCAAAGGTCTGTGGCTTGCTCGAAATCCTCTCTTGCTTCACAATACTGAAGCTGCGGGCGCTCATTACCCTCCGCCAGGGCTCAGCACTGATTGGCGCGCCGACTAGTGCCGTACTGCAGCTCTGCTTCACCGGCATTAACCGCTGCTCACCAGCAACAAGCGGCCGTGAAGACATAGTTAGGCGGTCACGCCTGACGCCGTGGCTCGTTTCCGCGTCTACTTAAGCCTGGCATCCTTCTCCAAACAACCACCATTTTAACAACATCGTCAAACTCCAGCATCACCTCAAAGAACTCTTCAGCATCATCGCTTCCAGGCAGGGCACTCTCAGTCAAACAAGCTGTTAACAGCCACTGCGTCCAAGCTTGCTCGTCACTCATCATCAAGGTCAAAGCAGCGCAACAGCGTCAGCAACATGCCTCGGTGGGTAGTGCCTCGTCTCTTCCTTCAAGCTATTTCATCATGTTGATTATTGCGAACGTTTGCGACAGCTCTATTCTAACGACGCCCTGCAGATCCCGCACAGCCGAGCGCTCCGCTGCGTACGATGCGCGTGACGACTCCGTCGACGACGACTATGATCACGACGACGATGCTGGCCAGCTCGGTACCCCAAGTGAGAAATACTCCTTCTCATCCTACATTCATCCCAGATCACTACAACGGGAAGACGGTGCTGACATTTCGACTGCTCCAGGTGATAACCACCGTCGTGATGCTGAGTTGATGCCGCCACCTACGTCCGCTCGCAAGCGTCGCGTCCCATCGCCTGCTGCTGTTCCAGCCTCGAAGCGCGCTGCGCGTGCGCGGGGTCCCTTCGAGAACGCTGACTACGAAGATGAGGACGGCGCTGCTGAGATAGCAGATCGCAGATACACTCCATCCATCGAGGAAGAAGAAGACGAAGACGATAATTACAATCCCCGTCGCGGCCGCACGTCCGAATCTCCCCTCTTCACTCCTTCCGCTAAAGCATCGTCCCGCCGCCACCTCAACGCGCCCAGGACCAGCAGCCCCTTGAACCCGCGCTCCAGCCTCACCAAGAACGCTTCATCCTCCAAGCCCACCGCCAAAGGCCTCGCTCCCGCCTTTCTTGACGAGACCACCGACGACGGCGCCCCCATCTACCAAACCGAAGCCCACCGCCTGAAAGCCGAGCTCGCGCGCGAAGGTCTGATCAGCGCCGCCTCCAAAAACGGCGTCTACACACGGAAGCAGCTCCCTGAGCACGACCCGGAAAACTGGAAGATCAAGGAGATGCGCCAGCACGACCACATGAGCTGGGCCGAGATCGCGCGGGCCCTGAATGAGGCACGCATCGCGAGCGGCAAGACGCCCAGCATGACTGAGGCGGCGGTGTATGGCCGCTTCGTGCGCAATGGGCCGCGTATTGCGATTGCGCAGGGCGAGGCCGACTTCAATCCCAGCGACTTTATGCATTTAAAGCCGGCGAAGGAGACGCAGCCGGTAGTGCCGCCGATGATCACGTTTCCGGCCCAGCATGATGAGTACCTCGTCCAGGCTTATAGGGAGGTGCAGGAGGAGCTGTGGGCGAATGTTGCCAGGCGGCTGGAGCGGAAGTCGGGACATAAGTATTCGGCTGAGGCTTGTGCTCTGAGGTTCAGTCAGCTCTGAAGGTAAAGTGCGGTACTATGGTGACAAGTGAGCGCGGCTGATTTGGACCTAGGATCACTCTGCATCAAAGACATCTGCGGATCTGTGGCGATCACCAGCTCACTGACAGGCGGACGATGAGGCACACTAACGTGCGACCTCTCGCATCATCTCCTCCCAGCGAAGACCACCGATGATTCTCCACTCACAAGAAGTCTCTCCAAATTATTGGCATGCTTCGGAAGTTCGGCGTTCAAAAACCTTTGATTTCCTTTTCCTTTCATCAAAATCATGCAGTTTGCTCCAGATTTTCTTCCACTCTTGTATATCTACAAGCACCTGAGCGGTTTATGCATGGAACAGGAGTTGCGGGGCTTTGTACGAAAGGACTTTGCTCTTGGCCTGGCGTGGAATAGAGGACTAGTTAGGCTGCGTTTCGATTCCATCATCAGGTAGTCCAGTCAAGCGAGCTGGTTACATAGAATCAATGAGGACGCCTTCTACACGATTGTGTCCGTTCAGCTACTGATATTGATAGGATTGTGATGCATCGGCGTGTCTGAAATTGCTATAACCGCGAACTGGTACAGATCCACGCCATGCACTCTCAAACTTATCCAGCTTGCCAGCCCACCACCAAACATTTCCAAATGGGTTTCAGAACAAGCAGCTGACTACATGTTTCATATAAAGCCAGCTTCAACGAACATTGGTCGCATCGCCTGGTGGGCACTCCCGGCTGACGAATTCTCACGGCTCAATCAAAGCGAATATGGAAGCATCAGATAGTACGCTGGCCGGCTACATCCGTTTGAGCCTTAGCTGGCCACCTGCATTATTGATTCAGGCATTTAAGACTGGGAAGTCCGCTTTCTCGTCACATAATCAGCAGCTGACACATCTCCGTAGATTGAAGCGAGTTTTGCCATGCTTCAAAGTGATACAAGCAAACAACCTATTTCGGAACCTTGCAAGTGAGTTACAATGCTGCGCCAGAGGCCCAAGTCCCACCTGCACAACGCCCAACGGATGCACCGCTCGCAATGAAGGCCTTTTGCCTTACTATGGAGATACCAGAACCCTAGAAAACCCGTGCCTAAATGATAAGTTCGCCAGCTCAGGCAAAACCTCTACCTCGTCACCCGACTTCCCCTCCTACTCCCAAACACGCTCGACCGCGGACTCTGCACCCCCGGCGTCCCCACCGGCCCCTCAACCCTCCCAATCTCAATCCCCAGCCCCGTCTCAAATACCCTCGCCACAAGCCCCTGCACCGCCCTCTGCAACTCCCCTCCCATCTCGCGCCCCAGCAATCCCACAACCAGCGGCGCAAAGTCTTGTACATGTCTAGCGAAGACCTCATCCGGGAACGCCGCCCATCCATCCACGACATCGACAACCGTGGGTCTCCACGTCACGATATTCCTCTGCTGGCTCTCCTCATCGAGCCCCACGAACCCCTCCACAATCTCCACCGTCAGCGGCACGAGCGCCCCTTCCGTCTCCGGGCGGCTCGCCACTTTCTCCTCCGCACTATCCGCCACCATGCGGAACAGAATCCCGACAAACACGCCCGCGGCGCCACTCTCCTGCTTCAGCAAATTGGGCGGACTGCGCATGAACCCTTCCCGGAACAGGCGTGCCCTCAGCTCGCGATCCGCATTGAACCTCTTGGCAAAAAGGTAGCTCTTCCTGAGCAGCTGCATGAGACGCAATAGTTCGGGAGACGGTATGCAGTTGTACACGGCGTCGTTTGTGAAGAGCTCGTGCACCGTCTCGATCATGAGGAGCTGCAGGACGCACTTTGTGATTATTTGGTTGAAGAAGCGGCGGCGGGCGGCGGTGACGGGGACGGGGGTTTGTTGGGTCTGTTGAGTGGGGGTGGAGGCGTAGTCTTCGAGGGTGGTGGAGGCTGTTGAAAGGCGTTTGGCGGGTGTGGAAGGAGGGAGGGGTGGCGGAGTGGAGGAGGCGGTAGGGGTGTCGGCGATGGAGCTACCGGACATGGCGGAAGAGCTGTCGGGGGTCGTGACGGAGGGAGTGCGGCGTGGTGTTGGGAGGCCGTTAATGCCGAGCGCGTTTTCAGACGGGTCGTTCAGCTCTTCCGTCGGTGTGTTGGTGACGGATAGGTCGGTGATGCTTTGAGTGTCTGCGGCGGGGCCTCTAAATTGTTTGGTGCCATTCGTTGTGGGCTGTTGGGAAGACGAGGACATGGCAGCTGAGAAGAGAGCTGTTGCTTCTGTCTTGGCGAAGAGATCGACGAAAGCACTGACGATTTGATGCCAGTGCTCTGGTGTGAAGCGCTGGACATTCTGGAGAATTAGCTGCTGGAGACAGTTGCTGCCGATTCGTGCGAGTGTGTCGTTCTCTTGACAGATGCACAGCGCAAGGAGGTTGAGGAATCGATCCAACATGCACTCCAGAGAGTCGAAGAAGTGCGTGAAGAGGCTGATCATGTTGCGGAGAGCTTGGATCATGGTTGTGGATAACCACACGGACAGCTCTTCGTGGTTGAGAACTTTGCCCATCTCGGACTTGTCCTTCAGCACCATGAAGATCGGAAACAGGAGCTGGCGCCAGAGGGTATCCCAGAACTCCCGTGGGAAGTCTCCGCCGTATCTTGTCAGGGTCTCGAAGAGATAGTTCAGGGCTCTGTCAGCGACGGTCAGAACATGTCCTACTTGGCATGCCGGTATATTCAATGTTGCAGAGCTTAACAACATGGCGAATGTCCAGGCACATCAGTTGATAACAAAGATGGAAGACGACATACCTCGATCGAACCTCCAGATCCTCCCCGGTCATGAGCACATCATGGAAAGCAAACAGTACCGGAAACCAGAATTGCTCCTCTTCGCTCTGTCTGCTCGGCTGTCTCGGCAAGCCTTGACTCTGACTTTCCTCCATCCGCGCCCTGCCATTGGCCTCATGCACTCTACTGCTCAGTGGACACTCCGGCGTCCTCAGCATCTTTGGCACCGACGACTTGAGCATCTCGATAGCCTGCAAGCTCTTCTTCTGGAACTTCTGGTTCTTAGAAAATTGAGTCAGGCAGACGATCAGATCGGCGAAGGCGCCCTGGGAGATGACGACACCGAAGCGGGTGTTGTAGACTTGGTTCACATTCTCGAAGGCGAGGTTGACGATGTTTTCTGCCGCTGGTCAGCTCATGATTGACAAGAGGCGAGGTCTTCAAGGGTAGAGCAAGTATCGGCTTCCACATACCATATGGCTCCCTGGCAGCAACGGTGAACACCCCGAACATCGTCCGCCAGCCTGACCGGATATTCTCGCCCCTTGCCTGAATCATCTGGATTAAGCATCTCAGGACCATGTCTTTGACCTGCACGATGCTCGTATTATTAATGATATGCTCGAACGGCTTCAAGAAGTCCTTCTGGAATTTAAAACCCGGTAGCTCCTCAATCTCCATGAAACGCATAGAAAGCTGCCTCAAAGAGTTGAGCGCGAAGTAGACAACAGTCGTGTTCGTGTGACAGCCAACCTGGTTGAAGTGCTCGCCCAGCACTTGCCAGATATTCGTCCACTCGAAGCGCACACGAGTCATATTGTAGCCGCTGATCTCGACCAGCTTTTGAAGGCTGTAGGTGCGCGGAGACTCGCTCTGACCGGACGACTGTATCTCTTGCCAGCTCACCTGCGTAAGGGCTTTGACAAAGTAGACTATAGCCTCGCCGGACAGGTTGGCGGTGTTGGTAAAGATGCGATCGACGGCCCGGATCATGTCCGTCGACCGGCTCTCTTCTGCAATCTCGGACTGGTAGTTGATGGTGCTGTTTGAACCTCTCGGCCGTGGTCGGCTTGGGACGTTGAGGGATTTTCTCGCTGGAGGAGTTCGGGACTGCACATGCGTTCTGAGAACATCTGGTACAGCCTCCTGATCTACTCCGGTTGAGATGAGCTGAAACCGGTCGAGCTGACTTATGCATGTCAGTATGTCTCGCCATGCCTCCTTCAAGAAGTTCCCCTCGTTCTGCGCAACCTCTAGCAAAACCTTAAGCGCCTCGACATTCTTAGCCTTCATCTCACTCAAGTTGTACAGGTTCGTGAAGCGAGCGAGCGAGGCAACAAAAGCTTGTCGCGGGTTCTCCAAGTCAAAGAGGCAAGCGATACGGATGGCAAGCTTCTGACCCTCCATGCACAATCTGATAGTCTCCAGATTATGCGTGCTCTGTGCCTCTCCAGACAGAGCAGTGAGGAAGGGCATCCAGGTCACATCGAACATCGGGCCAACATGCTTGAAGGATGTGGCTGGTATGAATTTCGAAACAGTCGTTCTCGACGCGCCGCGCCGTTGCGCCCTGAGCAGAGTTTTGTACATTTGCTCGGTTCGATTTGCCATCTCCTCAGAGGCTTGCACGTACGCCTCCCGCTGAAGATCTCTGCCGACCGTTGCGATGCGCAGACTGATGTTGGACGCAAGACCTCCCGCAGGCTGAGCCGCTACACCTAGGTTGGCAGCCGTTTCTTGTTCAGTCTCCAGTACGATCTCGTTGTGCGTGATCTCATCGAAAATCCCTCGGAGGTAGTCATCAGGCAGATCTGCATTGTCATTGATACCACGATTGTTCTTGATGAAGTCTTCTGGTGTCATGCGGCGACCTTTGAGCTTGCTGCTGTGTTGATCAGTGTTTAGCATGATGACAGAGTACGCAAGAACATAGGCGGTGTCAGCGTTGGCGAAGGCGTTCGGGTTGCCAGTGATGTATCGCTCAGCAAACTTGAGCATGAAACGATCGATTTTTTGGGCCTCGCCTGGTAGCCGGAAACTTTGCAAGAACCGCCGAAGAGCGTCTACGAAGCGCGTCTTGGTGAAATCCATAGCATCGACGAAAGCATGCATGATCTTGATGTTTTCCTCGTCACCCTCCCCAAGATACTCGCCAAGAGCTTTCTTGTCTATTAGTTCGTTGCCTAAGAAAAATCTCGCGATATCTTCCGGGCTGTCAGACGGTATGAAACCCTCTTTTAGCAGCGTTTTGATGCCGCGCTTCGGCTTGAAGTTGAACTGCTTGATCGCAGCCGTAAGAGCCGTCTTATGCCTCTTTGCTCTCTCGAGCTCGCTTGGGTCGTCTTCTGCAAGAGGCGTACCTGTACCTGAAGATACCTCTGCGCCCGCCGCTTGGGGCAGTCCATTGATGCTGCTCCGCGTCTCCATTGACTGGCGCAAGTCATCGACTGAAGAGCGTGAATCAGGGTCGCGATCGGCTAATGTCTCTGCGATGTTCTGCTGCGCCCAACTAACAAGTGACCGGAGTATCTCTACCATGCATTCCAGCGACTCCTGCTTCATCGAGTACTCCGGAGGAAAGCCATGATCAACGCTCTGCTCAGCGTGCATCGATGTTGTTGTCAGTGGCGGTGGCAGCATTCCACGCGACTGCCAGTTCGACTTGGAGTCTCCGTGCTTCGCATAGTAGTCTTGGTAAGCCTGCTGCTGCAATGCAGTGATCGGGACTGGCGTGCTCGATATCCTCGACAAATGCTCGACGATTCGCTGGAACATGTTATCCAGTGCGGTGCGGTCGCAGTCATAGTTTAGATATATCTCGACCAACGCCCGTGGGTCTTCCGCAAGTCTCCCTAGTATGGTCAAGATGTACTGCTTCTGGAAAACGGGCGCGGATCGCTTGTCTAGTATCGCTAGGTACATCTCTTTGAGGAATACCTCTATATCCTTCTTTAACATAACACGGAGGTGTTTGGTCATCAGCCAAAAGATCTCACAGCTGACCTCAAAGACTTGTTTGGCCGCGCTGGCACCGTTGCGGACCAGGGTCAGGCAAAGGTAGTGCTTGATGGCTTCAACGAAGGATTTGGGTTCGGCGTTGTCATTTCCTTTGATCGTTGCGTGTGGTGAGATGAAGACCTCGACATTGTTGCTAATGATGGCGTGGATAAGATGAAGGGATAATAGTTTTGAGCGCATGCTTTGCGATCTGACGTCCAGCACGCCGTCTTTCGGCAAGCCTCGCGTGCTGGTGCTCAGTTTACACATTGATCTGAAAACGAGGAAAGCATCTTTAATGAAGATATCGTCCTCTTCGTCTTCATCGTTAGTCTCAAGGCCCTCTTGATGACTGCTCAGGATGTTCCCAGATGAATTGCGAACAGGCGTTCGACGCCCCTTAACTCGTGTAACTAGTGTCGGAGCATTGTCCTGGATGTTCTTGTCGTCAAAATCCTTGGTATTTTCAAAGCTCTGCAGCGTCAGCTTAGGGCCTGTCTTCTCCACCGGCACATCGCTTGGCACAGCTAATGAACCTTCTCCCGCATCAGCGTCGACCTGACCATCGCCGCCATTGATCTCGGAACTATCCACAGCAATGGTGCTGCTGGAAGTTTCTGCGGGAGTCTCCTCAGAGCCGCTTGCGTCTTCAAGGGATATCCGAGACAGGTTTGTCCGTGCATCTTTCGCCGACAGCCTTCCTTTCAGCCGCTCAAAGACAGTTCCGACCATTTGCGTCAATGCCCCTTGTGCCATCTGCTGGTTGATGCTGGATTTCGAGTATAGGAAGACATTGTAGGTCGCGCGCACCGCCTTCAGTAACCCAGCTCCATGGACTATGATTTTGTCGTTCAGTATGGCAGCGAGTAGCGACTTCACGATCTGCAGCTCGATTTCGGCGTGGGTTCCCTCAAGCGGAAAGCACTCGCAAATAGTGTCTATGGCGCGCTCAATGAGCGGAGGCGCATTGGGAGGGGCGGATTGGGAGTCGGCAGGAATGACGAAGTACGAATAGCTGATTAGCTTTCCGATGCAGTCAAGCGCGGTGGTAACGACGGAGACGGTACGGGCTCGTGATGCTAGGTGCAGCGGCTCGAAAAGGATCTCTGGATTGATTTGGGCAGGGTCCCCATCGTTCTTGACGGCTGCCAGCGCTCGCTGCACCGATTGCCCGAGCTGCTTGTTGTTCCGCGCATCTTTTGACGCTGCAATGTCTTCCAGTGCTTTCGATATGAAGACGAGGGAGCTCCTAGTGGATGACTGCGTGGTCACGTTCGTGGCTACGGTAGAGACGGAGTCGGTCCTTCGTCGAGGCGTGGGAGGCTGTGAGGGTAGTGACGAGTCGGGCATAGGTGGTGTTGTACCATTGGATGTGTTTATTTGCGGTATAGGTGTTTGTGCGGACGAGTGTGTTTCTGAAGCTGGTGTGTCTGCAACCTCCTGGGGCTGAGCCTCCACTGGTGTCTGACGTGCCTCCTCTTCCTGAGCGGCCATGGGCAAGGCCACTCTCTGGCCCTCCGGCACCTGCTTGGGCGACTGTGTAAAGCTGCGTGCCTGCAGGTTGTCCATGCTTGCAGCGCACAGCAGCTGCTGAGTCTAGCGGTCCTAGCTGTGCTGGAAAAGCTACGGGTGCATAGCGAAGCGACGTCGACGACCGGATGATGTTGTGTACTGGTGCTTGTAGCCTCCTCTTAGTGCTGTACTGATCCGCCTCGTGGCCGTGGGCTGTGTACGAGTATCTGAACTCCCTTCAAGGCTTACATGAAGCTTGCGGATACATGTTCCTTGGTGTTTCGTGCACGGGCAAAACCCGCCGGAGTCCGAAGCTCATCCAGCGGGTGCAGGCGAGGACGGCAGAGGACGCCTGGGCAGGGTTCACCAACACCAGCGGAGCCGTTGGGAGAGCGCCAGAGCACCAAGAGCACCGGAGCTCCCAACCTCATCGCCAATCCATCAGTCTACCTCTCTACCCACCAATTGGCCCTCGGAGCTCCTTTCTCTCCTTTTCGACCATCAGCTTCAGCTCCTTCTGCCTCTTCCGTCGACCCATTCCTGCGCTCTCGCAGCGGCATCCCGTCACCATGTCCACCGCAACACTCCTCACACGAAGCTCCGGACGGCTGTGTCTGAGAGCTTCGGCAAACCTGCGAGGCGGTTACAGCATTGCTAGGACTCAAAACACGATCGCGTAAGGCGCCGATTTGGAGCTTCAATCTCACTGAACAGTCCGCTAACCACCGTTGAGCCGCAGAAGCAGGACACCCGCGCTTTCAGCCCTTGCACGGTACTATGCCTCAAAGTGTGCGTACGCCCCAACTTAGCATTGTAGCAGCACGTCCCGGATGAGAAGCACGGCCATCACCAGCGCTATCTTTCTTCAGCCTCCAGCGTATGCTGTTATATCCGTCCATACAAACCGCTGACATGGACGATTCCCAGCATTCCCAGAACACACTGTTGTTAGCATGCCCGCGCTATCCCCTACCATGACAAGCGGCAACATCGGCACATGGCAAAAGAAGGCCGGCGACAGCATCGCGCCAGGAGACGTGCTCGTTGAGATTGAGACGGACAAGGCGCAGATGGACTTCGAGTTCCAGGAAGAGGGCGTACTGGCCAAGATTCTCAAGGATTCTGGCGAGAAAGATGTCGCAGTTGGAAGCGTGTGTTGATCTCGGGAGAGCCACACCAAGAACCCTGCTAACTTCAGCCCCAGCCGATTGCCGTAATGGTCGAAGAAGGCACCGACGTCTCTGCCTTCGAGTCCTTCTCCATCGACGACGCCGGCGGTGACAAGGAGCCGCCCAAGGAGGGCGCCAAGCAGTCCGGCACCGAAGCCTCCGAACCACCATCCGAGGACTCACCCACCGCGCCTGCGAAAGAGCCCAAGCAAGAACAGTCCTCCGAAAAGTCCTCCGACTCAGCACCACCAGCGGCGGAAGAATCCACCTCCGAAGGCGGCCGCCTCCAGACCGTCCTAGAGCGCGGCGGCGGCATCAGCCCCAAAGCCGCCAAACTCGCCCTCGAAAAGGGGATCTCAATCTCCTCGCTCAAGGGCAGCGGCCCTGGCGGCCTGATCACGGTCTCGGACGTCGAGAAAGCCAAGCCCGCGGCCTCTGCATCCGCCGCGCCCCCATCCCCCGCCGCTCCCGCCGGTGCGCCTACCTACGAAGACATCCCGGCCTCCTCGATGCGCAAGACGATCGCGCTGCGCCTGCAGCAGAGCATGAACCAGAACCCGCACTACTTCGTGCAGTCGTCCGTCAGCGTGTCCAAGCTGCTGAAGCTGCGGCAGGCCATGAACGCCGGCGCGGACGGCAAGTACAAGCTCTCGGTCAACGACTTCATGGTCAAGGCGGTCGCGATCGCGTGTCGGAAGGTGCCGGCTGCGAACAGCTCGTGGCGCGAGGAGGGCGGCAACGTCGTGATACGCCAGCATAACGTCGTCGACGTGTCTGTGGCTGTGGCCACGCCGATAGGCCTCATGACACCCATCGTCAAGAACGTGAATGGGATCGGCCTCCAGACCATCTCGGCGCAAATCAAGGATCTCGGGAAGCGCGCCAAGGAGGGGAAACTCAAGCCGGAGGAGTACCAGGGCGGCACGTTCACGATTAGCAACATGGGCATGAACGATGCGGTCGAGAGGTTCACGGCTGTGATCAATCCGCCCCAGGCGGGTATTCTGGCCGTTGGCACTGTCAAGAAGGTGGCTATCCCTGTGGAGACGGAGGAGGGGACTGAGGTCGGTTGGGACGAGCAGATCGTGCTCAGCGGGAGCTTTGATCATAAGGTTATTGATGGCGCGGTCGGAGGGGAGTTCATGAGGGAGTTGAAGAAGGTAGTGGAGAATCCGTTGGAGATGATGCTATAGGTTGGAGGACTGGCGGGAGTAGGAAAGATGCAGAAAGAAACATGGTTTGATGTACAGTGCAGAGATGCGGCAGGGTCGACTATATCGCAGTGGGCTTTTCTGTTGCGTACGCGCCTGGTAGGGGTCGTTGTTTGCGAGTCGTTCTGAGGCATGTGTACCAAGGTAGCAAAATTTTCTTTAATCACAAGACGTTCGACTATCATCTTAGATGTCATGGTTGTACTTTCGTTCCCTGGGTATAAGTATCCGTAACTCCTTGCCAGGCAGATCTCGCACACTAAAATTCCAATGCCTCTTGCATCAAACCCCATTGCAATCACCTTCCCCTTGCAGGATCAACCTCCTCATAAGGTGGCGGCGGCTCATCCGGCACGCCCGCCCTCTCCACAAGCTCTACCTCCTCCGTGGCGCCCCGTGCGACCTTCCTTCGTTTCTCCGTACCAGCCACAGCTTGGGCGGTCGCCTCCAGCGGCCTCTTCTCGCCAGTCTTCTCGCTGACAGAGAGCAAGCCCCTGCCCTTCGCTTCTTGGACTAGGGTGTCCAGGAACCTGAGCCTCCATGACTGGCTGGCTGGGTTGGGGGATGTGGTGGTTGAGGATGATGGGGAGAAGATCTTGATTTTGCCCTGGCTGTCTAGAGCAAACGGCGTGCAGGCGACTTTGCTGAGTACGACGCCTGGGTGTGAGAGGTCTAGGGCTAGGTGCTTCTTGAGATAGAGACTTAGGGCCGCGGTGAATGGTCCCGTTGGATTGCTCCTCTCGTCCTTCTCTCGTCCACTGTGTTGCATGCTCAGTGTTCTGCTAGTCTGCCGAGTCTGCTTTTCTGCTGCCGATATTTCCCGGCCCTGTTTGCAGAAGCCCGACACGTCGTCTGCAGCGATTGTGACGTCCAGATTCTTAAGCGAGGGCGTTGCGGAGGGGAAGCACAGCTGTATCCGCACGTCTCCAACAGCTCGGCTTTCTCCATCTCGTGCCGCCGTCTCGCTGTCTGATGGATCTGTCCTCTCATTCCGCGAGAGGACGCCCTCGAGGCTCGAAGCTAGGAAATCGGACCGCAGCCGCAGCGGCGCTATGCGGCAGTCAAATGAGGTCTCGAGATATTCGATCATCTTGTCTCGTACTGCGGCTGGAAGGCGTAGGAGTAATAGCGGGAGAGAGATGAACCCGGGATGTTCCACGTGCGTAGGGATACCTTCGTCAGAGGATCGGAGCAATATGCCGGTATGTGTAGCGCGCGGGTAGCGGAGCTCGATGTGTATTCCCCTCGCCTCTCTAATGGTTGTCCCTGCTCTTCCACTAGCACCCTCGTCGTCATCCTGCTCATGCTCGCCTTCTCGGCCGGCAGGTTCGCGTGGCACCTCTTGCCCTAACACGGTACCCTCGCGCCCCAAGAGCCTCCATCGACACTCCTGTAATTCCCCCTCTTTTGCCTCGCTTCCACCCAAATCTCCATCGTATATTCCGCGCAGCGCGTCTCCCCGCAAGGTCTCTCGTAGGCGATGGGCATGTGTGCTTAGTGTTGTGGCGTCGAAGAGGGAGGCATTGCCGGTGTAGAGGGGCGAAACGCGATAGAGGGTGAAGGTGGAGTTGTAGAGCGGGTTCTGGGAGGTGGTGTCTGACAACATTGGGGTGGGTTGAGGAGAGTTGGAGGGACGCGGGTAGGACGCGCGAGGGTGGACGCGCTGAGGATGGGTTGGGTGGGTTTACGGCGCGTTGATTCGGCAGAGCATTGCAGGGATTGGGGAGCAGGTGATTGTAGTAATGGTTGAGCGCGATGGAATGCGTTTCATGTACTTGAAGACTATCTGCTAGAGGTGTTTATGTTGATTGCACCGGCGCGACTTCGGCGGTATAGTCGGTTTCAAAATGTGCGGCCGTTTGGAAAATGAACTTCATCCCACCCCCCCTCGATTGTCGAAGACCAAAACCACGTTTACACATCGATTTAACGCATAGGATATCACTTAATACTCTCAAAAGATACAGCACAGCTGCAGCTATTTAACAGTTAAAAATTAAGAAGACTAGTAGCATTACGCAGCTAATAATCTACTAGAATACGTAGTTTCGTAGTGCACTTAATTTTTTTTTAAAAGCCCGCATGCTGCTACCTGCACGCCGCTGCCCGCGTGCGCGGTTTTTATTAAAGCTTTCCTACCACGTATCCCTTAAAATACGCCTAGATAAATACTAATCATTAGTAGCTACAGCTGTGCTACATCTTTTAATAGTATTAGGTCATATCCTAAGCGTTAGATCGTTGTGCAAACGTGGTTTTAGTCTTTGACAATCGAGGGGGGGGGGGGGGTTGAAGTTCATTTCCAAACGGCCGCACATTTTGAAACCAACAGTATCTTCACGTACTAATATATAGCCAAAATCGAGCTGGATCTGCAACAACATCAATGGTAAGAAGACCACACTGAAACCGCACGGGTAGTTATTGTCCAGCAGTCGGGCGTTCTCGTGCATCGACTTCGTGAGATGTCCCAGTTGGTCAAACCGTGTTTGAAAGCTACAGCTTTGTTCTTCTGCGACATAGTGGACCTCGACCGTGCCTCTCCGATATCCAATATTCCAACCGATCCGTCGACGGGTAAATCGCAACGGACTATGGGTTTAAGGTTCGTCCGTTTCGTCACACATTCTCGAAGCCATCCATGGATATATACGTTACTCGAGTAGTCCCGGGCACCTGTCCACTGATCAAGCACGTCGTCCTTCCCCACGTTTTGGCTATTCCACAAGACAAAGATAGGCGAAGAAGCGTTGCGGCTACTGCCCACATTGCGGGGTAGAGCGGCTCGGCGCGTGGCCAGATCGGAACCGTCTCTTTTAGCATCGTTCTCGTCTTCAGCCTCCAAATATCAACCTTGTGAAACGCGGAGTTGACACGTGAGGTTGGCTACAGCAATCCATTGAATATCATCCGAGCCCGCATACGATATCTTGCCGGCCACTTCGCTTGCGGCAACAATCTGACCAACACCCGACACATCTACCGGATCAGGTCTACCCCACCGCTCCATCTGCCTCCCCCAGGTGAGATCCTGTGAACTGAGCCCCTGCAGATCGCAGCCCAATTGTGATACTATCCCACAGCTGGAGTCATCAAGCGAGCCCGCAGGACTCCAGACGTCTAGTTCACGCCTCATGCAACCATAAGACTCTAAGACATCGCTGCGCGGTCATTTGACGAGCCGCAAGCATGGTAGGTCTTTGGTATCCTGGACGCGATTGTGCTTCGAACGATACATAAAGCAGATGTGCCCCAAAGCACAATATGAGCGCAACTATAGCATCTTACAGACCTCGATCCCAGAACCTTTCCTCCAGAACCTCGACAACTGCCAAGCACGATGAAGCTCCTCACGATCGTTGCTCTCTTCGCCGCGGCCGTGATGGCTGCGCCAGTTGCCGAGCTTGATGAATCAGCGCCTGCTCATCTACTCATCGTAATGGCCCCCTCCAAAGCTCTCCCGGACTTTTGCTAATCAACCAAGGCTCGGGCATGCTCCAGCAATGCTGGTATGTTTGCCCATAGTCCTACTAAAAACGAAGATATAACTAAGATTCTAGCTTGTGTGAGATATTGCTACACACAGTACAACAGTGCTTCCTTCAACTGCGCAAAATCTAAAGTAGGTGTTCCTCATTCAGCAGTCTGCGGCAACAGATGTCCCGTCGTGTCCCCCTGCGCGTCAAACCCTTCTTTTCATTACTTCTTCAAATGTCTGACGCTTCTCGCTCTAGTGCCAACTGTCCGGTCCTGGCGGAACTGGCCCCTCTTACTGCCAGTGCTACTGCACACGCTCATAGTGCGCTGTGTCAGCTCCCTGGTATTCTCACATGCATTGCGGTGGCATCTGCGGATACAGCTAGAGCGGAAGCCACGGGGGTCAGAGTCTGGGACGGGCTTTTGGTGCTTCTCCCGCTGGATAAGCCTGTTGTATCACAGCGACCTCACTATGGCCTACCGCAACCTGTCAAACAATTTATAAGATGTTCTTATCGGATGAGAAAAGATCGTATAAACAGCCAAAGCTGCTGAGCCTGTCGCAGTCAATAACAAACTACACTTGTCTCATATCGAGCTTGGTTGCTCCGCTTGAACACTCCGTCTGCTTGGTTACTTATCCGTCCTCTGAGAATACAGATTCACACTGAGCCAAGCACCTTCACATACCAACACATGTCCTACATCTCCATAACTAACATCCTCCAAGTTCCGCTTGTGAGACAACCATAAGTAAAGTACTCATGCGGCAAGGAAATTTTGATTGCTAGAGGTCAATTCAACAGCTTTCTGGTAATGAGGTCGTTCAACCAGCTGCATTCATCAACTATACCACAAATAACTGTTACCATGTACTAGAACTGCTTTTGACAGGTCGTGCTTTGATATGCAGCTTTATTTAGTAGCTTAATCTTTGATTATTCAGGCGTTCTGAATTATTGAACTTGCTAAATTCCGTCGTGAGCAAGCTTTGAAGCGGACCTGAAGCGTTCTGCTACCGCTTACCTCCCTCTTGGCAACCAAATACACTTTCCGGCGGCATGGGAGGAGAGTTGTGGAAACAGCTGCACAGCCTTGCAGAATTGGGAATTCAGCAGGCGAATAACTGGCAGGTGGAGAGGCTTACCGGGCCGTCGTGCCGAAGCCTTCGATGAGACTGACATCGGGACCTACGGCGATATGGAGCGGAACAGGAACTGCGCTACCTGTCAACACCTCCTGTACGCGCGCGAGGGGCCGGAGCTGGAGCCAGACACGATTATGCAGCTACATCGAGATAGAAACACGACCATAGAGTGTGAGATCACCGAGATCGGCTATACAGAAGAGTTCCTGCTCGGAGTCCTTCCCTTGAGGGCCAACGACGCCAGCTAGAGTACTGGAGTGCCCCTTGACCAGCACTGGATTGATATGGACAGGATCAAGAGATGGCTCCGCTACTGCGACGGAGCTCACCAAGGCTGCTGCCATCATCTGCCTGATTGGCAGTAAGTGAAACCGAAGAGAGAGCCCTGCACAGGAACCGCTGGAATCCAAGAAAGGCAAGAACTCAGACTCACACGTGCTCTTCGAGCTGAGTCTGTGAGAGTGCATGGAATGAATCTAGACAATGGTAACGGGAACAAAAATCACGCTGAGTACTCCGTGGTGAATATTGCAATCCCCTAGGATTTGTAATGGGTAGATATTGCCATGGTGCCCCTGCCTTATGCAGTGCCGGTTAGTTCGTAGCAGGCAACGACGCAAATCTTCAGCAAAGGTCCCATCTTGGCGGAGTTCGACAGCTTGACAGTCGTCGCGCTTTGCGAGTAGGAGTAATTGTTGCTCTATACCAATTCAAACTGTTCTAGGCGAGTTACATGACAATCACGTGATTCTGCAGGGTCAATCCTCCCTCATCAGTTAGAGAGAATACTGCATGTTGAGAGTGCTGCTTCGTCAGGAGACGGATTTTGGCTTCCGTCACTTTTGTGTTCGGCTGACACGGGTTCGGTTTGTGGCGTGAAATTGCGGAGCGGAGCAGGGTTGATATCGCCGCAAGCTTCGTGTAGTACTCAACAGGAAAGCCGCAAAAGACACATCGTCATGGCTAAGAACCCTCCTGATGAAAGACTGGTCTACTTAGCGTTGAAGAACATCTTCAAAGGAACTGATGCGCAAGCACGCAACCCGAAGACAATTCGCAAGTCCATCCAGAAGCATCAAACCCATCCCGGCATCCGGAGTCTTATCCACGAGCACAGCATCGAAAATGTGTGCAATACGGCCAAAGTTCTCCTTGAACAGCAGATCTTCGAGTCTACACTGAAGGCCAAAATCCGGTTTCCAGAGGTGTTCGAGGTGTCCCCAGCACAGAGCGCAGAGCGCGCAGCGTCTGAGGCTGAAGCTGCAAAGACTGAAGCGGACGCTATCAAAGGTGCGGCTGAGGGTCAAGCCGGGCCTTCAAATTCGGTAGAAAAGGATACAAAGAGAAAGGGAAAGGGAAAGGAGCGGCAAATATGTGTGTCTCTCATTCGAGTAAGGTTTAGTGCACCCGCTAAGAATCGCGGTAGCTTTCCAGGACTCAACTCCTCAATCCCAGAGACGTTCTTTTCCACACGCGAGTATCTCTGTTCCATCGCTTTATCCTGTTTACCTGCCTCTCAGGACTCAACATCGACTCCTAGGAAAGGTACAAGGCATTCTAGAAAACGCTTGTTTCAATTTCGGGCAGAAGACGATGAGAGATGTATTACAAGAGCAGGGATGGGACTGTCCTGAGTCTGGCGAACTCAACCTGTGGTCCAAAGTGTTTCTAGTGCATGAAGATAAGTTCGCAGCGGACGAGATGGACGAACTCGGCAAACCGTTCGAAGAACTCCTTGACTCGATGGAACACTTGCGTCATACTGCTGTGCATAGGCTTCGAGTTACTGTGAACAGAATTGAGCAGTTCATGGTGGACTCGGAATCTCTGGCAAGATTGCTACAGGACGAGACCTGCGCTAAAACCCTATCGCGACTCCGACGCGAAACTCAGCTGACCATCGATGAGCTGAGACGCAACAAAGATCTTCTGGAGTCAAGGCTTGCGGAGACGCTGAAAAGAATCGCCGCTCAGAGACTTGAGTTGGACCGCCTTGAGCAGACGGCAATGGAGGACATGTCGAGGGAGGACGAAGAGTATCAAAGTTTTGCCGGCACAAACCTGGAGCAAACTATCATGTCGCCCGAGACGATCGTACAGAGCGTAGCCACCACAGAAAACGAGACAGGTTCTGAAGCAGATGTGGACGTCGATAGCTTTGATGAAGCTGATGTTGGTCATGTGAGTGAAAAAGTATCTTGGTCTGGAGCAGCCGCATAGTTTTCATGTAGTGTTTGAATGATTTGTGCTTTTCGCCACAGTGCTTAGTTGTGTACAACTCAAGCGAAACGAGATTCTTAATGATGGTGTAAATCAACTCCATATGCCGTCTTAGTGCTGTTAATGGACGTCCTCGGGCAACCTTTCTACATACCAATCTGAGTTCTCTGCGGTATCTAGCATTACAGTTCCGGGTCTGAGTGTACTGATTTCAAAGCAGACCAAGCATCCACTTTGGTAAATTCATATCATATGAAAGAGGTATGAAACTGCAGCCGTGCCGGAAGTGAAGTCCTGAGCTTGCGGGAGGCAGTGACAGGGTGTGTATGAACTACGAAGATCGAGTCTATGAGTTCAGGTCTTGCCTCAGCGGAAGAGAATTCAGATTGTGGATCTCTTCATGTACCTCTCAACCGAATCTTCTACCAAGGCTGGGTCATGTCGAATGGTTTCATTTACTTCTGCGTTCTTTCAGAGTCATGAACACGGATCTAAAGACATCTATGCGTTGGCTGCGGCTTGGAATCCTACTGGCGTGTTGCCACGGAGCACTTTGTACGCTTCACCGGGCGTAAGTGGCGCCTACAGATAGCCGAGAGAGATTTCTGTCGAGCAGCCACGTTGGTGGTGAAGCAGTCCACATGACATAAGTGCCTTTCATTTCCCTCTTTTTATCCTCCGCTGCTCCCGCTTCATCCAGACAGAAGCATATCGAGTGTTCAACTCCATCCTTGACTCTTCCATTGCCTTGACAGCCTTTGCATATCGCAGCCACTTGCACAACTCTGACTACGACCTCCATCAGCCCCAGCCACCATCCAGGCTCGGCGCGCCTAGCCATCCATCAACCACCAACCCACTGAAGCACTCTCTCGTCCACAACCCTCCTCGGTCCATCACATCACAGCGCTCAACCCATTCCCCTCACCACGAACCATGTCCGCTCAACCCCCCGCCATCTACCGCGACGGCTTCATGTACTTCGACAGCCGCATGCACCTCGAAGTGCGCCAATTCGAATGGCACGCGCGCGCCACCGCCTCCGAGCTACGCGCGCTCCTCCTCTCCGGTCCCGTCCCGCCCTCAAAGGAAAAACCAGTGATGTGGTGGGAGGCCCAGATGCGCCACTACGGCTTCGCGCCGACCAAGTACTCCGACAAGAACAAGGCCAAGGTCAAGCTCGCTAGGCTCTTGACGGCGGGCACGTTAGCCGTGCCGGAGCATATTCTGAAGATCGAGGAGGGTATGAGGGAGGAGTATGTGGAGGCGGCAAAGAGGATGGGGATTGTGTTGCCTGCGGCTGAAGCTGAAGCCGCGCCTACCGCCCCAGCTGCTCCTCCTGCCAGCACTAAACCCGTCGACGCCCCCATCCCCGCCTGGAAGCGCAACCTCCTCCCCGCCACCGACGCCCCGCCACCGCTCCCCCGCCGCTACGACGCCGCTTTCACCCGCGCGGCAGCCGTAGCCCACAAGCGTATCCGGCTCGCCGAAGGCATCACGGAAGATGAGCGGGTGGATCTAGGCGTCGCGGCTGCATATGGCGCCGAGGACGAGAAAGAGGCGGCGGCTGCGGCGGCGGCGGAAGCGAGGCGAAGAAGGCCGACCGAGATACCTGGATTCTGGGGGGCGAGATACAAAATTACGGAGGGGAAGAGGGAGGTTGCTGCTAGGAGGAGGTTCGTGGGTGGTGGGAGGAGGAGAAGCGGGAAGGATGCGGAGGGTGGGAAGGCGGCAGTGGAGGGTGGACGGAGCACTGGCGAGAGCGCGGATGAGTGGGAGAATGTTGGAGGACGAGAAGGTCGGAGCGAAGGGGAAGAGAACTCTGGAAGATGGGAAGCGGAGCAGGGCGGTACTGCTCGGACGGCGGAGCGGATTACGAGGGTTGACGACGAGCCAAGGAAGAAGCGAGCCAGAGGACAAAGCTCTTCATATGGCCCTGAGGCTGGGGCTGAGAGTGACCATGAACAGGCATCAATGGTTGATGAGAGCTTCACGACAGAGACGTTGTCACGAGTGATTGAGGAAGGGAATGAGGCTCATGACGATGGGGATGAAGATGATGAAGACGTGCACGACGAAGAAGCTGGCCTGAAGTATGGGCATGGTGATGACTCCGACGATAGCGATGGCTCAGATGAAGGACTCTTTGTGCGTTGAGACGGGCAGAGGAATGGTTTCGGTTTGCGCCTCTACTAGAACCAAGAGTACCACCAGAGAAGACGGTTGATATTCAAGGGCTCTTCTAGCGACATTCAGCTTCTTGGTGCAGCAGCGGACCAGACTGCATTGAAGACAAAACAGTTGTAAAGTAGCGACTTAGAACTCGGAAGAAGCAGAACGAATCTCTTAAAGTAAATCTGTAGTACATTGGCGTTTGATAGCATAATCATGAGTGAAACGAGCCAAGACAAGCGCTTCCGCCGTACACCACTGGTTCAATGACATAAACTACACTGAAACTTAGACTCTAGGACATCGCGCCCAAAACTCCTGCACCAACACTGCGAAGACCCTAGGGTAGCGAACTCAAACCACTACTGCCGTCCAAAGTAGGCTTGCTGACCTCCATACGCCGGCGGAGGCGACATCTGATCGGTCATCATTGGCGTATCGACCGGTACCGCGCTATAAGTGTAACCCTGCTGCGGATGCGACTTCTGTTCGTACTGCTGAACGACCGGAGCGGCGACTGCAGGCGCACTCCAAGGCGTGGGCATCGGGAACTTGTGAGCGAAGATTGTGGTGACCGGGACGCAGGCATCCCTGCCCTTCCAGTCTGTAACGCCACGCCCCTCAAAGGCCATGCGCTGAAGCTGGAGCGTCTCGCCCTCGATCCACTCGAGGCGCTGGTAATGACCCTTGCCGGTCGACTTCATGACCCAGTGGACGATGTCAGTGAGCCAGCAGTTGAGCAGGATGATGACTGTGCCGCCACCCATTATGATGCAGAGGCCGACGACACTAAATGATGAGAAAGCGGTGCTGCGGATCTTCTGGCTGCTGCACATCTTCAGCTCGTCGCTTGCTTGTGGCGTGATGACGTATTCTGTAGACCTCGTGCCAGCCCGAATCTCGATGTCAGGCGGCGAGGCATACTCGACGACCCTTCGCTGTGTCAATGCCATGGAGACGTTCTGCAGATTCTGGACTTCGATCTCCCACTGGTTGTCGCTGAGTTTTGATGAAACGAAGTTGCTGCCCCAAAGAAAGTCTGGTGCCACCAAGGCCCGGCTCTTGAGCATGAACAGGATGTGCTGCAGTCGGGAGTCGCGAACAGCTCTCCACAGCACTTTGTACGTCGCCATTTGGTTCTGGTTGAAGTGGAGATCTGGGTTCACCGTAGAATTGACGTTGAACAGTCCTGTCAGCGGCGTGCATATGTCGCCATTGCAGAACTGATACTGCTCTGTGCAGGCTAGGACAGATTGAATCGTGTTTGGGTACCACAACCATGCGTCGTCCTCAACACCAATGTCCCTGTTGGCTCTTTCAATGTTGGCCCTGAACCAGGGGTCCATGACCTCTTCCGTGTAGCGGGCGTTGTTCGTGAGGCTCAAAAGGGTGACGTCAGCGTCCTCTTTGTGAAAGTCGTCTATCGGCTCGAAATCATGGAGATCCGTCGCTCCGCTGAATGCGGAGTAGCCTCTGCAGCGCTTGTCAGCCGCCTTATCCGGGAATCAAGCTAGGCTTTTGTTAGGACTTACTTCAAGGTGTAAGGCTCTGTAGAGGTGAGGAAAGAAAAGTTGCTGTAGGAGAAGGTGAAATTGGTGCCCCACATGTAGTTGTACCCCATGTCGTAATAGACGTACGTGTTCCCTTCGATCCTCTCAAAAACTTTAGGAAGAGTTACATTGGACCAGCCGTCAGTCGTCCAAGTGCTGTACCTGTTGTCCGCATCGATGGGCGCACAAGTCGTGACTTTTCTGTACTTTACTCGGTCTCCTGGTGGCATGTTGATGCCCAGATGGCTGTCCGAATCGATGTATCCAGAATCAACAGAAAAGGCGTTGGTGGTGTTGCAGACCCCATCGGGAAAGGGGCACTGTGCCTTCCCGTCCACCTGGGAATTGATTCGCGGCTGTGCATAGGTGGAACAAATAGAACCCCAATTGCTGGCCGACTCCCCATAGCACTGGCGGGCGTAGCTAGAGCCTTTTTGCAGGGTAGAGTGGGCCGTAGTGTACAACGCATCTGCAATGTCGTAGTCGTGTTGATTGTAGGTGTCACCGAGACTTAGAGCCCTCAGCTCTTCTGTCCATCCACAGATGGGGCTTCGAATAAGGACCTCGTCCCCAACAGAAGTGACTCGAGACGAGAAGATACCGCAGATGGCGAAGATGATCATGTGTGAGACGGTGATTATCATCAAGGGAACGTTGCGCCGGATTGCGCCGTGGGTGTTGTTCTTCCAGTTCCAGCCGAGCTTTGTGAGGAACCACAGCACGCTGGAATCGCTAAGAGCATTCCGCAGCACGGCTTGCTGTTGATGGTAGAGGCCGTCTCGCTCTTCAGGAGTCGACCGCCATTGGTGCAGGCAGAAGCAAATGATACTCCACAGGTGAGCGCCCGCCCATCGCACGAACAGCGCAAGGAAGGCGACGAGATAGGCTCCATGGTCGGCGGAAATGGTCACGGTAGAGCCCAGAACTGAACCCTTGGCTTCAATGCTGTCAGTGAGTCGCCTTTCTATAATCTCGTGACATAGCTTTTGCACGTACTCCAGTTGACCCAAGTGCCGATGTATACTGGGCTGTCCGCCATGGCGATAAGTGCTCCGCGATGCCAATCAAGGGAGACGGCCAACAGCAATTCTTTCCAAGAGACAATCGAAGAGAAGCTTGACCTACGTCTGAGGCCGGAATGGGATGGGTTGGGGTATTTACCGTCCGCGCCCTTGAGTTCAGCCCGAAGGCTCAGTGGCAGAGCTCACGGCGCTAAGGCAGCCATGTCGGCATAGATAGCAGGCTGCTGCTCGAGCGCAGTCCACATTGAGGATAGCAGAGCGACAGGGCTTAGTCTAATACGATGTTGCACGTCTTGGCCTGCGGGAAGGAAATGCTGGAGTTGAAGCTCGTTGGGCGGCTGTGCATGAGCTGAAGGATAGCACCCAGCCACGCTGGGGACCATGGAAGCTTGTTCCGCGCCAAGCGAGTCGTTTAAGCACAACTGGGAGCCGAGCGTCGTCGCCGGCAGTTTTGGAGTGAAAGGGAGTTCTTACATAGGGGCAGCGAGGAGCCGTCATGAACTTACTCCTTGCAGAGCGGTGTTTCATGAGGCGGGCCATGTTGATAACAGCACTCCACCAAGCTAGCTCCACCAAGCTAGCTTGAGTGCTCTACCGTGACGGCAGTAACGTGAAGCTAGAAATAGAAATAGAAACGGCCTCGTACAGCCTGAAATGTTTGAGCCTCACAGACGCCATGTCGTGTGAGACTGTAGTGACTGTCCCACAGAGGAGACTTACGGAGCCCAGCCCAGCCCAGGATCGTGGCAGCTTCTGGTACCGCGTACCGCACACATCGGAAGAGATATGAAGAAGTACCTACTTAGGCATGTACCCCGTACGCAAAAATGCCCAAAACGGTAAACTCCTGAATTCCCGCAAGGCACGATCGAGCGGATGGCAGACTCGATGAGATCCGTCCCGTGCCCCAGGTGAACGGGACGGGACACGTGACCTGATCACTGAGAAATCCACTTTACGCGCTGAGCCATGCGACGCGCGCTTTTCGCGTTGTAGTCGTCCATCCCTATCAACAATCACCACCAGTGAGCCCCTCCACCAGCAGACATTCCGGCGACTTGAACCACACAACGCCAATGTTCTCTTGGAATTAATCAGGTTACAGCCGCTTTCACCTGAAGACCTCAACACCTCACTGCCAGCAATAGCAAACATCAGGCGCTCCTAAAGCGCTTCCACAGACAGCATGGACGGCGGCATACAGCTGCGGGATGAGGCGGTACGAGATCGCATACGAGCCGCGGAAGAGTTCTTGGATCCAAGTAGGTGTATCATCTGCGAGTGTGCTAGACTACCACTTACATGGAAACAGATGACCCTCGAGCGCGGAGGTACTGTCAAACTGGCTCCTTGAAGCGGCGCCGCCATTGACAACAACGCAGTTACCGAGCCGATGTTGTACTGATGCTCAACCGTGGTCTTCGACGACTCACAGTACGCCCTCCATCCGCAGATACTTGGGCGTTGACTAACACACTCACAGGTCAGCATAGACGAAATCAGAGCGCATAATAGAGAGTTGGCAGACGGGTAAGCGCCTCAACTTGTGCTTTGAACAATGCAGCTAAGAATCCGCAGACTGCTCAACACTCCCTTCGATTTCTCCCTAGCGTTCGACCGAGCACTCAAGAACATCGTAACCGCATTACCGAATCGACCTCCGCATGAGACTGCCGACGATGTGGTAAGAGCCCACGACAACAACTACATAGGCGCAGGCTAAAACGAGCAGATGTACTACTGCGCGTACATTGGCAGCTTCGGCGAGTTCTCCTGCAATCCTCGCACCCTCAGCTCCTCCCATCTCAACCACATGGTCTCCCTCGAAGGCATCGTCACAAAATGCTCGCTCGTTCGACCAAAAGTCGTCAAGAGCGTGCACTACAGCGAGTCGGAGCTGAAGTTCCTCTTCAGAGAGTACGTAGACCAGACGATGACAGCAAGCGGCGCTACAAGCACAAGCGTATACCCTACGGAAGACGAGAAGGGGAAACCGCTGATAACGGAGTACGGATATTGCACATATCGTGATCATCAGACGATCTCCATACAAGAAATGCCCGAACGAGCACCTGCTGGCCAGCTGCCTCGAGGCGTCGACGTAATCATGGACGATGACCTGGTCGACCGTGTCAAGCCAGGTGACAGGATACAGCTTGCTGGCATCTACAGATCCCTAGGAGCCCGCGGCGCAGGTAGCGGCAGTGCGACCTTCCGGACACTGATATTAGCGAACAACGTCATTCTGCTCTCCTCGAAGTCCGGCGGTGGGATCGCGCAGGCTACAATCACTGACACTGACATCCGCAACATCAACAAGATATCGAAAAACAGGAAAGTGTTTGATTTGCTGTCACAGTCCCTAGCACCGAGTATCTATGGCCATGACTACATTAAGAAGGCGATTCTACTCATGCTGCTGGGCGGTATGGAGAAGAACCTCGATAATGGTACTCATCTGAGAGGGGACATCAACATCCTCATGGTTGGTGATCCGTCGACCGCAAAATCCCAGCTTCTCCGCTTCGTCCTGAATACCGCGCCACTTGCCATCGCCACAACCGGACGAGGATCTTCCGGCGTCGGTCTCACAGCTGCCGTGACCTCGGACAAGGAGACGGGCGAACGTCGCCTCGAAGCAGGTGCCATGGTTCTTGCTGACCGTGGAGTCGTCTGTATTGATGAGTTCGACAAGATGAGCGATATCGATCGAGTCGCCATCCACGAAGTCATGGAGCAGCAGACTGTGACCATTGCCAAAGCGGGCATACACACTTCACTCAACGCGCGTTGTAGTGTCATCGCTGCCGCGAATCCCATATATGGCCAGTACGATACGCACAAGGATCCGCATCGGAACATCGCTCTGCCTGACTCCCTACTCTCCCGTTTCGATCTGCTCTTCGTGGTCACGGATGACATTGATGATGTTCGGGATCGCCAGGTTTCTGAACACGTCCTGCGGATGCACCGCTACCGCCAGCCCGGCACTGAAGAGGGCGCACCAGTCCGGGAAGAAGGCGCGCAGTCCCTCGGCGTCGGGCTGGATCAGGAGGCCGACGCCAACAGGCCGACAGATGTCTACGAGAAGTTCAATGTTATGCTGCACGCCGGTGTTACAGTAACCATAGGCCGAGGTGCTGCCCGACGGGTCGAAGTTCTTAGCATCCCCTTCATCAAGAAATATATCCAGTACGCCAAATCGAGGATAAAGCCTGTACTCACTAAGGGCGCCGCGGATCACATCATAACCACATACTCGGCGCTACGAAACGACGAGCTAGAAGGCAACCAGCGAAAGACCTCGCCCATGACAGCCCGTACGCTTGAGACGCTGATCCGTCTCGCGACCGCGCACGCAAAAGCAAGGCTCTCGAACCGCGTCGAGCAGAAAGATGCCGAGCAAGCAGAGGAGGTCCTCCGCTTCGCCCTGTTCAAAGAAGTCGTGGCCGATGAGCGCAGAAAGCGAAGGAAGATTAGTAGAGCCCCTGACGCCATGTCCACGGACGAGGACAACTCGTCCGACGACGACGGCGGCGATGAGACTCAGAGGACGCGTAACGGTACCACGCCTCGCACACCTTCGCGCAGGCACGGCGGACGGAAGACGAGGAGCCAGGCCGCGACTAACGGGACCGCAGCCACGAACGGCCATGCGTCGGGCTCTGCGGATGAGGATGATGCAGACGATGACCTCTACAGCGGCACCCCGCGCACGCAACGCACGCGCACCAGCCGCACAAACGGCACAGCAGCAGTCTCGTCCTCGCAGTTCTCGATGGCGTCGTCGCAACCAGCATCGCAGTTACTGCCGTCGCAGACAGAAGAAGACTCGCAGAACACGACGCAAGGTGCCCAGGCGGATGAGACTATCACTGCGGCGCGGCTGCAGACGTTCCAGACGGCGCTGGGTCAGCTCATCGATGGGCCGTTGTTTGCTAATGATGCTGCGGATGTTGAGCCCCTGGTTGGGGCTGTTAATGCCAGATTGCCGGGCGGGCAGGCGCAGTTTGGGGGGGCGGAGGCGGAGAGGGCGCTTGAGGCGCTGAGTGAGAGGAACAAGATTATGTGAGTTCTTGACATGCATTCATTGAGTGATCGGCTGCTGATTTGTGATTGCAGGTATTCTGGAGGCATTGTGTACAAGATTTGATGGGTCTGCGTTTCTGCCTCCGCGTGTCAAAGTTCGTATGGGTGGAGTTTGTAGGATGGATTCCTGGGTCGTTAGGATGAGGTACATGAGTGTAGGGGGATCGCGGCTGAGAAACGCATGAAGTGGCTCGAAGGGAACTGGCATTCGTACATGATGTACACCCGCTTAGGTCTTTCGATTTGGATAGTCTTGCAGTGTGTCTACGCTCTGACGATTCGAGAACAAAGACACATACTCTTTTCATTGAAACTACGAAGGCCTATGATGTCCCGCCTCCACTATGGAGCATTGTCACCAGGGGGATCGATTAGTTATCAATCCCTTCTCTAACTGTACTATTCGACTGTTATTCCATGCCATTCCATGTGATTTCAAAGTTGCAACTTATCTACTACAGCCTGCCAGCAAGAATCAAATAACGACATACAATAGTAGGTATTTGTTAGTGGTTACCCGCCCTACTAATAGTCTATCAGCGAGCCTCGAAGAGGTTTTCTTTACTATCCTAGGAGGTGGGTAAGTTTCAGGTGAATACAAGTAATATATACAGTGGTGTATCACCATAACTCACCTACCGTGGCGTAGCAAAGTAGCCCCCACACTTCCCGCAGCTGGGGTCACTAGCGCGCCACAAGCGCTTCGGAGATGGCAGGTCGTCAGGCATTATGTTCCCTTTTTATATCCTTGACCGGTAGCTAGCGAATCGAAATGTTCTGTGGCTTACTTCCAAACGTCTAAGCCGCATCCTGAATTGTACCATGGCGTGTTATTCAGGCAGATTCCACCCTTCGTTGAAAAGATGTGTTCACCCAAAACGTCCTGTCTCTTCGCAAGCAGAAGGAGGTCGCTGCATCATCAATGGATCCTCCAGTCTCACCGGTAGAACTGGACCAGACAAGATACAGTGCTGCGCACAGTCGTTTGAACCCGAGGGAAACATCTACGGGTTTGCAAGATGAAGCTCCGAGAGTCAGCATTCCTCACGGGTCGGAAGAAGAAGGACCTGAGCATTGTCTCTTGCCTTCAGAAGAGCGACGATCATTGAAGGAACCAACGCTTCATGTCACTCCCGACGACACTGACCTGCGGGCATGGAACGTTAAGTCCAAAAGTCCAGAAGTCTCAGACGATCAAAACTTCTGGAGCCCACTGTTTTTACGACCTTCAGTCCTGGTCCTTTTCATGCTGTTGTTTATCATCATGTTGGTCGCGTTGGAGGTACTTAATCACATTTCGAAATCCAATCATGGCCTGAGCACGACGGAGCGCAGCAAGCGATATCTCTGGACTTATGGGCCTGTTGCTGGTAATCCTTCCTTCATATACTTCCGTACTTGATTGCGAGCACTGCAGCTAATGCATTATGAAGTCTTCGCTGTTGTCGCCGCCTTTTGGGGCCAAGTTGAGTATCGAACCAAGCAGGTAATGCCCTGGCGAGCCATGGCCACAGGTCCGACACCAGCTCTTAAAAGCGTACTTTTGGACTACTTATCTCCGTGGAATGCCTGGGCTATAATTTCAGCAATCAGAGCGTCACACTACGTTGTTGTGCTGGCCATCATTGGTTCACTTATCATAAGATTCGCATTAGTCGTGTCGACGGGTCTTCTCATGCTTCAAAGCGTGGCTATCAAAAACCACGATACAAGACTTCTCGCGACCGACACATTTGACCTTGCCTTTAACGGAAGCTTTTTCACCGACAACAGTATTGATTTCAAATCATCGTTTGCCGCTTATGGGACGAGTGTGATGAATATGAGCTACCCTAAGGGCACTACTAGTCAATATGCGGTGCAATCTTTCAACACCTCTGACCAGACTATCGGTAAGTTATCAGTCTTCTTTTCCAGTCGTTAAATCTGCATATCTGCTGTCCGGTGATTGGGATTTCGGTAATGAGCGATGGTGTTTTGCGTGCACATTGATAGTACGGCAAATCCTCTGTGTGCCTAGATGGCACCTTAAGCGGAAACAATCCTCGAATGCGAAGCTTTCATATCAGCAAAAGGGGCCTGTTCGACCATCTGAGCATCAGAACTCAAACTCAGCATCTACCCGAGTCCCTCTCGACGCGGTCTCTGCTACATTGATGCTGGGTCTGCTGAGACACCATTCCCCAACCCGACAAATCGAGCTGTTTCATTATCTGAGGAAAATTCTAACCAATCTCTGTAGCCTATAATTCCATTCTTCAAGGGACCGTCGATGTCTTTTCAGCGGAACTTCAATGTGAAAGCGCAAGTCTTGTGTTAGATGGACGCAATGACGGGGGGTCCATCCTAGCCACGATTCAGACCCCGACTTGTCGCATACATACGCTGTTCGACCCTGATGATTTTAATACTAAGGTGCCCGGCGACACTGATGAATCTCACACAGAGGCATCCACCGATATCTTCGGTAGTTTTTACATCCGCAACTGCTCCAATCAGCCGCCTGGGGATGATGGGAACCGGCTTGTGTTCTCTATTTTACGGGCCGACCAGGACAATGTGAGCTCGACGATCTTGATATGCGAGCCTCGATACGCTGTTCGTCGTGCATCTGTCTCTTTGACGGAAGCCGAAACACCCAGCGGTACCGGTGTCAGTGTCGACCTTGATTCAGACTCGAAATTCACACTGCCGATGGTATCTAATTGGGATATTGCCATGGGCTTTCGAAGTGCACTACAAGCGGCTCCAGCAAAATTTGACGAGCCCTTTAAAAACAGCCGAGATAAGAACAGTAACCCGCCGGTCGTAGCGGGTTCTACTTACGATGTCTTCTTCCGATTCTTGAATACAACGCTGCCCCACTCTACGATTCACACCCGCAGTCAGGAAGAGGCAAATCTTGATCTCATGAACACCCTCATGGACACAGAGGTATTCAAAACACATGCGAGCCAACTTTTTACTTCCATAACGGCTCAACTTGCAAAAGAGTATCTAATGATACCCACTAATGAGTCATTCATTGGTACTTCGATCTCTACCCAGCAACGTCTGCACGTTCGTGTGGTGTCGCTTAGGCTCATGGAAGCTTCTCTTGGCCTCCTTGTCGTTATCGCTGCCGCCATAGCTGCACTCAAGTCACCTTCAGGCGTTACCCGTGATCCAAGCTCTATCGGCGAGCTCTCAGCGCTTCTAGTCGGCTCTCCTGAGTTCGTGGAGTCCGTTCGTAGCACCGGTGCTCAATCCATGACCAGAATTGCTCGCCTACTTTCAAGTCGACTTCACGAGAGCTGTATTGACCGAAGTGCGGACCGGACGGCGAGATTCCGCATCCAGACAATCATCGATTTGAAGGCCGGCACGCAGGAAGAAGAGCGTTACAAAGAATGGGGCAACTCCAATGGCTCTGACACCATCGAATGGTGGCAACCATTCTCTGTCACAATCGTAGGTCGAACGGTGTTGCTCGTAGTAGCTACCGCCGCCATTATCACTTTGGAGTTGCTGTACCGGTCCTCGCAACGACACGGTGGTATCGCAAATTTGCCATCTGACGATGCAAGATACGCCTACACTTATGTTCCAGCTCTGGTTATGACAATCATTGCTGCCCTTTTCAGTTCACTCGATTCGTCTCTGAGAATCTTCCAGCCCTATCGTAATCTTCGAATAGGCGGATCAAGCGCACAACAAAGTATTCTGGATGATCAACTCGGGAAAATGTCCATACAAGCGTTATACAGTTCTCTGTCGAAGCGACAGTTTGCTGTTTCGGCTTCGACCCTTGCTGTCCTCCTTGCTCCATTTTTGAGCATCGCAGTCAGCAGCCTATATGGACTGGACTCATTCGTTTCGCAGTATCCCGTTGTCGTTCGACAAATGAACGGCTTTGATCCGGAGTTGTCCTTGCCCGACTACTACGATACACAAGTCAAGGATGGAGCCAGCGCGGCCGCCATGGTGATGGGTGCTAATCTATCTTTTCCCGCTTGGACGTACAACGAGCTCGTCTTTCCGGAACTGGAGCTGGATCTGCTGCCATCTTCTACCCACTTGAACAAAACAGCCTATGAAAGTGGCTCTGCAACCCTGAACCTGATCGTTCCAGATGTTCTAAGAGCTACGGCAAATTGCTCAGTTACTGGAATTTACGGTTACGATTTGACTACGTTGTTCAACTCCAGTTCGAGGTACGGTGCGTATCAGCCCTACATCAACGTATCCGTTCCAAGAGGTTGTGGTGCACCTGGATTCTCCGAATTGTCGGAGACATTTTTAGGCTATCCACCACAAGCATCTTATTTTGCGTGGGTGCAAGACGGTGTGTTGGACGGCGGGATGTCAAACTGCCACACTCCTCTTATGGCCGTTTTGGGACATTGGTGGACAAACGAACGACCCTCGGTACTCCTTTGCAAGCCTTATATGCAGCGAGTAGCAGCCAATATTACCTTTTCGATGCCCGACTTCTCCATCGACTTACAGCATCCCCCAGTGGCCATCGAGTCTACTGCGACCTACTTCTCGAACGCCGCCGTGAACGCTACTCTCGACGGCCGTTTCCAACAATTCATCGACAAATCTAACAATCTCACCCAGTTCTTCTCCACTTTAGTCCACGGCCGTGACGGGATTCCCATAGCCGAGCTCGCCGGGCCGAGCAACGAACAGCGCCTCATAAACGCAGTGGACCATCAGTATCGCGTGCTCATGGCTCAAGTCTACAACACCGCAATGCGGGTCTCGTCCTATCCATCTTCACCGACCAGCGGTGCTGTCTACAGTCAAATGCTTAATGGAACCTTGACCGCTCCAAACCGCAATCGTATTGTTCAGGACCGCGCCTCTACATACGTTCTGGAAGGCATCCTAGCGGCAATGGTGATCTGCGTAATTGTGTCTTGGGTATGCATGGACACCCGACGCGTGCTGCCCAAGAATCCGTGCAGCATTGCTGCGGTCGCGAGCTTGCTGGCTGGATCGGAGATCCTGGGGCAGGAGTTTTTGGGCAGAGGAGCAGAATGGTTAACCGATGAGGAGTTGAAAGAGAAGTTCGAAGGATGGACCTTCAGTCTGGGTTGGTGGGAGCAGGCTGCGGGCGGCAGGAGAAGATTTGGTATTGACGTTGGGAACGCAGATGAAAGCCAATAACGTCAAGGAAGAAGCAGAGGTACAGGTGCCCTCTCAAAACTGTTGTAGCCACTAGAACGTACAGGCAGTCGGGTTCAGCGTCTGCGTTGAAAGTTTCATACAAGAATCTCGTCCTCGATACACACTCATCACAAGTTGAGGGCTGAACGGATTGAAACCTGTCAAGTAAATTCTGTATTCGCTTTGCTTCAGATATCCCGCTGGACAAACAACTATCCAGAAACTCAAGATGCGGAACCCTGCTCGTAGTGGGAAGCAGTTCAAGCTGCATTCTGCTCTAGAAGTCTATGGCGTGATCGTCAGAACGCCCAAGGCCGTGATGGTCGCCAGTCTGCGCCCGCAAGTCCCCCCGCGAGACGCATGAAGCAATCACGGACACCTTACCGCATCATCCATCCTCCACCGCCTCGAAGCCTTTCCTCGACTCGCCCGTGCTTTGTCCAAGCCCATAACCAGCATGACGGCGAGCCTTCACTTCAGCGTACCCCAAATCATAGAGTTGTTCCCTGATACATTGGACAAGCCCTCTTCCTCTTCACCCCTTGCCCCCCACAACCCTCCTAACCTTCTCAAGCAGAAGTCCACTCTCCCTCCCCAACTTCCGCTTGCCATCCCTCCCACCTCCCCTCGCTTTCGCCATGGCCTTCCGAAACCGCTCCCGCTCCGCCAACTTCGCCTCTCGCTGCCGCTCAGCCTCCTCGCGCGCCGCCTGCCGCGCTTCTGCTTCCGCTTTGCGCTGAGCCGCGTACGCCGCTTCTTTGCCGAAGGTCTCGTGGCGGGGTTTCTTGGGCTTACGCTCTCGGGGCCTGGTGCGGTCCTTCGTTTCTACGTTTTGGATAGGTGGGGAGGGGGAGCGGTCAAGGCGGGCTTGTCGGGAGGGGTGGAGTTCTAGAGTTGCGGGTGGTTCTGAAGCGGGTTCTGGGGCGTCTGCACCGTCTGCGCCGTCTTCACCGGCCGCAGTCGCTGAAGGGGGATGTCCGTTGAGCTCGCGCTGCTTGATTTTGGCGTAGGACTTCTTGACTTTGGCCTTGTGTATGAGATCTTTCTTTATTTTTTGGACTTTGCGCTTGTAGGTCCCGTCTGGCAAGTTCGCGGGTCCAACGGAGAACCCCTTGTTCTGCTTCTTTGCTGGACGCGAATTGTCGTCGTCTCGTGATCTTTTAAGCGCCATGGTGATGTGCGGTTTGGTTGATATCAGAAAGTGTCGGGGGTTTACGGCGCCTCGGCGAACGGGCTGGCGGAGATTTCCCTGGTGGTGCAAGACGCTGGTGGTGCGAGACCCTTGCAGGAGCATCATCGTGCGGATGGGGCGGGCGGCGACCAACTCCGCCGAGCTTGAACTCGAGCTTCGACTCACACCGTAACGTTTATATGTACCGACTCCTCCTTTCGTAGCACCGCAATCCCGACTTCTCAACGCCTTTGACGGCTTCATCTGCTGGTGGGACCTCTTCTGCAGCTCCGGTATCGTGTGATCTGCAAGGCGCCGTTCATGCGCTCATGCAGCAAAGTACCTTGCCTTTGTCTGCTGCCGGTCGACCTCCACCGCACTTGCTGCTCTTCTACGCAAGACTGAGACAGTGCTGGTGCTGATAAAGCTTCAGGCGGCTCAGCTGCCTTCAACTGATCTTCTGGACTTGCATCACCTCGCCCACGACTGAGGCATCCTGCGTCGCTCTGGCTTCACGACTTCAAGCTAGATCTCCCCGCTCGGATACGATGACCGCATAACCTGCACCCAATACGCCTCTGCCAGTTCGCCAACCCCCTCTCGACCAGCTTCATGAGTGTTTCGGGAGGCCTTCCCTGTCACGATGCCGATATTTCATGACAGAGATGACGCCCCGAGGCCAAACGTGTGCCCGGACCTCGACGCTCAGGTGGTGGAAGGACGAATGGCACAATATGCAGGCTGGGGACTGGGGGGAAGACACGACGACCGAAGCCGCACTTCCAACACCACTGTAGACGCCGAGCCTCGCAGCAATGCAGCTTATACGACCAGCGATAGAAGATCTAGCACCCTCGACCGTGGAGCATTGATCGAAAGAATCAAGAGATGCCAAAGCCCCATAGGCACAACACAGCAAAACGTAAGCGCAAGATAGCTGCAGTCTGCTTGACTGGCCTCCTATATATAGTTATTCGAGCAATGAGAATTCTCTATATAGCGTCATTGGCGACTGACGGATGATGTATAGTTCTCACATCACGTGCCTGAGCGGCCTTCCTCGAGACAGAGGACGTTATCGCCACTATTGCCGGCAGCAGAGATCAAGGACTCAACAAGCGGAGCTGCGGATAATAATGCCCAACAAGCCGGGCTGGAGATCGAGCGCCCGAGATCTGCTTTGCACTCCGGTGACTTCAGGCAAGAGAAGGATACGGCCAGGCATAGGGAAGAAGCTACCGTTCTAGCAACTTCCCCCGTCGTGCCGTGGCACCAAGACTTCCCAGCAGCAGCTTTTGGACCACCCCGTACTGGTCCTCAATATTTCTCTCGAGAAGCGCCTCAGCACGATGAAAGCATCAGTCGATCCAGAGCGGTTTCCCATTCGTCTTTCTCTCGCTCTCCGAGCTTCGTCTTTATGCCCCCGACGAGCCCTTTGGTGCACCAATCAAACAATCCAGACTTGGACTTTTCCCAAAAGCCTTTACCGCGTCAAATGTCGCGAAGTCCTGAGCGAGGCAACAGACGTCACACGTTCTCTCCTCGTTCTCTACAAACCCTCCGAGCCTCGTCTGACTTGTCGTCGGTGTACCCGCTCCCGGCAGGCCGTACGCTACCATCAGTTCGTCGAGAGGGAACCTTCCCATATCAAGCACATCAGCCGAGACGTTCGCTGACCGGCATTCCTGGCTTTCATTCGACCTCTACGCCTCAGACCCCTCTCTTACGGCCGCGCAGGCCCTCAATCTTTACTGAATCTACTCCGCTGCACCACGCCCCGATGGTTGGTTCGTACGAAGAATCAATCTTGCGGGGACGGATGTCCACTACTCCCTCGGGACCTCTGGATTTCGTGGCCCAGATCGGCGTGCTTGGTAAAGGCGACTGCAAACCGAATCTCCGTTGTCCTCCTCACGTGACCGTGCCTTTTCCAGCCGTCTTCTACAGCTACGGGAGTGGCAATGGGCGGATATCGGATGACCAGCCAAGTCCTTATGTCGGGATGATTGACTTAGAGCATATGCTCAGGCCCTCTGAAGATAACGGTGAAAGTCGGAAAAGGAGGAGATATCATGCGCCACCCAGCGATGTTGAAGATAATGCTCCGAATAATGTCGGTGACGGCGACTCTGATGTTCGAGCCAGCACTCAGCACCGAAGACGTGAGAAAATGAAGCGGAGGTCCGCATCGCCCAAGGCGCCGCCTGGAGGTAGCTACCGTATCCCGCAGCAGGGTCAACTCCAGATCGTAATCAAGAACCCCAACAAGACCGCCGTAAAGCTCTTCCTCGTACCGTATGACCTGTCGGACATGGGCCCCGGCCAGAAGACGTTCATTCGTCAGCGTAGTTACTCTGCCGGGCCGATCATCGATATGCCAATGGCGTCTCGGAAGAATCTGGGCACTGATAGGCCAGAGGCCGCTTTGTCGCATTCGGACGATCCCAACGACCGCCCGGTGTTGCGCTATCTTATCCACCTCAATGTGTGCTGCCCATCGAAAGGCCGATTCTTCCTCTACAATAGTGTTCGGGTGGTTTTCGCGAACCGCGTGCCTGACGGCAAAGAAAAGCTTCGTAATGAGATTCAGCTGCCGGATCCAAGGTACAGCTTGTACAAGCCGTCGAAGACGTCGCTGTCGGCGTCTAATGCGATGGCTCATGCGGCTGCTGGGCTGGTGGGAGAGAAGGCGTTGTTGAGGGGTGGTGTGAGTTTTTCGTCGGTTCAAGATCGTCTGGACGCGGTTGATGGTATCTCATGCGGTGGTCGCGTGTCCGCTGGTGCAAGTACTTGGACGCCGTACTCGCCGACAGATCGGTACTCGTCGCAGCCCGTTGCTCCTATTCCCTTCACGTTAGCCAGGCTCGCACCCCTCGAATCACGTCCGGGTTCTCGAGACGCTATGGACCTTGGCAGTCCTTTCACTGGGCTGGCAAGTTCTCCGGATTACCAGTCTCCGGAACCGCCATTGTCTGGCGCTGGGTCTTCTTTGGGGTCGCTCCTGACCTCTCGAGTCGGCTCGTCGAGTGGTGCATGCACCGGCAGCTACGGAAAGCTGAGTCCTGGCGATACAGGGTACGGTGGCAATGCGTTCGGCGCGCTCAGCAGCGGCGCGGTACCTGCCGCCGGCCTCCTTGCGCGTCGTCTCAGAGAGCTTGATGTGGAGACTGGAGACTTACCCACCCGTTAATGCGGACTTCAATTGCCGTTGATGCGGTTCTCGATCTCGTCCAACATCTCCTCAAGCTCGTCGTCGGGTTCCAGCAGCCACGCCGCCAACAGCGCGAGGAGAATTATGATGGGCAATGGGAGCACGACAACATCGCGCTCATAGGGGCCAGTTGATGGTGTCTCGATGTCCATGGTGTCGGTGCTGGTGTTGGTAGGTTTATGGAGTTGGTTTGGGAGGGAAACTGGACCTTGGCGAAACGTTGGATACGTCACTCGCATATCGGGAGTCGAGCATTTGGGTGCACTGATCGTGTACATACAGGTACCGCACACATAATGGCAGTACAATCACCTTTACGAGAACCGGGTACCGTGTCTTGAACTGCTCTATGCTGCGCATTCGGCGGGTTTTCGCATCTTCTTTGAGACTGCTGTAGCCATCCTGAGACAGGCATCATTCCGACACCACACTGCGATCAAACCGCAGCTTTTAAAACAAGGGGCTTTCTGACGTGCATCCCACCAGCAACATAAGTATAAGGGATCTTCTACCGCCACAGCATCATCTGATGGCATCTTTCCCGATCTTTTGCCGTCCTCTTTGGCTGCGATCAAGCTCACTTATACACATCCGGATGAGATTGTTCTTCGGAGAGACCGGAACTAACGCAGACACTTCTCCCGCGTTCACTTCAGCGGCGGTTATACAATGCAGAAACGCGAGCCTATAGTGTGCGCTGTTATTACTCTGGAGGTAAACCAGGGTCTCCTTCATGTTCTTGGTTTCAACCCAGGATGTAACTGAAGAGCCCGGCCTGCTCACAGTTGCACGGCTGGGAAGAACCGATCACACTGATCTTTTGTCATATCTATGTTAAAGTCTCTCGGTATCAAAATCTCTTTGTGTTCAACAGCAGCATTGTTTGTGTATGTGTGAGTTTTCTTTGTGCTGACGTAAAAAGACCTACTGACATGCCATTGTACATCGTACAGAACACTGTCAGTGACCGTACAATCAGTCCAACTCTATACCATCGACATTGTATACCATCCGCGCCCTCGAGATCTGGGGCCTCATATCGACCTCAGGATGGGCTCACCACCTGCATCAAAGATGTGTACAGGCGTGGACTTCCAGCGACTCTGCGGGCGGTTCTCTCAACTCCTGGCTGTTGTCAAATGTCATACCCTTGTAGTCTTTCTTCCTCTTGTGTCCGTGGAGACACTGTAAACACACAGTGTCTCACACAGTGCTCCCGTGAAAATGTATATCCCGGCTTGTGAGACAAAGGGATTTGCTCTATCGTCACTGTCGGCTCATTTAAAAGAAGGGCATGTCCTGCTCCTAAGAAGTCATTGCACTCCGCGACCTCCATTTCAGAAAGAAAAATTCAAGATTTATCGACATAAACTCAGCTGAATACACCCACTACTACCATGGCGCATCTCGTAAACCTAGAGGATGTCATCCAGGCCATGGCCTGGTGCCTTGATTGTCATGAGCAGGGAGGGGGAGGCTGCGACACGCATAGATACGTGCCTCCTCAAGCTACCGTATCCCAACAAGCTCCGGCTCCTACGCGGACCCGAGGCAAACACGATCCGGCCAGAGTAAAACAAATCCTTCGACTGCCGGTTGAACTACAGATACAGATCTTTGGGCGGATGTCGCCTGAAACCTTTCTTAGTCTTGTCTGCATCGTTCCAGAGGTCAGGGAGCTGTATCACTCGAGCTCTTCAACGATCGCGAAACTGATCTTGAAAGAGCACTTGCCCCTGGAGGACAAGCTGTTCGGACTCGACAACAACGATGGCTTACTATGGGAGGGCCATGCTAACACCAAGATGGAGCTATTAATACGGCTCTCCCTGCTGAAGAAGACGTCAATGCTCGCCGCTGACTTCTTGATCGAACACTTTAACATCGCCAAATCGAGGACTCCGCAGTTCTATCGGGCCATCTCAACCCTGTGGCGCTTCTTCGCCACCACACCGGCATGCCAGGATCCGGTTCAGGAGCCTTGGAACTATTTCCACACCTTGTCACACGCTGAGCGTCGTGATATCGACGCACTCTTCCGCTGGATCGGGCAGGGGATACTGAAGAAATTCCCACCCAGTTTTCCTTGGGACCTTCCTCCGCACTTGGTCAATGAGTTTGTCGAATCGAAGATGCTGAACCTTGTCGCATATCGCCTTGCCGTGAGCTACCTCCAAGACGGCCTCCGTCGTCTACGCATGCAGGTCATGTCCGCCAAAACGCCGGATCCTCAGGCCGCATTCGGCCCCGACTATTTCTGGGACAACATGGACTACTGCGAGAGATTGAGGTACATGCACTTCGATCATCGCACCTACACACTCTCTTGGACAGGCAACCGCCATCAAGGATGGCTTGAGGCCACATTGACGGAGGACTTGACCTGGTTGCCAGACATCGTGCGCGGCATGACTGATGCCAGCGCCAACGGTGGCCAACGGCTCGACTGGCGCGCGTTTGTTCAAACGACCTGGGGAATTTCCAGCTATCAGCGACCCAGGCAGTTTGAACTTGACTGCTTCAGCTGGCCAGAGGCACTAGGGACGGAGCTCATGTTCCAGGCCGAGGAGACGCGCTATGAGATCGAACAATCTCACCGCCTCTCCCGACGTGCTAAGGAGCGGGAGGAGTTGATGAAGATGAAGAACGCCGGCGGGCCAAAGAGGAAGAGGAAGACGAAACGTCGGCTAAGGTGAGAAGCGCTTTAGGTTGTCAGGCCATCGCCCGAGCCATCTATGGTCGGATTTCCTGGGTGGTTGTTTAGATAAATCGGGTGGTCCATTTTTGTAAGTACTCCATAGATACGCTTCTGGTAAGTAGCAGCCCAAAAAAAAATCGAATTGGGATTTGCCCTCAACCTTGTTTGTCCTAACTGTCCCGTAATGGCTAACTGCTGCAGATATTAAGCTTGATGCGTTAGAGCTATGTCGCCCATACTGACAACGGCCTCGCTGTGCTGACAATGCCATTGTTGAGTACTATGCAAAATACGCCCTTCACCATCATCACCACTGAGCACAAGTTGGATTGCGCTCTCATAATTGTTCCGGAATTTTCTCGGAATGGGCTGGGAAAGTCACAACTATCTTCAGCACACAGGCACGATGAATCGGCCACCGTCACCTGCCGCAGCTCAACGCACCAAAAAAAAGCCGCTTGCATTTCCACTTGGGCGGTTCGCTGGGGCATGTTTTTAGATTCCTCTACCGCTAGTAGATATCTGGATTACGTCTCCCCGTCATGTCGCCGCGAAAACTGTGAATGTTCGGCGCGCTCATGATAATGTATGCCCCAGATTGTGAGACGAGAGGTTTGCTCTACTACCACTGTTCTAGCGCAACTTCACTGTCGAGCTACTGTCACAGACCTCTATTCTCACATCTGCTAGGTCTTCACAGGGCAAGGGCTCTTTTAAGACGGCGACATGTCGACCTTCTCAATCCTTCATCGCACTCTTCTTCATCACACTCCGCGGCATCTACCTCATACGAAGGAGCTCAAGATCTCTCTACAAAGAGTTCAACCCAGAACAGAAAAGTCTAAGATCATTCCACAGCAATTTCATCTCAGAAGATCTGTTACACCATGACGACTCCCGCACAGCAACCGGATGTCATCCAGGTCCGCACCTGGTGTGCCGCCTGTCATGCGCACGCGCGATGCCAGCTCCATAACAACTCGCCTCCACACATCATTCCGCCCATGTGGAGCAATACCGTCTGCGAAACAATCGGTCGAATGGTCTATCTTCCAGCTGAGCTGCAAATTGAGATTTGCGGACGCATGGCGCCTGCTACCTTCATAAATCTGGCGTGTACGAGTCCGGATATCGATCAACTGTGGCGGGCTAACTCCGCGACCATCTCAAAGATAATGTTCGCTCATGAGCTGGGATTGGAATCCAAGGTCTTCAAAGAGTCCCGCCGCACCTGGAGTACCTGTCCGGGAGGCTTACTCTGGGCAGGCCACGCCACCTCACCAGAACACTATTTGAGGTTGCTTTCCCTTATCAAGGAGGTGACATCGCAGGCCACCGATTTCTTAGTGAAACACTTCCACCTCGGCCAGAGAGTGACAGCGCACATTTACTACAACATCACGCTGCTCTGGCTGTTCCTCGCTACGACCCCTGCTTGCGCAGATCGCATCCAAGAGCCATGGAATTACTACCAATTCTTGTCGGCGACCAATCGCTACAAGATTGACAACTTTTTGATCCATATGGCGGCGGCAATACTCAAGTGTTTCCCGATTCCGTGGCCGGCCAACTTGCATCAACGCAAAATCGACGAGCTTATCACGCAACAGATAGACACTCTGTTAGCAAAGCGCCTAGCTCTTCTGTACATCCAACGCGGTCTCCGCCGACTCCGCGAGCAGGTGTTTGCAGCACAGATCCCAGACCTTCAGGACGCCTTTGGGCCAGACAACTTCTGGAACCTTGTCAAATATTGGCCCCGGTTACGGCTCATACAATTTGACACAAGAACCTACACCGTCACACTAACCGGCACACGGCTCCACGGCCGTCTGCTGGCTGCAATCGACGCCGGTCCGAACTGGCAGCCGGATATCTTGTTCGGAATGAACCTTGTGAAACGCAGTCCAACCACTAGGCTCAATTGGCATGTTATTACGCGAACAACACGTGGTCGTTTCAGCTTCCAGGGCTATAGGCGATATACCTCCCCTGACTACGCTGCAATGCCGGGAGGCCTGGGAATTGCTCACATGTTCGCTGTGGCGGAGTGGGAGTATGAGCAAGCCGAAAAAAGGCGTAACAAGCAGAAGCAGGAGCAAGCGCGGTTGTCAATCAAGAGGAAGCGTGGTGATTACGAAGATGACCCAGAAGAGGAACGAATCCTCAAATTCAGCCGTCGAGCCAAACCTCGGTATAACGACATCGACTGGATCATCCTCCGTATGGGACGTTTATCACTCGACGCTACCGGCAAGGAGGCGGGATAACTTCCTGCAACACCCTATCCAAGGCCCCGCCGGCACGGTCCCTGGATATCCCTTTGCTGCACCAGACGGTAAATCAGCATCCGCGGAGCTGAGCAGATGCGCAGAAAATCTCACCAGCCAGAAAGAAAACACTCGATGAAACCTCGCCTATCGGTAGTTTCTTCCATGTACGAGTATTGCATACTCGGCGCTCTTGGGGCTTCTAGACCATCAATGTTCGGATGGGTTGGCATACTCTGACAGCATCAATAGGCGCATTTGACTTTCGTTTGGGGCTTACTGTGCTTTTTCTGTGTTGCTAGCATATTTGTGCCTAAGCGGCGAAGGCGCATTGGGATTGGTATTTGGATTGTGGGTCATTGCATTGCTTCGACACTTGAACTTGGCAATTGTCATTTTGCTCTAAGGGAAGAAATCCATGAAAATCCCAACTCAATGACTTCTACATGACTATTGTGAAATCTTTGCGAATGTTCCAAATTGTAAATGCTCTCTGCCAGTTCTTTCGATAAACTCCCCAGCCATACCAACCCATCAAGCACAAATTCACATAGTGGTTTGCTCCGCAGCACGGCTAGCAGCTACGAGCCTAGGAGGTTCCCAGTTCTCTTTTTTGACCATTGCAGTCCACCTCAGCTGAGCTGCACTCACAAGAGAATGCAGCTAAGACCACCAAAGCTGGTTGTGATTGGTCTGGTCGGGGCTGGAAGAAGCCGCCGAGGCCTCATATCGCCTGATGCGGGCACACTTTCGTCGTTCGAGGTTGTTAAATCCTCCCCAGAAGAAAACTAGACAGCTTCTTCCTAACTATGCCGCTTTCTAGACCATCCGCTGCCGAAAGCATGGCTATTAAAGCCAGCCACAGCTCCAGCCGAGACCAGCGGCTCCGGGCTAACGGGCATGCCAGTGCACCTAATGCTGGGGACATGCCACTCCTCACGACCTAATGCACTCCACTAGGTATAGAGAGCAGCTGAGGCAAGCTGGAAATGGGTTCTGGCCCAGCAATGCAGCATAGTGAGTGAGCTGAGTCTGCCAATGATTCTGTGGCCAGAGTGTATATAAAGCTCATTCTCACTCCATTTTCGGCCTGCCTTCTACCGTCCTTCACTGCTCTTCATAATAGTTTATCTCGTATCATACACAACTATCTTGCCCTTTGAGACATAGTACCTCAAGATGGCGGATTATTCTTCGGCGAACAATTATCCAAAGTTGACTTATGAGATGAGCCAGAAGTTCAAAGTCACAGTAAAGGTGTGGACGAAGGCCGCTCTGGTGAACGTGCAAAGCGGCATCGCACTCCACGGGGAAGGATCGTCGGTCACTGGCCGGTAAGCAATCCCCTGAACGAGCTATCACACTAGCTGCCCCATCGTCACCAACTGTAGGTCCATTGTGCGACAACGTCACTGACACTATCCTAAACAGTGCCCGTGATCAAAGCAACAAAGACAAGCGCCAGATCTGGATCGTGGCCTTTCCCTCGCCTGGTGCTGGCGCTCTTCTTGTAAACGAAGCCACCGGAGGCCATATCGTTGCTCAAGGTATGTTAGCCGAACTATGAGATCCTGCTGAAGCTGCGGTACCTGGAGTCTGACTCCTTTCCAGGGGAGAACAAACCAGTGATTCTCAACAACGACACCTCCATCAATGACCGAAAGGGGCAATGGTACATGGAATTCGCGCAGGAGGGAAGTCGTGGAACCAGGTCAGTGTACCGCAGAGAAACCCGTCGCCGCTTGTTCGAAATTACCATTACACAGTGCCGTACTGACTTGCCGCTTCTAGGTTCAAGAATGCTGAGTTAGGTAGCTGCGTGCTAGACTTAGCAGCAGGACCCAAGGGCGACGGAACGCCTGTCTATTGTTACAAGGATAGCAAAGGGAAGAACCAGGTTTGGTCGAGGATTGATGCAGATTAATAAACCCCGCCTGCCTGGCGCCAACTTACAGAGAGCTCAATCAGGCGTCTTGGGAACAACGTAATACCCCAGAGACGGCGGCTCATCTACAGCCAACCAGATGGACTTAGGAATTGATGCGAGTGGATTTGTTCAGGTCAAGCATGTATTTAGCAGCTACAGGACTTGCTATGAACAGAATGAAGCTTGCAGCGGCGTACAGAAGTTTTCTATGTTGTAGCTACCAGAGAACTTACGAAACTCGAATGACATTGATACGAAAATGCTCACGGACGCTTAATCAGATTGTGTCCCCAGCCTTTACGACGTTGTAGTGACGTCCTCTGGCGACAAGATGGTTTGATTGCTCTGCTGATAGCTGATGTACCGGAATGTGGATCTCTGATGGAGCTCGACTTCCTAGAGAGTTTTGTGAAGACGGGTTTCTCAACATCATCTCGCCGTAAAGCCTAAACAGTGATATGACTCCGCACACAACGTGACTCTCCTCGTCCAGTACGTAGCTGTACTCGGAGTAACTTGCCAGCATTCTCGACGTGGCAGTGACGTCTCTCAATGATGTTTTGCAGCGGTGTGGATTCTGCCGGCCGCCTTGCTCCCCCCACCACCAAAAAGTCTGTGCGCGAGTTTGCCAGCGCGACGAGAACTTTCTCGACCTTTCGAGAAATTCGGCCCACCAAGCCGCCTTTGTTTGATGCAGCGCTGTCCAACGCTGCACAACACCACGAAACGCTCGCAGTCCCTACCACAGTTCCGTTGCATAGCCCGTCTCCATATCTCGCGTTTGCGACACTGAGAAGCCCAAAGTCAAACTCAAACTCAACCTCAACCAGAACAGTTCATCAACCGCGCCGCCAACATGTCTGTAGTGGGCATTGATCTAGGAACGCTAAACACTGTGATTGCGGTGGCCAGGAATCGAGGTGTCGATGTGGTGCGTGCTAGCAACCTCCCAAATCTGCTCCAGAGCCAGTCACTAACCGTCAACAGGTCACAAACGAGGTCTCGAACCGGGCTACACCGTAAGTTTGCATCGCCGTCCTCGCCGAAGCTAGGCAAGCACTGACATGGTCAAGAACACTCGTAGGCTTCGGCCCTAAGAGCAGATACCTCGGCGAGCAAGCAAAGACGCAAGAGATCTCCAACTTCAAGAACACCGTCAGCTCCCTTTCGCGTCTCGCCGGCCGGTCACTCAACGACCCCGATGTCCAGATCGAGCAGGAGTACGTCACAGCGCCCCTCGTCGATATCAATGGCCAAGTGGGCGCCGAGGTCACATACCTGGGCAAGAAGGAGCGGTTCACGGCGACGCAGCTTATTGCCATGTTCTTGAGCAAGATACGGCTAACAGCATCCGCCGAGCTCAAGCTGCCCGTGTCCGATGTCGTCCTCAGCTGCCCGGCATGGTACACCGACGCTCAACGAAGGAGTCTCCTTGACGCCACAGAGGTGGCTGGACTTAAGTGCCTTCGGCTGATGAACGAGACCACCGCAACAGCTCTCGGTTATGGCATCACGAAGACCGACCTGCCGGGTGCTGAGGAGAAGCCTAGGCGGGTGGCTTTCATCGACATCGGTCACAGCAACTACACATGCTCCGTCGTTGAGTTCAGGAAGGGCGAGGTGACTGTCAAGTCGACGGCGTACGACCGTCATTTCGGTGGCCGGAACGTCGACAAGGCATTAGTCGACCACTTCGCAGCAGAGTTCAAGGAGAAGTACAAGATCGATATCAAGTCAAATGCGAAGGCACGCCTGCGGGTCGCGCAAGCCTGCGAGAAGCTCAAGAAGGTGCTCTCGGCGAACGCTGGGTCGCCGCTTAACATCGAGTCAGTAATGGAGGACACAGATGTCAGGGGTTTCTTGAAGCGGGAAGAGTTGGAGGAGCTCATCAAGCCCCTTCTAGAGCGCGCGACCATTCCTGTCGAACAAGCCCTGGCAGAGGCGAAGCTGAAGCCCGAGGATATCGATGCCATTGAGATGGTCGGTGGCGGCACACGTGTCCCCGCTATCAAGAACGCCATCCAGCAGTTCTTCGGCAAGCCACTTTCCTTCACCCTCAACGCTGACGAAGCGATTGCACGCGGCTGCGCCTTTAGCTGCGCCATCCTCTCACCCGTCTTCCGCGTCCGAGACTGCTCCGTGCACGACATCGTCAACTACCCGATTGAGTTCACGTGGGAGAAGTCGCCCGACATCCCAGACGAAGACACCAGCCTCGTCGTCTTCAACAAGGGCAACGTCATGCCCTCAACGAAGATCCTCACCTTCTACAGAAAACACCCGTTCGACCTTGAGGCCAGGTACGCCAAGCCTGAGATGCTCCCAGGCAAGATGAACCCCTGGATAGGCCGGTTCTCCGTCAAAAGCGTCAAGGCAGACTCAAAGGATGACTTCATGATCTGCAAGCTGAAAGCGCGACTCAATCTACACGGCATCCTCAATGTGGAGCAGGGCTACTATGTGGAGGATCAGGAGGTGGAGGAGCCAATACCGGAGGCGAAGGACGGAGAGAAGAAAGAGGGCGACGTACGTGCAAGTGTTTCCTCCATTCCAATTAGCGGAGCGTCAGAGAGTGCCAAACCCTCTCGTCACAGCTCCCCTTCTCCCCCATCCACTCGCGAGGCAAAACGCCCCAAGCACGCTTCCCTTAAGTCCAAGTTGTCCTCTTTCAAGCATCGCATAGTTCCATCCGCGTCCTCGCCGTCCCCCGCTTCAGAAGAAGAACCCATACTGACCAAACCCCCACTACAGGCCATGGACGTCGACAACGCCGAGAAACCCAAGACGCGTAAAGTCAAGAAGCAGGTGCGGAAAGGCGATCTGCCCATCTCAGCCGGTACCGCCTCGCTGGACCAGGCAGCCAGGGACGCGGCCGCCGAGCGCGAGAACCAGATGATCATGGAGGACAAGCTGGTGGCGGACACGGAGCACGTCAAGAACGAGCTCGAGTCCTTCATCTACGAGCTCAGGAGCAAGATCGAAGGCGTATATGCTGAGTTTGCGAATGAGGACGAGAAGGCGAAGTTGGGTGAGAAGTTGCAGACTATAGAAGTAAGTTCAGGTCACCCCTCCCTGCCTACCCCAAACGCCACGGAGTTACGGGAGAAGGTGCTGACGGATCGCAATAGGACTGGCTCTACGACGAAGGCGAAGACGCCACCAAGGCCGTCTACACGAGCAAGATCGAGGAGATCAGATCGGTGGCCGGCCCCATCATCCAGCGCTACAACGACATGATGGAGGCGGAACGTCAGGCGGTGCGCCAGGCGCAGGAGGAGGCGCAGGCGAAGAAGCGCGCCGAAGCCGATGCCAAGAAGCAGGCGGAGGATTCCTCGAAGAAAGACAAGCCGGATGAGGAGATGGCGGATGCGGTGCAGCCGGATGCTGTTGAGGAGCCGGCGGATTAGGGTGTGGTATCACGGAGGGGTGCGAAGGGAGCGCTAGTGCATATGGAGCGCATGATGCCTGGTTCAAGGCCGTGGAAACGATCTGCATGATGATGGATGGGCATGTGCTGGCGCGCGGGAGGGGGCATAGCCTTTTGCCCCTCGTGCGGCTGTGACAGATTGATGGAGTAATATTCTCATAGATGGTTAGACGTTCAGGGAATCTTTCCTCGATGACTTCGCTTCATTGCTCACATGCTCTTTCGGCCCAGATATTACGCCGTGAATGTGAACTTGATCTTCTTGCATAAGTCGGGGCAGATGCATTGGGTGAAGCGGATACACCCAGCCAGATACTTGCTGGAGCATATGCGGTTGGATCAGGACGTCTACTAGCACTGACTCATAGATTGGATGTTCCCAATATGGATAACAGTGGGCTCGTTCAATGCGCCTAGCGCCTAGAAAGTGGATACTGTGGAGAGCAATGGTTCGAAGGGTGGGGCACAATGCATAGTTAAATAGCGAATTGGCCATTGAAAGCTGGTTCGGCTTGGGGCAAGCCATTGGTATCGCTTAGCCACGTCTTTCTGGATGATCTAGGTAATTAGAATGGGTGCGAGTTTGTACATTCTGAGATACAGGTCAGAGCTATGTGAGATTCGAATTACGGGTAGATCGCCTTTAGTCTTAGGAACGCCGTCAAGGAGTGGGTTTGAAGGGCCATTTCAAAGATGTTCTTTCTTAACCGCCCAGGCTTGTGAATTTGGTTTCCTGAATATTGAACAAGCTCCATGCCCGCAATCAGACCTCTGGCCAAACACGACTAAGCTCCGAACGGCGCCGAACTCTTTCACCAGAGGCCAAGCACTCGGCCACCTGCTTGCGAATGTTCAACGCACGCCCATCTGGCTGTGATACCGCTTTCTCGAATATACTAAGCGAGTCGTGCATCGGCCAGTTGAATATGTGGCTCGGAAAGGTGAGCACAACGCACTCGCCCGGTACTATGCTGTCGAGCTCATACGGCGGAGTACGCGGAAAGGTCGTCCCGGTGCTCGGAAGCCAGTAGCCGAGCGGTCGGGGAACAGGCACTGTAGCGTTTTCGCGCAGAGTTGTCGTCCAGGTGATGATGGGAGTCGAGAGCAGGAAGTGCTTCATAGCGGGTTTGTAGACCCCTGTTTCGATCATGAATTCTGGCCCAACGACGGGAAGAGTGCCTCGGGACGGCCCAATCGGCGGGAAGAGCCAGTCTTCGAGGTTGGTGGGTGTTGTCTCCGCGTTGCTGCTGCGCTTCCGGTATGCTGTCCGCACTGAAGAGCCGTCATGGCGGACCTTGTGACTGAGCGCGCTGCAGAGCCGGTCAAGGAATCTGTTCAGCTCGAGCCGCTCGTTCTGGGGAAGCTTTGCCAGATAGTTGAGCTGACGCTGCCGGCGGTATACGGTTCCTGGCCCCATTGAATTCTCCGTGGGAAGATACGGCCATAGTCGAAGCAGCACAGCGCGCAGGTTCGGCCACTCTAGGCGGAGGACCTTGGTAATGAAGTGTTCGATGCTTTCCAAACACTTCCGGTGCACAATGAGGTAGTAAAGCCACCGGAAAGATAGCCCCTGAGCTCCACAGGGAGCAATGCCAGTAACATAGTACGTAGCTCCGGTGGCGGGTGGTTCCGAGACTGCAAACTTGTGCGGACATGATGAGTTGAAGCAGGTATGATCGTGGTGGCACAATGAGAGCCATTGGCTGTCGCCGTACTCTTGCCAGGAGAGCTCCACTGCTCTATAGACGTGGAAAGGGAAATGGCGTGCTTCTTCCGCGTACAATGCTCGAACAATATCTACTACTGAAGGCATGAAACTCCTGTCTGAGAAAACGAACAGCAAGGCGGCAAGCTGAGATGGGGGGGACTCGGAGAAGCAATCAACATAGCTGATGATCTCGAGCTTAATTTCGGTAGGCAGGAGGGCGAATTTACGGAAGAGCACCGGCGACTCAGTCTTGCCACCGCAGCTTCGGCGTTCGTCAGTCACTGATGCTCGATACTGGGCATATGCCTCTTCCGAATCGAAGACGGCCAGCCGCCCGGCGGGGAAGGTTGACATTGTTGTGGTGGGATATATGCTTTTGCTCTTTGTACTTTTTGATGTGCCGGATCGATAGAGCCGATGGATATCGTGCACGGTCTCGAGAACTTCTCAGCCCAATCAATGAGCTCGTGGTTCTCCTTCTATTGGGATCAGCTCAATGTGTAGTTCAAATGAACATGGCAAAAGAAGTACGAGGCATGCAAAACAAGGACAAAAGATAGATGTCACGTGGTCACTACGAGGGTCGAACTCGCGACCTAACGCCTGTTAGTTCCTCAAGGTTTTTGTGCGGAGAGAGGAACCAGAGGGGGAGAACATACCTTGGCGTTTTATATCATGTGATATTAGCACCACGCTCTAACCAACTGAGCTAAGCGACCATTGTTAAGGCGAAATGTGAGGTTATTGTTATATACCATGACCGAGTTGCTACAAGTCTAATTTCTGACAATGCGAATCAGATCGAATGTTGATCGCATGAGCATAAAAATACCTTGTGGGTCTGCCCGGGCTCTTATTTCACGTCATGCATTCACCGTCGTATGAAGTATTGGCTGCAAGATGAAAAGGCAGAATGAATTTTGTTCCCTGCATAGTGATGGTCTAGAGATTTATGCACGTTTCTTGGACCACTAGGAAGGTAGGTCTATACACTTTTCTTTGTCTATACACTCTTCCTCGTATCCAAGATTTGTTGCGCCTTCCTGGCAGCACAAGCTTTTGAATACCGTTACCCTTTTCTCTACCGATGGCCTCTTAGGAATGCGACAAGGGTTCCTAAGGTCGGCCCCCATGTGGTCGCTGAGCTCGCCAATGGGCTATTTCCAGCAGCGCCGTGCTTCCCAAGCCACAGCGCTAACAGCCCGATAAGTATAGTCAGGCTGAGAGTTCCAGCCGGCCGTCTGTATACCCACATGAGCCTTTTAGTGTCTTTCATCACCTGTTGCACAGCGTGAGCGCGCCGCATCTGCGCAGCCTGCTTGTCAAACAGCACTTGTCCATCATCCAGAGTCTGGCCGGCCAGCTGCCTGGGAGATCGAGTGGTTTTGAGGACACTGTACGAGGATATGCTCCGCCAGGCGCGGAACGGAAGTGACTCTGGAGGGTACTTCTGGAACAAGACTACAGTCTCTGAGATCAGATGCTCGAGATTGAGAGGATTTGGAAGCTTCGAGAGGGTAAAATGGAGCATCTCCGGCTCATCGTCGTCAATCTCGAGCAGTTCCTGCTTTCGTGACAGGATGATCTGAACGCTGAGGTTCAGCTCAGAGGACCTTAGCAGGCTCTAGACGGAGCTTACCTCTGCGTAGAGATAGACAGACACTACGGCCTCGTGAGCCAGGAGGAAGTCGAACAGCCGCGCGATGTCTCCATATTCTTGGATGTCGTGGGCGTAGAGTGTTAGCGTCGCTGCCAACGCGAAGAATGGCTGAGTGCCCTCAACATGCTTGCATAAAACAGGATCCGAAGCATGAAGAATCGAAGGGAGCAGCTGTAGGTGGCTGATGGCTGCAGAGAGCGAGGGGAGCATGAAGTCTCGTATCCGGAGCAGGGAAAGGCGCTCAACGGCCGGCGGTGCCCGAGCAACTCCGAGAACCAGCAGGAAGACTTGGACTATGTCATGATAGCCCTGGAAATAACACAGGGCGGGGTGTTTTCGAAGCGTCTTCGTGATCAGATCGGAGAGCTCCTGCTTTTTGACTTGTATCTGCTTCTCTGATTGGTCTACATTGCATCAGCTGCCAAACGTGCAAATTTGATAGCGAGCCCTAACGCATACCGTTTGGATAATACACGAAGGATCTGTCGACATCAAGCCTCACTTGATCCTCATCGCGATGCCGCGGCAGTGATCTCCACGTTTCATCTTCGTCCGTGGCGATGGTCCCCGAGCCTGCTACTGAACCCAGCAGCACTGGCCCTATTGATGTCATGCATTAGCTCAGATACATCTTCCGATGGATTGCCTGTCCTTACACGCGGTTTTTCTGGTGCCGTCGTCAACAAAGCCGCCGGGACTCGTTGCCAGAGCGGTCAATGCATCGAGATCGTTGTCCCTGCATGACTGCAGGATTCGCGTCACCTTGTCTGCCGGCGTGATAAGCAAGTCTTTCTCTCTCGCCGAAGACGGCTCACGGCAGGGGCTTTGGCTGGCATTATGGCCTTGGGCGGCATCGAAACTTCGGCGCGACCTGTGTGAGGATAGTATCGCGTCCCTCGAGTCGCGAAGTTCGTGATCCATCGAGCCGGCTTGAGTTAGCAGTGCATGATTCGCAACTGATCCGCACCTGATCCGCGGTTAGTAGAGCGGGCCGACGACACCTTGGACTCCCGGGAGAGGATCTAAGCTTCAGCGTGGATGACCGAAGGGCTGGTCACGGTTTCGTCTCAGGTCGAACTAGGCTCGCGTATGGCGGCAGGCGTGGAAACCCTTCAAGAGTGCTTCGCGCGCTGGCGCCCAAGGTTCCGTAGCAGGGCTAGAGTACACGCGTCGACCAAAACAGACGGCACGCCCAGATCAATAGAACTCACAGGTACCACAGTACTCAGCAGATTATCAGATCAGATGAAGGCCAGCGACGACGCGCTAGTGTTTAGATGCAGGACGCACGACAGCAGAGCTTGACTGGCTCGACTGGCCAGGCAGGGTGCTGCGCCCGTTGGAGCTCTCACCGATAGTCTGGCGTGGCGTCCACCACGCGGTTGATGTGGGGAGGGCGATGCATTTTTGTCGCGGCGTCGGTCGCGGCAGGGGCTGTTGTCACCTCTCGGCTTCAAGGCCGAGCCCTCCTCCAAGAGACTTTCCTGACTTTCCTGTGCGGGTCAAACCGATGATCGCCTGTGCCCACGAGCATGCGTGCGGGATGAACACTAGCGGCCAAATCGTTAGAGACGGCTTGCATTGGGCGGAATGTCCCGATTGCCTGCCACACGCTCCCGACGCCTCTCGGCTCTTCTATGCACACCTCCACTGCAAGGTGTGAACATATGGGTTTGAGATTTAGCTCAAACTTCGATTCACTGGCCTCCCTCTGCTCCCACAGCAGCAACAAGTCCTCACCGTCGCTACGCACCTCAGCTGACCAGTGGCCGCCAAGGCTCAATCTCCCGAGCGTTGCGCCGCTCAGCGTTTGCGTGATTCGCTGCGCCGACACAGTTCAACCTACTCGACTAAGAGACCTGCATTGCAAACGGCAATCATGTCGTCCCCCCGCCTGCCTAGGTAGCACCTCCACTGCCTCCACCGCCTCCGCTGCCTCCACTGCTCACATCAAGGAGCGAACAAGTGCGCCGGCTTGCCTCCATTCTTGATTCGTCCGGCCAGTAGTAGTACGAGTAACAATCAAGCCTCACGGGTCGGCGGGAGGCATCTCTACAATGTCCAAAGACCTTCCGCGCTCTGCCGTCACTCCACCTGTTCACCAGTTTGAGCCGCTTGTTTTCTAGCAGCATCTTTAACCCTAGCCAATTTTCATTGCCTCTTCTCTCAAACCGCCACAGCCTGATCACGCGGCCCCAAGGCTAGCTAGATCTTTCATACACCTTCAAAGTGCATTCGTTGCACGCATCGGACCGGACCTACAAAGAGCAGGCGGTAAGTTTGGCGTCTCTGATATACAATTGGGCTTGCCCGGCGGCTCCGGGACCTTGCGGCCCGCCCTGAGACCCTCCACTCAGGAGACAGCTCGGACCACGATGTCGGTACAGACGCTGATACAGGTCAATGGCCAGTGGGTCACGAGAACAGTCGACACTCAGCGGATTATGGCAGAGTTCAGTCGAAGAGACGCTCAAGACAAAGAGCAACGTACGAGCGGGATGGCGGCGAGCCAGACTGTACCTAGGCTTGGGCTTCTCTCCCGGACGGTATTTCGCAGTCCTATAATCAATCTAATCATACCAGCACGTGTGAGGCGCAAAGACAAGAACGATGTTGTCCTGATCGGCGAGGACTTCATTCATGTCAAGGAGATCCTCTCAGACGGTCATCTTCGTCATGTCACGACTAAGGCGGACTTCGGCAGCCGGATTCGTGCTGCCAGAGTCTTTGGGGAGCAGAGGCTTCCGGCGATGGACGCCCGGGATCTCTCAATGGAGCTCGACACCTCAGACATGATCCCGCCGCAGATCCTAGTGCTTACACTGGAATCCAAGGAGTTGATGTTCCTTTTCGTCCATCAGGAGCCGTCAGGGGCTCTGAGTTTTCCGTCCAGCGTGCTCCCTCTGCCGGACCAAATGTCGTTTCTAGAGCAGCCTGGAAGACATGTGGCTGTAGACCCAAGATCCCGTGCTTTTGCGGTAGCTGCTGCTGAGGGCATTCTTTACATGTACCGGTGAGTGCACAATTGCTAGTTTTGCGGGTGCTTTGCGAGAATACGTTTACGAAGAAGTATACGCATGCACAGTATTACTTCTGTAATGATTCTTCTACTTTCTCCAGAGTTCAAGACGGGTTTCTTGATCAGTAACGGTGCGCTGGACTTTGCACAATCTAGTTCAACTCAAGGGCCACGCGGACGGAAGAATGCCTTCGCAGCTCCTACTTCTTAGCGTCATAAGGGCTTGTCTTTCAATGGTATGCTGGTTTCATCGCAAAGTTCGCGCCATATCTGCATGCGCTTGCAACACTACACATTCACAGTGAAGAAGTACTGTTTTGAACTCACTGCTACTACACATTGCTCGTATATGAACTAACTCGAGCAATCTTATGCAGTGCAAAACCTATGGAGCGAATAAGAGAAGAGTTCTCACAGAGCCCGAAAAAGTGGAGTCCTATTATGCAAGAACTCCCAGTCAAGTTTGATGGTATCATTCTGGCTATGGAGTTCCTGTACCCGGCGCTCAACGATGAAAACCACGTCATACTCCTAGTCGTATGGGCCAAAGATCGAAGACTCCGTATGACTTGCTGGGATTGGGACCACGAGAAGGGCCTGAGGACAGTAAATATGCGAGTCAATGGGCATCCTCTGTGGCCAATGAGAGGGCAGGAGGTGTTCCCTGTGCTGCTTATACCGCTCCAGCAATCGTCAGATTTTATCCTGGTTGGAGAGCAGGACATTTACCTTTACCAAGACGTACTCTCCGGTGCACCTAGGTGTAACAGGGTCTTGGTACATGCGGTTGCGCCTCGCTATCCCGGGCTCTCCAAGAAGAAACCAAGATGGGTTTGCTGGGCAAGGATGGTGCGGAACTGGCGGCTGCATGACAGAGCGGACGAGAACTTCTACCTCGCACGCGAGGACGGTGCTGTCTACTACACGCAGTTCGCCGAGAATGACATCGAGAGGACGGCAACACTCTCGAAAGCAGGACTACTCAGCTGCACCGTCAACACAGCATTTGCTAGCTTGGATGTTGGCTCATCTCTTAGCAACCCTGATGTGCTCGTCGCGGCAGGCGATATGAGCCAGGGTCAACTTGTGCGCATTGGCTCGTGGCAGAACGAAGGTAACCATGCCGGGCGCTCGCGCGAGGACGCACTCAAGTTCAATTATATGGAGTCATTACCGAACTGGGCACCGACTATTGACTTCCTGATAACGGCCAATCTCTGTGGCGATGCGACTGCCGCGCAGCAAGGTTCCATTTTCACCACAGCAGGCAGAGCCCCTCACGGAGCGGTGTGCGAACTCAGGGCAGGTCTCGAGGCGCGAATAGGCTTCATCTTCGACAGTGAAGAGCTCTCGAGTGTGGCTTCGGTCTGGGCATTTGCTGATGCTGCTGAGCGTGGGGTCTACTTCGTAATGGCCACTCCAACACAGAGCCTACTGATACGGATTGGCGAGGATGAGACCGGAGATACCGTTGTGGATACGGCATTTGACGACACCAGCTGTGGCCTCGACTTCGAGCATACGACGGTCACCGCGGCTTCGTTATCCAATCAACACATCATGCAGGCCACCCCATGCGCCGTCCGTGTTCTGGATCTATCCAGTGCCAGCTTGCCTCAGATTGCAGTTCGTGAAACCTCTTCGGACGAGACCATCGTTGCCGCGTCTGTGTGCAGGCACCTTTCTGCAATTTTCGTCGCCATTCGTCGAGGGAGCGAGATCACTCTTCGCTCCTTAAGAATTTCGGACGGACCAGGTGATGCTGCGCTACACGAGTTTGGAGAACCACGTCCACTCTCAACCGAAATTACCTGCCTTGCGGTCCTTCGATTTCAAGACAAATCTTATGTTCTTGTAGGCCTCACGAGCGGATCCGTGCGGCTGATGAACGTAGATGCCATCCATGGCCTGGTACCAGAAAGCGAGCACGAGATTAGCGACCCTTCCTCAGAAAGCGCTCCAAGTGTCTGCGAGAGCGCCATCATCTTGCAGAGTGCACCAGTTTCTGGTGCTCGCACCAACTTTTTAATCGTCTGCGGGCTTCGGAATGGCACTCTTCGTACGATAGAGTTAGAGCTTATCAAGCACGAAGCGGATTCTAGCCATGGTATGTATGCCCACTTCCAATTCCGCGATCCTTCAGATGCGCCGCACACCGTCAGACATGCCAACGACTTTGTGGGTAAACTACTAAAACCGACCACAGATCTACACTTTGGCCGAACCGACACAGTCAACTTGGGCTTCACCTCCACTCGAGTAGTCTCAGACTCTTCCAAAGCTAGCTCCGCTCTTGCCACTTGCGGCAACAACTTTTGCCGTTTGGATTACACTGGTGGCCGCAGAACGGGTCTTTTGATCCGCAGCATATGGTTCACTGACCTGAACCAACCGGCTCTCCAGCAGTCACCTGTTGCGGCCCTCTCTCAAATACCTTATGGCGAAGACCTTGATAGGAAGAACCTAATTGGAGCCTTGGCCTGCATTTGCGGCTCGCAGTTTCTGGTCGCCCGGCTGGATGATGAGCCGAAGGTCGTTCCGCGGCGAATTCCTATGTCTGATGCAACACCAAGCAGGATCATGTACTCTGGGCGCCTGGATAAGATCGTCACTGGATCGTTACAGACACATTCGCCTGTCGTATCGCCTGAAGACATCAATTCCGTCAAAGCCCAACTGCAGTTTTTGGATGGTGAGAAGGTTCTCAAAACCACGCCACTAGCTGAACGGGTTTATGCCATGCTCGATTGGACTTATGAAGACGTCCAAGGAAGGCGGTACGGGTTCTTTTTATTAGGCTTGGGCAACCTTGAGGGATCGTGGGGTCGTGTTACGTTCCTGTCAGCCAGACCCGAGGGCAACAACGTCGGTGTCCAAGAAAAATTTCACTTAGAGTTTGACAAACCTGTCCTTGCAATCGCTCTCTACGACCAGACCAAACTCGTCATAGCCGTGGGGGGTGACTTGAGGATCTATAGCTTTGATGCTGAGGCTAGAAAGTAAGTGGGACGGAACCGCCTTTGCTGACGTCGCCAGCCTGCTATCTGGACAAGTCCTGCTGCATGCTTGGGCTCTTCGGATCTAGCTTTCCTTCAGCTGATTGAGCAAGGCTGACAAGTACCAGATGGCACAGCATAGCTTCACTCGCGCTTCCGTCCTCAGCAACCCATGTCACCACATCAGCGCCCTACATATACGCATCAACACTGGAACATTCTTTCATGGCCTTTGAGCTGAGAACAGAGGCGGACGACCATCTATCCGAGTACACAATCGAACCAGTGCTCACCGACTCTCAAATCCGTGAGACGTGGCATCACCTTTCCCTAACGCTGCCGGATACATCTGCCGACGCTGCCAACGCTTCTGCGCAGGAGGACGGCGTCGCTTCCTCCTCATCAGCACACCAACATCCGAACCTCTTTCTTGTATCCGACAAATCATGTACCCTCGCGGGCATCTATCGTCTCCCGCATCAAGCGCAACAAAACGTCGCTCCTATGTTGTTCGAAGCAAGGCTCCCGCGTAGCATCGCGCGCCTACGTCAAGGCCACGTTCGTCCGCCGTGGTGTAGGATCGAAAACGTACAAGGCGTGATACATCAGCCGGGCGGGGACATCCTCGGGTCCGCCGCGGACGGCACCCTCATGTCCTTCGTCTTGCTCGAAACGAAGGCATGGAGGTTGATAAAAGTCATGGAGAATTTAGCACGCATTGGATGGTATACGGACAACAATGGTCTCAGTGGTATCGACCATGCTGCCACCAGCTTCAAAAGGTCGACGGATCTGTGCCCGGAACACGATGCGGCGGGCCTCCGGCAGAGAACGGTCTATCACGTGGATGGTGATCTGTTGGAGCATCAGGTGGATAAGCTGAAGGGCTTGATAGAGCATTTGGAGACGATTGAAGAAAACAGAGGCGAGATCAGGAGAAAACTGACATTCCTGGCGAATGACGTTTTAGGCGAGGGTGATGGTGATGAGGATGTGGTTGACAGAACTGTGAATTGGGTGAAGCAGGTGTTGAAACCTATGTTGTAAGGATATCCAAGACGGGATCTAGAAGGGACTTCATATCTGTCCGGCGGCTTTCGCGTCTGCGATTACGGCCGCATGCTGGATGTACCATCACCGTCCTCGCGGCTCATTGCTGTCTCATAGCTTCACAGCGCCATAGCGTTATACCGCTGAGAGGATACAAGGCCCAGCTGATTAGGCGATACTGGAATAGTTCGCTTTTCATAGCTGAATTTAGTATCCAATCCGCTTCAAGGACTTCTGACTCATGCGGATTGTGACTAGATTCATTGTAGCCACAGCATCGACCACTCCTATGCTGCATCTCATAGTCTGGATCGTTAACCTCTAGCTCGAAGTTCTCAGAACTTCTTTGCCGCTGGATTCTGTACATAGATGGTGAGGGGCAGAATGACTCTTTCTTGGCTTGATATGACTGCTAGATCTGCCTCGCACAGAGACTGCTAATGAGTCACGGCTCGAGGCAGACTTTCCACCCCATACTCGAGTCAATACCAAGTAACCAAGGCGCCAGCACGCAAGACAGATCTGTATACGCTTCTGTGATGGTGAAGTTCATGTGTCAAGCGGAGGTCGTCCGTGCAGTGGCCGACCGAAATGCATCACGTCCCACGCTAGCCTGAAGCGAGGCGCCCCACCGTCGACTGCTTGAAAATCCAACACCTGCCCTCCACCTCGAGTCTCTCCCCACTACGCTCCAAGGTCAAGACGTACGCCTCGTCTCTCAAGCCAAAGCGACTGACCTTCAAGCGCTCGCCTTCGAAGGCAGAGTATCCTACGTCAAATCGCCTCTCTAGCAGAGCGCCTCACACGAAGCGGGGTACAACGATACCTCGACACATCCAACACATTTTCGCAAAGAGAACAGCAGCAACACCGCAAAGATGGTCAAGTAAGTTACAGAGGCTCGTTCGGCAAAGGAAGCCATGCTAACGTCTAACCAACAGCTTCACCGTCGAAGAGGTATGTCCGCACTATCTGGCAACGAAGACGCTGATGGGAACTGGGGGCTGACTTGCTGGAAAGATCCGGGGCCTCATGGACCAGGCTGCCAATATCCGAAACATGTCGGTTATTGCGCACGGTGAGTGGGCGCGCGGCTCTACAGAAGTCGCATGTGGCTAACTCTGCTACCCACAGTCGACCACGGAAAGTCCACCCTGACCGACTCGCTCGTCCAGCGCGCCGGCATCATCTCATCCGCCAAGGCCGGCGAACAGCGTTTCACCGACACACGCCCGGATGAGCAGGAGCGCGGCGTGACCATTAAGTCTACCGCCATCTCTCTATACGCCAGTCTCACGGATCCCGAGGATATGAAGGATATCCCGCTTAAGGTCGAAAAGAACGATTTCTTGATCAACTTGATCGACTCTCCGGGCCACGTTGACTTCTCTTCCGAAGTCACAGCCGCTCTGCGTGTCACTGACGGTGCCCTCGTCGTCGTTGACACTGTTGAGGGTGTGTGCGTGCAGACCGAGACTGTGCTTCGGCAGGCTCTTGGTGAGCGTATCAAGCCCGTGGTGATCATCAACAAAGTCGACCGTGCCCTTTTGGAACTGCAGGTATCCAAGGAGGATCTGTACCAGAACTTCTCCCGTGTCATCGAGTCAGTCAACGTCGTTATCGCTACCTACTACGACAAGGTCTTGGGTGATGTCCAGGTCTACCCAGACAAGGGCACTATTGCGTTCGGTTCCGGTCTGCACGGATGGGCCTTCACGGTCCGCCAATTCGCCTCTAGGTACGCCAAGAAGTTCGGCGTAGACAAGAACAAGATGATGTCGCGTCTATGGGTAAGATTGACGCTCAGCCCGGCCTGTACCAACTGATACTAACCGCTGGATTAGGGCGACAACTTTTTCAACCCGAAGACCAAGAAGTGGACCAAGACTGCTGAGGGTGGCGGTGAGCGTGCCTTCAACCAGTTCGTTCTTGACCCCATCTTCAGGATATTTGGCGCAGTCATGAACTTCAAGAAGGATGAGATCCCGAAGCTCCTTGAGAAGCTGGAGATCAAGCTTACCAATGACGAGAAGGATCTGGAGGGCAAGCAACTGCTCAAGGCTATCATGAGGAAGTTCCTCCCCGCTGCCGATGCTCTTCTGGAGATGATGATTCTCCATCTCCCTTCCCCTGTCACTGCGCAGAAGTACCGCATGGAGACTCTCTACGAGGGCCCACATGATGATGAGAACGCCATTGGTATCAGGGACTGCGATCCTAAGGGTCCCCTCATGTTGTACGTCTCCAAGATGGTTCCGACTTCCGACAAGGGTCGTTTCTATGCTTTCGGCCGTGTCTTCTCCGGCACTGTCCGATCAGGCCTCAAGGTCCGCATTCAGGGCCCCAACTACACCCCGGGCAAGAAGGAGGATCTGTTCGTCAAGGCTGTCCAGAGGACGATTCTCATGATGGGTCGTTACGTTGAGCCGATTGAGGATGTGCCAGCCGGTAACATTCTTGGTTTGGTCGGTATTGATCAGTTCTTGCTCAAATCTGGTACTCTGACCACGAGCGAGACCGCCCACAATCTCAAGGTCATGAAGTTCTCCGTCTCCCCTGTTGTCCAACGCTCCGTAGAGGTCAAGAATGCCAACGATCTGCCGAAGTTGGTCGAAGGTCTCAAGCGTCTGTCAAAGTCCGATCCTTGCGTGTTGACCTTCATCTCCGACTCTGGCGAGCACGTCGTTGCTGGCGCTGGCGAGCTTCACTTGGAAATCTGCCTGAAGGATCTGGAGGAGGACCACGCTGGTGTACCCCTCCGCTTCTCGGATCCCGTCGTCCAGTACCGTGAGACAGTCGGTGCCAAGTCAAGCATTACCGCGCTGTCGAAGTCACCCAACAAGCACAACCGTCTCTACATGATCGCTGAGCCGCTTGCCGAGGAGGTCTGCAAGGAGATTGAGCAGGGCAAGATTGGGCCGCGCGACGACTTCAAGGTCCGCGCCCGTATCTTGGCCGACGAATACGGCTGGGACGTCACCGATGCGCGGAAGATTTGGTGTTTCGGTCCAGACACCAACGGTGCCAACTTGCTCGTCGATCAGACCAAGGCTGTCCAGTACCTGAACGAAATCAAGGACTCCGTTGTCTCTGGTTTCCAGTGGGCGACCAAGGAGGGCCCAGTTGCTGAGGAGCCCATGAGGGCCATCCGCTTCAACGTCATGGACGTTACCCTTCACGCCGATGCCATCCATCGTGGCGGTGGGCAGATCATCCCAACGTCCCGTCGTGTGCTGTACGCTGCGGCACTGCTTGCCGAGCCGGGTCTTCTCGAGCCCGTCTTCTTGGTCGAGATCCAGGTGCCCGAGCAGGCCATGGGCGGTATCTACGGCGTGCTTACACGACGGAGAGGTCACGTCTTCGAGGAGGCTCAGCGTCCCGGTACCCCTCTGTTCAATATCAAGGCCTACCTCCCCGTCAATGAGTCCTTCGGTTTCAACGCCGATCTTCGCTCAAACACGTCCGGCCAGGCCTTCCCACAGTCAGTGTTCGACCACTGGCAGCTACTACCCGGTGGCTCGCCGCTCGACCCGAGCACCATGCCCGGCAAGGTCGTGCACGACATGCGCAAGAGGAAAGGTATCAAGCCTGAGGTCCCGGGTGTTGAGAATGTAAGTCCTAGACGGTCACACCCTTTCATCCAGTCGCACGACGCTAATCATATCTCTAGTACTATGACAAGCTATAAAAGCATGCTGGCTAGATTCCTAGAGGCATTTTCTATCTGGTACGGATCTGGATTTGGGGGCATAGGCCGGGGCTGCTCGTTGTCTGTAGCTTGACGGGTTACGAATAATGGCAGTATCATGCATGCTATTAGAGCTCGAATGACAATGTGAACGATGAAAGGCAGCAGGATGCTTCGGGCGGGACATGAGATTGTGTATGACCGCGATGCAGCAGTCTCCCTTCTACACTCCTGTTTGCATACCCGCCTGTGCACTCCGGAGTTGGAAGATGGAATTACGTATACACAACCAGTTGCTGCTGCTTCTGACACCTGCCAAAATGAATACCACGAGACCCACAGATCTGCTACTCATCAAGCCCATGAAGCTGAGGTAATTCTGGACGCCAGGTTGCTCTCGCGGCCTCGAAAGGAGCAATCGTAGGTGAGGGCACGTGACTATGACGCCCGCGGTTAGGGCTTGCCTGCGCTGGTTCTCTGATATTTTGTCTTCGCCGTAACGCGCCCGTCGACTTCATAAAAGTCACCGCGACGACACTTCCTACGTTTTCCTCCCCACTCGTCGCCTGCGTCGACTCTACTGGCATACCATCAAGAATATTTGCGCGTCTTCCAATGCTCACACTCGCATCCAGAACCACTCTACCATCTCCTTGATATTAGGACCAAGCCGACTACTCGCTGCGCTACATTGACGGAACACCTCTGAGTAGAACCACCCGACCCTTTGTCGCGAACCGTCTGGAATCACGCAGAACCCTTACGCGTACCACCTCGCGCCATGTTTGTTGACGAAGCAGACGCAGCCGAACTGAAGAGCTGGGTCGTCAAGCGCCTGGAGGACATCTCGGACGCAGACTCCGACGTGCTTGCGGACTACGTGCTCGCGCTCGTCAGGTCTGATGACCCAGACGACCAGGTTAAGAGCAACTGTTTGGAAAATCTCGAGGACTTCCTCAAGGAGCATACCGCGACCTTCGTGGACGATGTCTTCCAAGCCATCCGAACGCGGGCGTATCTACCCGGCTATACTGCGCCTCAACCCGCACGACCTACTGGGCCATCATTCAACCCTCCAGCTGGGCCGGCGGCGGCAACAAACAGGAGACAGGGCCCTCAGACATTCCAGAATGGCACATTTGCGCAAGCGGGCGATCAGTCACGCAAGCGATCATTCAATGACCGTGAAGGGAGCGAACCGCGAGATGGAAGGGACTCACATTATGGGCGTGGTGGAGAGAGGTCGGTACAGAAGATGCGACGAGGCAACAACAGAGGCATCGTGCCTGAAACGCCAAGAGGACCACGGGCGACCCAACCGCAGGGTCAAGTAGGCGGCCTGCTAGGTTTGCCTGGCCTTGGAGGTCCAGCGATGCAACGTGCGCCCGCCATGCCTCAAATGCCTACACCGCCGCCAGGCTTCCCTCCGCTCGACCCGAACAATCCGCTCGCGGCTATTCTAGCCATGCAGGCACTGGGGTTTCCATCTATACCTGGCTTTCCACCTCTACCTACAGCAGGCTCGCCAACGAACACCTTCTCTCAGCCCGGCTCACAAGCGCCTCCGGCACGCGATGCTGCGCCAATGAGGCAACCCGGGAGACGGTGTCAAGACTACGACACCAAAGGCTTCTGCGCGCTCGGCGGCAGCTGCCCCTACGAGCACGGAACAAACCACATCGTGGTCTCCAGCCAGTCCGACGGTACATATATATTTCCGCCCCCTCTCGCGACCGCTCCTTTTCCGCAGTCCCCAAACCTGCAACCTTCCCTTCCACCAAACATCCCACCTCCAAGCCCATTCTCTCTCTATTCCGTCTCAAATCTGCCATCAATTGTACCGCACACCGCCCCCCAAACTAACGAACCGCCCCCAGAGTATGACCCGACAAAGTCGGCGCGCATCATGGACGACGTCCAGAAACCGACAAACGGCTACGCCGAGAGCAACCGAGGAGGCAGCGACCGCGGTCGTGGACAACGAGGGCGAGGCCAACGTGGCGACAGAGCCGGCTTCCAGGGCCGCGGCGGCCGCGCCGCTTTCTCGCAAGCCGGGCCCAACAACGACCGCTCCAACACCTCCATTGTCGTCGAGCAGATTCCGGAAGACAAGTTTGACGAGCAGGCGGTGCGCGACTACTTCTCAGAGTTTGGGAACATCGTGGACGTCAATATGCAGGCTTACAAGCGGCTCGCGGTGGTCAAATATGACGACTACTGGGCGGCGCGGCACGCGTACGAGAGCCCCAAGGTCATCTTCGACAACAGATTCGTAAAGGTGTACTGGTACAAGCCTGACGCCGTGCCGAAACCGCCAGAAAACGGCACCTCTGCCGGCCACGAGGGCAACGTCGCAACGAACCAGGCCGAGAAACAGGACGAGGAGATGATCGACCCGGCCGAGTTCGAGCGGAAGCAGGCAGAGGCGCAGAAGGCCCACGAAGAGAAGATGAAGAAACTAGCAGAGGCAGAAAGCCAGCGGGAAGAGCTGGAGCGGAAACTGAAGAAGCAGGCCGAGGAGCGGAAGAAGCTGCTGGAGCAGCTGGCCGCGAAGCAGGGCGCGAGAGCCACGGCAGCGTCAGCATCACCAGCAGTTGCAGCAGCGAGCCCTGTATCCGCCAAGTTGGAGCCTCCCACGAACGGCACGGCCGAGCCCGCCCCAAAACCCTCGCAGACTGAGGCGCTGAAAGCTAAGCTCGCGGAGCTGGAGGCGGAGGCTCAGGCTATGGGCATCGACCCCGAGGAGCCGTACGCGGGGTATCCCGGCAGAGGCAGGGGGCGGGGCGGGTACAGGGGCCGCGCGGGTTTCGTGCCTCGAGGCCGCGGCTTTGATCCCTATCGCGGCTCGTACCGCGGGCGGGGAAGCTATGCTGGCGGGCCGAGAGGCGGTGCCGTCAAGAGGCTGGACAATCGGCCCAAAAGGGTTGCGGTTGCGGATGTGGAGGTGGGGAGTGAGAGGGATGAGGCGTTGAGGCAGTATCTTTTCGTGAGTTTCATGTCTCGTCCGCCCTTTCTTTGCTTTTGCGCCCAGCGAGTGGAGAGCACGACTGACGGGCGCTGTTGGTAGAACCACTACGACGTCGACTCCATAACCCCCCACCCCGACCACCCCGCCACGCTTGTCGTCGCCTTCAAGGAACGCTATCTCGCCGAGGACTTCGTCACTAATACTACCTCCATCCCTAAGATCGGGAAGCCGGACCTCTCGTGGGTGCCGAATCCGCCTCTTCCGCCTGTCAGCTCTTCGACGCTCAACGCTGCGGCCGCCGCTTTTACGCCACAGTCGAACGACCAGGATGTTGCGATGGGCGAGGGCGCGAATGGGAATCAGGGCGGGGGTGGGGACGTGGATTACGATGTTGCAGATGATGAGGACCGGTGGATGGCGGTGGGGTGATGGGCTCGGATGTTCGTTCCGGAGGACCAGGAGTGGGATGGTCCTGTTAGGGGCCAGAGTGGTCTACGTGGGAAGGAGGGAAATTTATGTAGCATTTGAGGACCTGGTGGGTGTATTGTATAGTGTAAAACCAAGCGGGGCGCTTTTGAGCCTCTCGTCATTCTTGTGGACAGCAGGAACGCCGTCGAATCACAAGCGTGGGTGGTGAAGGGTAGAGTGAGAGTATATTCTCCATCGAACAAGCGCGAACCAAACATGCTCATTGCGCTCGAAGCAGCTTCTGACCAGTTCTCAACTGCACCTTGCTGGCTCTTGAGCGTGCGCACTGGAGCTGATTAAGCCGTGATGACCACAGATGAGCTGTGCTCATATGCCTCGTCCGCTCGACGGTGCTAGTTGGAGCCCTCTCTCCTAAGTCAGCCACCTAGAGCCCCTCTTCGCAGCGGCTCAGTTCTGCCCTCAGGCGCAATCTGCACCACTGCCTTCACAGCTTCGCTCTCTAACCCCTGCCGAGGGCTGATTTCTTGCTTCCCCACGCTCCATCTGCTTTCCAGCCTTCACAGCTATCTTTGAAGTCGTTTCACCTCGACCGCTTCGGCCTCTCCACCTCAACTTCAACCTCGACCTCCTCCTCCTCCGCGGTGAAGTAACTCTCTACCGTCCGCTTCTCGCCCCGCGCCCGCGCCGCATCTAGCATGAACCGCACCGTGCCAATCTGGCCACGCCCGCCTATCGCTAGCACGGCCGCCGCAGGCGACGTGTCCGCGGTCCCGTTCGTCGTCTCTTTCGCGCCGTTCCTAGCCACGCCATTCGTCTCCTTCGCGCTCGCCGACTTCGTTTTCTCTTTCGCGGTGGCGGGAGCGGTGGCGGACTGCGTGTAGCGCGGATAGTCGTTCGTGGCAGCTTCCTGGTTCAGCGTAATGCGGATGTTGATGAAGGAGTCGAGGGGCCAGGACGGGCCTGCGAGCGTGGAAGGCTTGTGGTGCGTGTACAAATCCAGCAAATCGAGCAGCGTCTCCATCACTTCTGCGCGCGTCGTTCCCCACCGCCGGTACTTGATCCCGCGCTCCCCTGTCCCCGTCCCGAGGCGCGTTAGATCGGCGTCACACAGACGCGCTGCTAGCTCCACACTCGCGATTGCCACGGTGGCGGTGGTTTGCTTTAAGGGCGCGAAGGTGCGGTACAGGTCCAGGGACATGTTGTAGGCCGTCTTGCCGACGGTGGAGCGGGGGTAGTTGAGGGATTTGCAGAGCTTGAGGACGAGGCGTTGGGGGTGCCGGCTCCGGAAGTCGAAACCGGCGGCTTCGAGCATGAGGCGCTCGTAGCCGATTAGGGTCTTGGAGCCGGGGTCGAAGAACTAGAGTTAGGGTCAGTTTTGGTTCGAGTGAGAGTGGAGGTGGGTTTTGGCCCAAGAAGAGAGAAAGGGGGGAGAAGGCACGCACGGGGTCATCAGGCGTTAAGTGCTCGGCGGGCGCGAGTTTGAGGTTCCAGGATGCGCAGAGAATCTCGCGGGACTTTTTGAGGGTGTCTTCGATCTTGCAGGCCATGAAGAGGGCGGCGGCTGCGGCGTGCTGGTGGGGGATGTCAGCTATTGAGTTGGGCACCTGCTCCTGAGAGATCCCTTACGATGTTGTCATACTCATTGTCGGAGTGGACCAGGCGGAACTTGTGGTAGTAGACAACTGCCGTGTTGTATGTCCGTACAGGCCTACTGAAGTTAGGCACTAATTCTTCTCCACTTCCTGGGGCCTTCATACAACTGCATAGCCCTCCGTATATTATCGATCCACGTGACGCCTTGTAACCGTATGCTGTCTTCCTTTGCCTCGTTCATCCCAATAGCATTCAGGCATCTTTCCAACTTCTGCTGAAACACATACGGCTTCGCTACTTCAATAAACGATGGGTGAGGACCCGGGGTGGCACTCTCCGCAGGGGTGGGCGGCGCGGGCGCCATTTCGGGCTCGCCGTTCGTGCTGGTGTTTGCGGACAGCGATAAAGACCCGGAACCCAGAGAGTTCGCGACTGTGTCCTTGAGGATTTCTTCTAGTGAAAACACCTTTTTGCGTGGTCCGACTTCGATCAGGTTTGGATTCTCGATGGTATCAGTCTTGCGATCCCTGCTTCGAGATGGAGGTGCTGGCGGCGCCGAAGAAGCTCCGACATCTTGACCGTCAGGTCTGTCGACGACGGAGTCTCTCTTTCTCTTCTTGTTCTTTCGTTTTGCCATCCCTATAGCGATGGCTGTCGAGCGAAGTGCTAATTTAACTGGTTTGGAGACGGCTTTGTGGGTACAGAGACTCAAGATAACAGCGCGATTCCAAAAGGTCTACAGCATCTGAGCAAAGTTAGTTGAGCCTAGACCTTTGATATAGGAAAAGGGTGCTGTCTGCACAATTTCCGTATGGTGAGGTGAATATGCTGCACCGGTGTTGTTGTATGAAGCTACCCAGCCGTGTGGTTGTCGCCTGGTTGCAGCTTTTGTGCATGGACTGGTTGATTGATAGGTGAAGACTGTTAATTACAGATGACAGATGGGGAAATTCACTCTTCGATCTCACGCTTCACTTGTCACTTCGCGGATCTAATCAAATCATCTCTCTCAGATTGGGAATATGCATTTCGTGGTGCATCCTGTTTCTTCATCCACACTGCTCGAGCAGGTCAGGCATACAGCAAGAGCTCTCTTTCTCTGCAAACATTCCCTTCCATGACAAGTGTGCCCATTTCCCTCTCGTATCATCGGAAATCTTACAGTCGGCGGATACGCTGACTGGTCCCTTCACTATTGATTCTGCCAGCCCCTGAACTGCCTTCTGTGCGTTCATGGGAACAGCCAAAGCACATTCATATCCCTAATAAAGGCCTGATTAAACCTCGTTCGCATCTCAAGCATGTTCTAGAAATCACCAGCCGTGAGACATGCATGGAAGCAATTCAGGAGCTCTCAGATATAGGACATCGTGCGCCCGCTTGCATGGTTGGCAAAGTACCACATCTGCTTGCCCTCCACTCGCATGACCGTTAGCAATCCTCCCACCAGCTTCCGCTCAGACGATATATTCCCCTGCCATCGTTGCTTTTTAAGGCGCGTGATCTCCTACAACCTGCTCTCCGCCTCCCTCGCGGCACTGAACCCCCTCCAGAAAAGTCAGAGCCGATCCAGAACGTGCGAACATGGCCAGACAACGGCGGCCCCCCAGCCCAACGCGCTACTGCACTTGCCGCGAGCCCGACGACCACACGCCGATGATCGCCTGCGACGGCGGCTGCGACGACTGGTACCACACGCGCTGCGTCGGTCTGGAAGCAGAAGACTTCCAGCGCATCAGGGAGTACATCTGCCCGAAGTGCGAAACGGAGACGAAGAAGACGACGTGGCTGCCACGGTGCCGGAGGGAGGGGTGTAAGCGGGCGAGGGAGCCTGGGAAGGGGAGGTTGTTTCCGAAGTACTGTTTTGGGTGCGCGAATGAGGTGGTTGAGCGGGGGAAGGAGGAGTATGTGAGGGCGGTTTGGGAGAGGGGGTTGTATTGGGTGTAGGATGGGTGGATTGGGGAGGAGGTTGGAGCTGAGGAAGGGGGCGGAAAGAAGGCTGCGTGTATTGCGCCTGGAAAGGAAGATGGTAGGAGATGGATGGATTGTGACATTGTATACATCTTGAGTAGAAACACGTTTGAACAGACCGCTGTGACGCTCTTATTAAAGATGCGATGGTATACGTCTAGACAAATTGTTTGTTTCCGGTACCAAAAGGTGCGCGACTCGAAAGGCAACTGCGATGAACGGAAAGATGAAAGAGAGAAATGGTAAATGGAGACTCCTGGACGGAGGTTGTTCGAATAGCTTTTAGACATCCAAAATGTCCCTTTAGGCCCCCACTAGCAGTGCCCGACGTTGCGGCTCATGCCAGCTGACACGAACCGGCACGCTTCCTTCCACCACGGGCCGTCTTACTCACTCAAACTCCTCCCTCTTCTCTCGTTTGCGCTCACAATACTCACACCGGCGCTATGCTTCTTGGACACGCAACTGCGAAGCCGTGGAGGATGAAGCTGCTCAGGCCCCGATCTCTCCGCGACGTCGGTCCGGAAGGAGCTTAGATCCGATGGCGGAGGCAGGGGCAGGACCAGGGGCAGGGGCAGAAGGCGGTGAGCGGCACATCACCTTCCCGAAAGTCGTGATGTTGAGGAGGAAAAGGCACACGGCGATTTGCCCTCCACCTCGCCGTTCGCGTGTCCAATTGCTGTCGCTACAGGACCGACGCTGCGTGCAGTCTATTCTTGCCCTCGTTCGTGCTTTCCTGCACCCTCGTTGCCCGCTATCGTAATCACTGGCGCTTTACTATACTTTCAGGACCCTGTCAACAACAAGTCGCAAAGTATTTCAGACGATAGGAACAGCGATTCAATCGCATAACACACCACCACCATGGCTGTCAACGCCAGCTTTACCTCGCCGCGGGCAGATGCGAGCTACGTTACGCCCTACGAAGGTGGAATTGTTGGCGCTGTCATTGACGCCACGAACGGGTGGACCATCGTTCTTACGCTGCTGTGTCTGGCCGTCGGATACGATCAATGTGAGTCGCGACCGTTTGCTAGTGCAAGAGACCGAAGCGTTAAACCATTGCGTAGTCAAGTATATCTGGAACAAAGGATCCATCGTCGGCCCGGCCTGGAAGATACCCTTCATCGGCCCCTTCCTCGAATCCGTAAACCCCAAGTTTGAGAAGTATCATGAGAAATGGATGAGTGGGCCTCTAAGCTGTGTATCCGTGTTTCACAAGTAGGAGATCAGGTCCGCGGTGCTATCTTCGCATGCTGATGCTGCGCCAGGTTCGTTGTCATTGCCTCGACTCGCGACATGTCGCGCAAAATCTTCAACTCGCCCAGCTTCGTCAAGCCCTGCGTCGTAGACGTCGCGCACAAACTCCTGCGGCCCACCAACTGGGTCTTTCTGGACGGCAAGGAGCATGTCGACTACCGCAAAGGTCTTAATGGCCTCTTCACGCGCCAGGCCTTGGAGCTGTACCTACCGGGTCAGGAGGAGACCTACAACAGATATTTCATGCATTGGCTTGACATATCCCAGAAGCAGAACAACGGCAAGCCCGTACCCTTCATGACGCACTTTCGCGAGCTCATGTGCGCCGTCTCCTGCCGCACATTCGTCGGCCATTACATGCCCGACGCAACCGTCAAGAAGATCGCTGACGACTACTACCTGATTACCGCCGCGCTAGAACTCGTCAACTTCCCCGTCATCCTCCCATTCACCAAGACCTATTACGGCAAGAAGGCCGCAGACGTAGTCCTAAAAGAGTTCGCCAAATGCGCCGCAAAGTCCAAGGCGCGCATGGCCGCCGGGGGCTCCATCACCTGCATCCTGGACGGCTGGGTCAAGCACATGCTGGACTCCGAAGACTACCGGCAGAAGGTCGCCTCAGGCGCCGAAACCAACCCCTCCGAGAAGCCCTCGATGCTCATCCGCACGTTTACCGACTTCGAGATCTCGCAGACGCTCTTCACCTTCCTGTTCGCCTCGCAAGACGCCTCCAGCAGCGCCTGCACCTGGCTCTTCCAGCTGATGGCCGATCGTCCCGACGACCTAGATCGGATGCGCGAGGAGAACCTCCGCGTGCGCAACGGCGACAGGAACGCACCTCTCTCCATGGACCTCCTCGAGAGCCTCACCTTCACGCGCGCCGTCGTGAAAGAAACGCTCCGCTATCGCCCGCCCGTGCTAATGGTCCCCTACGTCGCGAAAAAGCCCTTCCCGATCACGGACACCTACACCGTCCCAAAGGGCTCCATGGTAATCCCGACCACCTACCCGGCACTGCACGACCCGGAGGCGTACCCCAACCCGGACTCCTTCGAGCCGGAGCGCTGGATCAGCGGGACGGCGGAGAACCACCCGAAGAACTGGCTCGTGTTCGGCACGGGCCCGCATTACTGCTTGGGACAGACGTATGCGCAGCTTAATTTGGCGGCGATGATTGGCATGGCCAGCTTGAAGCTGGATTGGAAGCATGAGGTTACGGAGTTGAGCGAGAAGATCAAGGTGTTTGCTACCATCTTCCCGCAGGTAAGTTTGAGTATCCCATGTATGCTTTTCGTGTTGGTCACTGACGAGTGATGCGCAGGACGATTGCCTCCTTACGTTTTCGGAGAGGTCGTAGGTGCCCTGAAGAGAGGTGAAGGCGCTTGTTGATGTCTCGTACATGGATGAGCTCGTAGTGCAGATGCCGATGTTCTGCTTTGACATCCTAGACCGACAGTGTAAATAGGGTGAGGGATTATATGCCGTTCGCGATATCCCTTCGGTGGCACGAAAGATCTTAATCGCTAGCTTAGAGCAATAATTTCAATACGAGACGACGCTACCAAACTACCTGAGCGAACAAAAGAAACCCATCAATGTACATACACTCATGCAGCCCATACTCGTGACCAGCGTACACAGTCGTCCACGCCACGCAGCAACGCAAAAGAACTTTAGTCCACCGCAAACGCCGTCGCTTTTATTGATCCCCATCCCCCAGCTTGTCCAACAGCAACCAACCCCACGCCAGCGAGCATTACCCCCTCACGCGACCACAGCCTCTCGCCCCCTCCGTGCGAGATAATAGGCAATAAGATTCAACCGCCCCTGCCCTACTCCGCCTTCTCCTTCTCCCTCCCCTCCCACACCGAGCGCCCGCCAGAACTCCTTCCCCACCTCTTCGCCGTTGCTGTTGCTGTCGCCATTGCTCTTCCGGTTCAAGCGGCAGCAATCATGCAGCTCGACGCACAGCTCCAGCGCCGCCCTGCGGACATCCGGCGCCGCGTCGCCGAGGAAGCGTGCCGCCGTGCGCGCGAGTCGCGTGAGGCGTGCAGGCGGCAGGACTGCAGCCGAGGACGTTGAGGTGGTGCGAGATTTCTGCAGAAGCGCGCTCAGTGCGCCAAGCGCTGCTGCAGCTGTCGTGCTGCTCGCCCCCACCGCCGTGTTATCCGTCGCGCTGCCCAGGGAAGCCAGGGACGAGGAGGACGAGCTGGGCCGGCCAGAAGACGAGGAAGAGGGCAGCGAGTCGAGCAGCTCGAGCACCGCGTCTATGCAGTCGCTCGCGCGGCCGTGCTTGATGATCTCGTCGGCTGTCTTTTCCAGCTCCGCGGCCATGTGCGACGTCGAGTCGCAGGCGCCTTTTGCGGCGACGACGGCGCAGAGGGCGCGCGGGTAGTAGGGGGTGGATTCCTTAGGGTGAAGCGCCAGCATCGCGCGGACGGTCGCCAGCACCTGCGCCTTGAGGTTCAGCGCTTTGGACGCGGTGCTGCTGGGTTTGGAAGTGGGGCCGGTGTTGGTGGTAGGAGCCTCGAGATACTCGAGCAGTGCAAGCAGCAGCTCGCCGAACTTCTGGTTGCTGTCGCCCCAGATGTCGGCGTTGTTCCTTACGAGGTCTTGCAGGCGGCGGAAGCCGTGCGCGTCGAGAGAGCGGCTCTTGATGCGCTCGATGCCGCTGGTGAGGAGGCGGCGGGCGCGAAGCACTTCGGCGCGGTCGTGGGTGACCTCGCCGTTGGTAGTGGGAGCGGCCTTGCGCGGACTTCTGGCAGGCTCGGAGGTCGTGGAGTGAGTAGCAGCGGTGTCGGCGCTGCCGCTGCTCTGGCGGCGCTCGACGTTGCGTTCGTTAAGGGGGAGTTCTTCGAGGACAGACTTCCCGGGTTCGGTTTCTGTAGCGAGCGTTTCGGGCTCGTCGGCTGTGAAGGGGTCTTCGTAGACCTGGACTTCATCGTTCTCGAGAGCGACGGCGCTGTCCACGGATCTGAGGAGGGGGCTGCGGCTGTACACCACACCATTCATTGGGCCTTCATCCTCGTTATGAACAGGCAGGGGCGAGCGGCGCGGCGTCGCTTTGGCCGGGCTCACCCGTGGTGAACGTGCTCGGTCAGGCATCACCATGGACGGGATTACCATTGAGAAGGTCTCTCCATCCACCATGCTGGGTATGCCGCTGTCTACTGACATGGTCTTGTCGATGCCTGGTCTCCGCACTCGGAACGGCTCCTCCTGGGCTGCTGTCTTGCCAAACGGCATGACCATCGTCAGGTCCTCGTACTTGGACGGACTTGAATCCGGACTGGCAAGACTTGAAGGTCCGGCGGCAGGAACGCTCGCCGTCTTCTGGTGGGATGATTGCCCGAGCCGTGACTTGCTTCTTACAGTGTGTAAGGATGGGCTCTGAGGGCGTCCTGGAGGAGCTCCTGCACTGCTTTGCGAGGCTACAGACTTCTTGCCAGTGGTCTTATCCGGTGAGTTGGCAGGGCTGAGCGTAGGTGTTACTGGCTTTGCGATTCCTGTCCTCCTACTCATATTCCTACTTGCGTACGGGTCAGCAGTTGCTGGCCGTGGGAGCTCAGGCCGCTTCGGTCGCCGCACAGGCGCCGCCATCAAGGAGCCGGATGGAGCCGAGGATGCCTGTGCCACGGCGGATCGAGCCGCTGCCGCCGTTAAGGATGTCATCGATGAGGCCCCACGTTGTGACAACGAGAGGGCGGAGGGAGCTCGTGCGGGCGTCGGCTTAACAGGTGAGAAGGTAGATTGCGCCGAGTTCGGCCGTTCCGGAAGACGTTTGGCTGCTTGCTGCGTGGCAGCTTCTTTTCTCTGTGCTTCTCGCTTCTGCGCTGCGATCTTCTCTCGAAGTTCCGCTCGACTACTACCAGTACCCACTGACTTTCCAAGCGTCCCCGCACCAGATGATGACTGCGAGGAGGCCAGAGAAGCATGGGGATTGCCGGGGTCCTTCTCCAGTAGTTGCTTAGATTTGGGGTCCAAAGTGTCCATAATCCTGTAACGAAGTAAGCAGATGTGGCTGATAGACCATCACTGGACTTACGCATGGGCTCTCTCCGGCCATAATCGCACAAAGACCCAGTAAGCGCTCCGTGTGCCTTCCCTGACCTTTGGATTCGCGTCTGCAAGACCTTTCTTGAGGCACTGCTCTGCTACATCCACACCTCCGGAATGCTCAATAAGAGCTTTGTGGCCCGCATGTTTGTTGAGCAAAGTCTTAAGCCAGCCGGAAGCGAACGTCCGAGGTTGTACGTTCTTATCCTGTGTAGCGAACGAAACATGCTGCAGGAGCCTAAGGCTGTACGATACGCTGGAGAAGATGGCATCAACAGTCGCATTGCCGTTTTGCGCGGCAATGTTCTTCGTCGCCGCGCACACTTTAATGAAGTTTTGAAGAAAGATCTCGGCCATTGGGTCGAGTGCTGAGCCCATCGTCCTTGCAAGCTCCTGGACCAGCAGGCACCCGTTTGAAGAGAATGTTGTTCGCAGTGAATTAGCGGCCTTGAGGATGCCCTCCTGCATACTCTTGATACCGGCTGCGAACGCTGTGCGGAACTCCTCTGGCGCATTGCCTTTCGTCAGCCGATGTAGCTGGGTGATAGCTTTATCCCTTTTCAGCCAATTGTGCTCTTCCTCTCTACCCTCGAAGTGAGGCAGCATGGTCCTGAAGATGTCTTCAAGCTCCCTCTGTGTATGAACATACAAGGGATCCACGGGAACCTCTTCGGCAGGCGGTGGTCTCTCCGACAGTATGCTATCGCCAAAGCCATGGTCCGGACGAACGTGTTCGGGTGCCATACTGGACACTGAGATGGTGGAGGCTTTCAGGTCTACCTCTGCGTGACCTGGAAGGCCTAGTTGAGAGACAATGTGCGTGGTTATGGAACTCCGGACGTTGTGTCTTGTCATCTGCTTCTTGAGATCTGTTTTCGCGTGGTCAGGCGCGTTGCAGAAGAGATCGACCACAGCGCTTTTAGCGGCTTCTCGGACGTTCCCGTCGGCATCTTCAAGGTTTGCCACAAGAAGAGGTACGAAGCTTTTGAAAGGCATTCCGTCGCTTTCGTGCACCTAATAGAGGTCAGAATGGAAGCTGAGACACAGCTGGTGGAACAACGTACCTTCACCACCAAGCGCATTCCCATCTCTTTTGCCCTCGCATTCGTTCCGATGAGGGCGCCTTCGCGTATGATACGCTCCACCTCAGCATGGCAGATCGGCCACAAGTCCGCGAGCGACTGAGACGCCGCATTGCGGTGGCTTTCCCGCGCGTCACCCAGGCGATCTAGGAGTATCGGGAAGAGCTTGCTGCCCTGCGCTACAATGATCCCAGTCTGGTCCTGAAGATGCAATCGCTTGACAAAGTGTCCAAGTGTCGAGAACCCACTGGATACGAGCGAGGAAGACGTCTGGGCGGCGAGTGCATACTTGATGCATTCGAGAATCGGTGCCTGGGCGCCCTCAGGGACCCTGAGGTGCTTGATGCTGGACTTGAGGTTGTTGAATTGCGTCAATTTCGCGTCGACGGCGACGGACGATTTCTTGAGCGTCGCTAGAAGGCTGGCGGCCTGGTCCTCCATGTTTGTCTCGACTGGTTGGTGCATTGGTGGAAGAGATATCTGAAGTTGGCCGTCCTATCGTCAACAAACAGGCCCGCGGATTGTTTTGGCGGCGCGACAGCAGCTGACGGGCGGCGGCGGCGGCGGTTTCTCGGCATTCGGCGCTTGGCCGTATCGATAATGCCGTTCCTTACAGCTCACCCCTGCTCGGCCCTGTCATCATACCCAGTCGAGCCAGTCCTTGCTTCACTCTGTTACAACCCTTGGAAGAGCTCCCTCTCTACCTACATAACCACACTGTACTGCAACCGCCGCTCCAATGCCACCCACCCCGCCCTACTTCCAGCTGCCCATGACTCCCGCCGTCCCCAAACCCTCCTCCGCCTCGCACCCCACCCCCAACACCACCACCACAGCCGACCAACGCCCCCTGCCCCAACCAGCCCGCAAACCCCTCCTCCGGCTCCAACTCCACGACCTCTCCTCCCCCGGCGCCGCCTCCTTCCTCTCCCTGCTCGCCCTCCCCTCCTGCCTCGACGAATGCATCGCCGGCGTCCTGCAGCACCTCTACAGCACCTCCACCTCCACGACGCCCGCCTCCCACATCCCGCCCACGCGCTCCGTGTCGCTGGTCCTGCGCTCCATGCCCGGCGTCGCCTTCACGCGCTCGCTGGACCTCGACGCCGACCACAAGGAGATCCACCTCAGCACCGACTACGTCTCCCACATCCCCGAGTCGCGGCGGCGCGACGAGCTGCTCGGCGTGCTGCGCCACGAGATGGTGCACTGCTGGCAGTGGAACGCGTGCGGCAGTGCTCCCGGCGGCTTGGTGGAGGGCATCGCGGACTGGGTGCGCCTGCGCAGCGGGTTTGTGCCGCCGCATTGGAAGCGCGAGGCCGATGGGGATTGGGACGCCGGGTATCAGCATACGGGCTACTTTCTCGAGTATCTGGAGGAGAGGTTTGGGGAGGGGACTGTTAGGGGGATTAATGAGGGGTTGAGGGAGGGGAAGTATGAGGAGGAGGCGTTTTGGGGGCGGAGGTTTGGGTGTGGGGTCAAGGAACTGTGGGCGGAGTATGGGAAGTCGCTGAAGAGGAGGGAAGACAAGGAGGGTGGAGAGGAAAAGGAAGGCGGACAGGACAAGGAGGGCGGGAATGAGAAGGACGAATACACGAAGGGGAAGGGTGAAGAGAAGGAGGGGACGAAGAAGGAAGATCGGGCGACGCAAGAGGCGGAAAAGCAAGATGAAAGTTCCCAGTGACTGGTTCGAGAGCGCTTGCAATGCGTGCTGACCACAGCTGCTGTTACCCTCACTAGATCTCCTCTCCGATCCTGTTGCTGTACATTTTTTCCGTCAAGATACCCAGCTCCGTTTGATAGCATAGTATATACAAGACAGCATTCTCCTGTAACATATCAGGCCAGACTCCTTCAGGTCTTCACCCCATGAGCAGCATATAGCACGACCTCCCCAGGCCCTCATCCAGGCCCTCCTCCCCCTCCCTCACCTGTCACACCGGCGCCTCCCCCCCCTTATGTCCCCTCGGCCCCTCCCTACTCTCCTCCCCGCCCCTCTTATTCCAGTCCAGCCAACTGCCCCTATACTCCCCGACCTTCTGATACCCATGCTGCAGCGCCAACTGGGCGGCAGCGCTGCTCCGCACGCCCGCCTTGCAGTAAAACACGAGCGTCTTCTGCGGCGGCGGCTTGATGAAGCCGAAGCGGTCCTGGAACTCGTCGGGGGCCAGGAAGAGCGCGTCCGGCTGCGAGGAGATGGGGACGTTGAGCGCCGTCGGGATGTAGCCGGCCTCGTACTCGGAGGGCTCGCGCACGTCGATTAGCACCGTGTCGTCGGAGGGGGACTCGACTATTGCTTTGACCTGGGCGTGGGTGTTAGTGGGCGTGGGAGGGGGGTGCTGGGTGGTTCTTGCGCAGGATGAGGGGCGGGGAGTGATACCTGCTCGTAGTTGTACACCTTGGAGTTTGACGGTGGCGCTGAGTGCCATCGTATTTGCTGGAATTGCGCCGCAGGGGCTGGCGATAGCTGTGCGCGGAGACCATGGTGCGACGAGGTCTGAGGACTGCAGAATGGTTTGCGGACGATTGCTGAAGCGGATGACCGTATAGAGAGGCGGACAAATGCTCGTCTCGAGGCCATTGTGGGTTCGCAAGCCGCTGTTAGAGACTTGGAAGCTTGCTGATCACTGTGGCAGATCTGAAAATGCCAATAGACCGTAGTGTGCTTTGCTGAGGTTTGCGACGCTGACACGACAGCTCTTAAGCTTCCCCAGATTCCCGAATTCGGCGAAGACGTCAGTGTGAGATGCGTTGTCACGTGTCCGATGCCCAGAACGAGAGAATCAAGTTACTGGACTCTTGCTCGCCTTGATGTTCGCAAGAGGCAGCAGTCGGAAGAGCTGCTTTAGCCTTGCTGCGTCTCGAAATTGATCTATCGAATCAAGTTATTGTGAATGCTGAAGACAGGGTCGTCTGCAATGCTTTCTCTATATACGCTGCTAACGGTACATTGACTTCATAAGGAACGTCGACCAAGGCCGTGTCCTTTTGTTGTTTTGAGGTAATAAGTTCCCATTCGTCGAAAGACATGCAGATGTATGCAAACGTATGCAGATAAGAGCTCCGATAGCAGATCGCACTGAACTGTAGGATATGCGCCATAAATAGCAGACCAAGTAACAAAACCTGGATACTTCCAATGAAAAGCAAATTGGTATATCTCTTTTACCTGCGCCAGTACAAGCAGTGAAGAATCAAACGCCTGTCGCACACTGAGGAAAGCAAGCACTGACACGCAAGCCGGTCGTACGTTCAAGCTTTTTTGATTCGCCAGATAAACATGTAGGGGTATTGCTCTCAGATCATGATGACGACGACACAGATAATTGAACATTGGTATCAGGTATCTAACGAGGAGGCCCAATCGGGGCCGGGTATCCAGAAGCAGAATGAGAAGTGCTCGGTCGTCCGCTGTCCACGGATCCGCGCGGATCGTATCGTGGGGTTATATCCCCCGACATGGTTGCAGTATGATTGCCAAAGAAGAATTTACTTTGATGGGAGTGGGAGGATCCTGGCATCGGCCAGGTGTTGCTGTGGTTGGAGTTGTGGGGAGCGTGGTTGGAGACGTGGTTGCCGTTGTGCTCTTCGTCTGCCAGGTTGATGCCGCTGTCGTTCCATGGGTTGCGGTAACTGCCTTGAGACTCAAGGCTGACAAGGGATGCTTTGGAGGCGTTGCTGGAGGCATGCTTGAAGAGAGAACCAGGGGAGTTCGAGCCGTTCTTGCGCCGTTCGAGCATGGACGTGAAGGATGACATGCTGCCGGGCTTGCGTAAACGGTCCAGGAAACCCGAGCGTTCAGGTGCATCATCGCCGAAGTGCGAGCGAGTCGGCGAGTCGGCGGCTTCAACCGGTGGTTCTGCTCGTTGGAGTAACTTCGACTCGAAGAACGGCAGTGTGTCCTCGAACGAGTCCGACTTTGGACGCGGGATAGCACCCTTCACAGTTGATGCATCGAGTCCGTGGGTAACGAGCCGAGAAACAAAGTAGTCGATCGCGTCCTTCAATCCACCGGCATTGTTTCGAGTGTAGCTCAACACAAGACTTTCCGGCTCCTCTTCGCCGTTCTCTGCCGGTTGTTGCTGGGCTGGGCTAAGATGGATGTCGACTACGTACTGTGACTTCATCTTCTCAACAACATCTTGTTGAAACTCTGCAGACCTAATGTAGGCTCGAAGCTCGGGAGAAGCTTGGAAAGTAAGCTCGTGAGTCTCTGGAACCATGCCCTATGCGTGTTGTCAGTCGTCGATTCCTGTACTACAAGGTAATGTATATATACCAAGAACTCATCAACCGCCTGCGGTACCTGCCACTCAGGGCCAGAAACGGTGACAATGTCGCTTGCTTGTTCAGTGCTCGGGAAATGTACTTTGCAGTTCCACTTCTTTTCCAGCTCCTCGATCTCCGACATGCGCGCAATGAGCTCACGGTGATAGAGGCGATTGATGACGACATGCTCAGACACGAACTCTTTGTCCGCCTTCTCGACCATGTCCATGATCTCCTGCTTGACCAGGTCCAGGTTTCCCGCATTGCGAGCAGGTGTGCGGCAGATGACATTGTCGACCTTGATGTCCTCTTCTTCCTTGTTGAGATTCCCTCGGTCCATAGCATTGGAGAATTTGACGAAGACGGAGTACTTCTTCATGATCCGCTGGATGTGCTGGCCACCGATGCCAATGATGCGCTTGTGATACTGGTCTGGAACGTGGAACGAGATGGATGCAGGCATCTCTTGTTCGACAAGATCCAGGCCCATCTTTGTCGCCTCGTACTGAGCACCTCGTACGTCAATGTAGAAGTTGTACTCGTTGAAACCGTCAAACACGATCTGAACGTTGCTGTGGCTCATGATTTTGTTAATTTTGCCATTCTTCTTGCCGCTGACGAACTCCTTGTGCTCGTTGGCGAGTTCAACCTTGATTCTCATCGTGTACTGCGACTTCTTGACAAACGGGATGTTGTTGATCACCATCATGGCAGCCTTGACAGAGTCATCGGATCCATAGATGTGGAAGTTGAGCTTTTCAAAGCTGATCTCGGCGCCCGAGTTGATGCAGATGTCTGCCAGCATGGCCCTGACATCGCTAGCTGTGGGAGGACGCTGGCTTGGATCCGGATGCGTGATGAACCAGGAAGCACTGTAGAACTGGCCGGCCTGACTAGGGTAAGCCTTGGTGAGACAAAAGACAAGGGCGGGGAGCGACTTACCAGAGCCATGAGTTCCCGAATGGTCCTTTCAACGCTGAGGACGTCTGTACCCTGAACTCGGACTAGGCCCTGCTGCATGCCAAGAGGAGGGAGGAGAATGTACGATCCGTTATTCTCTATGATCTTCCGCACCTTATCTAGACGCTCAAGGAGAATGCTATCGATCTTGGTGTTTGTTACCACGACGTTCTTCATGTACGATTTGCCGGACACGACAAGGTCATGCAGCCTGTGCTTCGCCTTCAGGATGTCTTCTTGTCGCTCTCCAGTGATGATGATTTGATCGTCCCCTCTACGAGTAGCTCCAGGCGGCGTGTAGCCATAAAGTCGGGGGAACGGCGGCGGGAAGTAGATCGCAGTGTTGGTGGCGGACTCGATAAGCTTGATGTTCTTGCGCGCTCGACCGCAGATCATGAAATGTAATGTAAGCTCGAGCTTCATAATATCAACGTGGCGGTTGAGCTGCACTAAAGTGTCAGTAAGGTTTCGGCATGACGGCGAGCGATACATACAATCTGATCAATCATTATCAATATCCGAGTCTTCGCGTGTTCTGCACTCTCCATGTCGCCATATATGAGGCACCGTAACCGCTGGTCTAGGTTGGTATCGAAGGTCCCATTGAAGCTGGCCGTTTCGATGTCAACCTGCTTGGGCTGCAGTAGGAAGATATCCGCCTTGGTCAACTTTGCCACTTCATCTAGGTGGTTCAGCACGACGGACTTGACGCCATTCTGAGCTGCATCGATGACCAGACCGTAATCGATATCAACTGTGGCACACCGCTAGATATCGAGATAGTTAGCATTGCACTCTCGCACGCTCCAGTGTGGTCAGTCTTACCAATGAAATGGGGGTCTCGTTTAGGATGCGCGCTCGAATTTGCTTCACGAGGTCCACCTCGCCAGACAGGCAGACGTTGGTGACCAGCGCATTCAGCGGACCGCGCTGCAAACCGGGAATTGGCTGGGGCTCGGACGAGATGACGTTGGCGTGCATTCTTCCATCGCTGTTCTCACTAATCTGTCGGCACAGTGCCTTGAGATTCTCGATGTTTTGAACGTGTACTGGGAGCTTGTGGTTTGGAGTACCCTCTTCCGTCCCCTCCGGATGGGTCCAGCGGGCAAACCCGCCCGGACTCGCGTATATTATGTCCTCCATCTCAGGGCCGGCGAGGTTGGACGAGAAAGGCACATTAAACGAGAGGTTGACTGGCGTCCCGGGTGGAGGCGCGGGTGAAGAAGCGTTCGCGCCCACTGGGCGTTTGACGGGTGTCTGCGCCGGCATCTCGTTGTGGGATCTCGACATGCCGAAGCCCATTGAAGGCGTCATTTTCTCCATGCCATGCCGGGCGTAGCCGGTGAAGTTCGATATCTTGTGCATCGTGGTGGTTTCGCCCTGTGTTGACGGGGCGTTGAGGGCGTGATGGGGCAGACGAGCGGTTTGGCGGACGGGGCTGAGGTTCAAGATGTGCGGATGGGAGTTCCCGAAGAGATGACGGCCAGACGGATTTTCCACACCCGCCAAGACGGATCGCCTGCACAATATTTACCGGGCAAGGTCGAGCTTCGAGTCTCAAGGGAAGATTATGATATGGAACAAAGGTGCTGCTGGAGGGTGGGCGAGGGCCGGTCAGGCGTGAAGAGGGTTCCAGATACTTCCCGAGTCCCGCTCTACCTGCGCCGTGACCGCACAAACTGGACTCGGCTCAAGCTGGGAACCGGCACACGCTTTCTCGATGCTATTCACACGAGCGCCGCCACAAGACGGGATGATGCAAGGCACGAAGTTTAACTGGTGAAGGGGAGGGGTAGAGACGTCGCTAAAGCCAGGTGTACCGGACAGCCTCCGGTTCGATGATGCTGCAGCACTGCTTTGAATTCGCGGATTTGCCGTCTATCAACGCTCGTGTGCAAGGGGACGGGCCATGCCGGCGTGATCTTGCCATTGTGAAGACATGGAAGATCACTTCTAGGTCTGTGCAGTGAGTGATGAACGGCTCAAAAGCAGGTTTAAGCTTGGGGCTTTCCATCTTCATGCAAGCCCGTGGATGAGAACCAAGGACGTCTTATCCGCAACCGATCACGTGCCGCATCAAGATTACAGTATCATGACACTGTTATCCTATCGTGCAAGTAGGAGAAGATGAGGCGGTAATATTCCATTGGCGTTCAGCCGTCAGCAACTGCGTCAATAGGCACGACCCAACTGGACTCTGCATCCTCGCAGGACGCTAGGCATACTCAAAACCCACGACGACCTTCAGGCGGCATGAAGCTACTCGAAAAGGAAACGCCTTAGAAGAGTGGTTGACATTGTTAGCTGTGTGTTTAGAGAGACATACAAAGCGCTCCCAAATGTCCTCGGAAGCATTTTTATTTTGTAGAAGATCCACTCATGAAGTGAACCATTCACGAAACCGTTACATCCCTATATGCTTCGCACCACAGGTCCTACAAGCCTACCGTTAGAGCGCCCTGATTCTACTAGGTCCTTTGGTTGATACTCTGATGGCTCTTTCCTCCTTCACTCTGTGAAATGCGTGCTTAGTCTCGCCGAACTTCACCTTTCACTTATTAAGCTCTTCACTTCCACCTTCCTCGACTTGAGCAGATTCATGTTAACGAACGATTCCGATACGCTTAGCTCCTACTATGGTTAGTAGTTGACCGTTTCGAGCACGCCCCTGCGAATCAAGACCTGGCTTTCGGCGCGCTCAAGGCTGGCTGGACGAACATGCTCCTAGGCTCGAGTGCATGGGCGCCCCTCCGAATGAGTGGTTCTGCATTGGATGCCTCAACACACATCTCTGGCCCATCGCCTAGGCCGTGTTCTTCGTTCAAACGCCTAGCGTTCTTGCTACCAGACACTTTCCAGTTGATAAAAGGACTGCAATGGTGTAGCCCTATCGCGAAGTCGAGCCAGCTTCGGGCTGTGTCAACGACGATAACCTTGGTCGCATCGAAAGCGGAAGCGACGGCGCAGCAAGAACTATACGCCCCAGTCTCGCAGTGCACTGTGAACCCAGTAATGTGAATCACTGCCGCAGATGCCCGTTTTCTTGATGTTTGCGACGGGGTTTGGGCCGTTGAGTTCCGAGATGTCGTGATCCTCGTAGTAGAAGTGGTCCTTGGAGTTGATGACGAAGGATAAATTTTGTGTGCCCATAACGTGGGGGCTTCGTGGATGGTACACAACCCGACCGAGAGTACTTCTTGAGGCGCCGCTGCTTCAGTTACTGGGCTACGACGGCCGGAAAGGAGAGGACTTGGCCGCGAGAAGCTCGATAGCTCGATGTTGCTCTGGCTAATTCAGGTACAGAGCGGTACGGCAGGGGAGGCGGAGTATGGTCAGAATCCCAAGAAGACAAGAACCGCATAAGAGGTACGCTTTGCTCGGGGATAACGCAGGTTCAACTAGGTTTTTTTTTCCTTCGAAGAGTACTCGGAGAGAGGAACTTGTACGACCTCGTATTTCGTTTACAGGTCGGAGCTGCAAGATAAAGCAAGTACTCGTACGTGATATGCAAGTTCGTGCGTGGATCCCATTACAAGCACTGCTATGAAGCCCAAGCAACAGGATCACGAGAAGATAGAGCCGGGTCTTGAGACCAACAAGATCCAGCGACGATGGTTTAGGCGTCGTCATCTCGTCTAGGAGATTGACAGGAGATGGCATGTATAGATCTCCGTGTCAGTCTTGACCATTCCCCTTTCAAACGGAGGACATATGCTCGGAACGAAGAGATGAAACGTACTCTTTACCTGATGACCACTCTGCAATGCCCGCACGCACGTCACGAATTCTCAATATTCTTCTGTAGATGCTTTCCATCCATATGGTTTGGGCTTCCAAATGCAACCAACCCTACCGCATACCAGCGCCGAAATTCAGCAATAGCGCCGGAGCTCAATTTGCTTCGGGATATGCAAACTGCTCAACACCACATGCTCGAACAGCTGGAAGCTCGAGCTGGTGCCTTCACACGTGGACGCCCACGGATAGTCTCATCTCCAGCCTCGGACCGAGACGCGCCCAACCGTCAGAAGCGTTTTGAGGCCAAACGACCCCCTTCGGGCACGGGACGAGGATAAACAACACCACACCCGAATGGCTGTATAGAGAACAGTCTCGGGAGTCCTGCTTTGAGCATGGCGAACAGCCGTGATGAGGTCTCAGAGCTTCAAGTACTTCGCCCATACCCCGCTCTCTGCCATAGCGAGCGGGATATAGCGCTAGATCTGCGCGCCTCGAGTATCTAGACGCTCTTTTTATCGTCAGTGGCGCCTCTGATATTGCACGGGCGACGAAGCTTGGCTCTTGGCTAATGAGACGGCACAACGGTATGCGGTGTTCAAGATGGCGCTATGCGCCAGAAGCAAACGGCCCGTCGTGACTTTTCGCAGCCATTCGTCCTCATCGCTCGAATCCACCCTGGAGGATCCTGTACCTGCTGCTTCTTTGACGATTTGACGCGTTAGAAAGGATGAGCCTTTCCGTAGAGCAGCAGGCTCGCGCTGCAAGAGCATATGTAGATCGACAGCTCGCCTCTATCGATGAAGGAAAAGAGCTGCTGGAAGATAAAGGCTATACAGACCGCCTTGACTACAACTTCGTCACCATCTTCGCCCTGTTCGCCGAGCTCTACGGCTACCGCCATGACTGCCTGGATAAGCTGTTCGACCTCATGCTGCTGTGCGGCCGCAGCTGGCGGGACAGGGACCCAGAACTTAAGAAGCTCGACAAGATGCGTGAGCTCAATCCGGACTGGTATATGTCGAATGACATGCTCGGTGGAGTGTGCTATGTCGACCGTTACGCGAACGATATCAATGGCATCCGCGCCAAGATACCATACTTCAAGGAGCTTGGGTTGACGTATCTGCATCTGATGCCTCTTTTCAAGGCACCTGAGCCGAATTCAGACGGAGGTTATGCCGTTTCAAGCTACCGGGAAGTAAACCCAAAGCTGGGGACCATGGACGATCTGAAAACCCTGGCAAAGGAGCTCAGAGCGGCGGGCATCAGTCTCGTAGTCGATTTAGTGTTCAATCACACTTCGAACGAGCACGAGTGGGCAAAGAAAGCGCTGGCCAAAGATTCGTACTACGAAGCATTCTACTGGATTTTCCCAGACCGAAACGTGCCATCGGCTTTCGAGAGAACGACGCGTGAGATCTTCCCGTAAGCCCTCTTTTCCATCTATATCACGTGCCAATCTGACGAATATCAACAGAGACGACCACCCCGGCTCATTCATCCAGCTCCCCGACGGCCGCTTCATCTGGTCCACCTTCTACCACTTCCAATGGGACCTCAACTACTCCAACCCCAACGTCTTCCTCGCCATGGCAGGAGAAATGCTCTATCTGGCCAACATAGGCATCGACTTCTTCCGCATGGACGCCGTAGCCTTTATCTGGAAGCGCATGGGAACTACTTGCGAGTCCCTCCCCGAAGCCCACAAGCTCCTCCGCGCCTTCAACGCCGTATGCCGCATCGCCTGTCCCTCCGTTCTCTTCAAATCCGAAGCAATCGTGCATCCGGATGAAGTAGTCTCCTACATCGACAGCTACGAGTGCCAGCTCTCGTACAACCCGCTGCAGATGGCATTGACCTGGGAGGCGCTCGCAACCCGCGATGCAAGCATGCTCTCTCAGGCCCTCGAGCGCCGCCACAACATCAACCGCGGGTGCGCGTGGGTCAACTACGTGCGCTCCCACGACGACATCGGATGGACATTCGCGGACGAGGACGCGGCTGAGCTCGGGAAGAAGGGGTTCGACCACCGTCGCTTCCTGAACGCGTTTTACGTGAACCGCCATCCCGGCTCCTTCGCGCGCGGCGTGCCGTTCCAGGACAACCCCAAGACGGGCGACTGCCGCATCTCCGGCACCTGTGCGTCGCTCGCCGGGCTCGAGAGCGGCCAGATCGGCGCGCTGGAGCGCATCCTGCTCGCCTACAGCATCGCGATGAGCACGGGCGGGATCCCGCTGATCTACCTCGGCGACGAGGTCGGCCAGCTCAACGACTACAGCTACATCAACGATCCGGCCAAGATGGACGACAGCCGCTGGGTCAACCGGCCCGCGTACCCGGAACAGCGGTACAAGCAGCGCGAGGATCCGGAGACCATCCCGGGGAAGCTGTACGCAGGGTTTCAGCACCTGATCAAGCTGCGGAAGTCGACTGAGGAGCTGGCGGGTGGCAGGGCGGTCGGGTTCTTCACGGGGAATCATCATGTGCTTGGGTATCAGAGGCCCGGGCTTCACGGGACGGTGCTGTGTTTGGCGAATTTTGCGGACGATCCGGAGTGGGTCGGCAAAGACAGATTCATAGCGTTTCCGGCTGAGGCGAAGGATTTGATCAGTGGGTATATGATCAATCTGAGGGAGGGGATCCAGTTGAGAGCCCACCAGTACGTTTGGTTAAAGTACTAGGGGGCGAGAGATTTGTTGTCAGGATGTTGTCAATGTTGTGTACTCCAGGACATGTAATCTGCAAGTCTAGAAGAGTAGAGAGAGGCATGAAGAGCACGCGAGAAACCAAAGTCATTCCATTATAGCTTATTCGATCTCTTGAGGCTGATACCAGAAGGGTGGCGTGGAGGCCCGATAATTGCTTAGACGCCCTTAACATACCAATCATCATGGTGTGGAGTTGAGCTACGTGTTACTGAACAACGCGATCCTACTGTAACTTCATGATAACACACAGATATAATGGTCGCGCAAACACCAGAGTCAGGCGGTTCAATCGAAAGTAGTTGGGATGCTCCAGCGGCTGTGATGCCTCGCTTCCTAATATCATCCCTAATATAGTAAACAGCAGGAGGAGGCTTACCAAAGATGCGGCTAAGTTTGCTCACAGCCCCCAACGTAATACAGATGGAGCCAACGCATAGAAACATGCACTCTAACTCAGACCTGCGGTACGATCTAGACCGCTCAAGTTGCCAACCGTACTCTGCCAAAGGCCAAACAAAGACCCATCACCAGAAGCCATCGACCTTCACCATCTCCGTAACCCTTCAACCAACCCGTCTAGTAGCGATACGTCACCCTCCTCCCTCCCTCCTCGTACCCTCCTTGCATAATCTCCACATCATCAACATACCCTCTCGAATGCATCGGCTGCGCTTGGGGGACATGGCTGTACCTCTGGTCTTCAACAGGCGCATACTCCATGCGCGCCAGACTCGCATGCCTAACCCCCTGCGCGAGCGGCTCAGCCCGCCTAACATACTCGCGCGCAGGCACCGCACTGCCATGTCTGGGCAGATACTCGACCTCCTGGCGGAGCGGCTCGGGCCGCACGCTGTAAGAGCGTGCAACGTATTCTCGGGGCGGCGGCGGAGGCATATCGTCGTACTGGACAGTCGGTCGTCGGGAGGCTTCTACAGGCTCAGGCGGGCGCATCGAGTACTCGCGCTGTCTGTACGCGCGGTGGTCGACCAGCTCTACGTCAGGTTGCTCGGGGTAGCGGCGAAGCGGGGGCGGAGGCATGTGTGCTATGCTGGGCTCGTCGTCGTAGGGGTCGAGGACGCGACTGGATGCGCGCATTGCAGCGTCACGGGTAGGAGCGCGCTCGAGATGTGACTCGGCTTCAATGCGTTGAGGTTGCGGCGTGATAAATGTTCTAGGGTTTTGGGAAGGAGCGACGTGATACTTGTTGCCGTACTGATCTACCACGACTTGCCGTGGTGGTGGAGCCATAGTTGGAGTATAAGTCCGAGGAACGTGCTGCTCCATGGGCGACATAGAACGCTCAGAACGAATATAGCGAGGGGCGGCCGGTCGGACTGATGCCTCGCGGTAGATCGGCTCTTGTACTCTTGGTCGCTCCGCAAAGGCGTACGATGCAGATCGCAAAGATTGGGGTTCTACTGGGGAGTAAGGCAGTGTCTGAGGAGCTGGCGAGTACGGCCGCCGGGCATATTGAAGGCTTGCCACTCGTCTCAGATCAGTGTCGTCCCTCTCTACCCTCCTATAGGCTGTACGCGAAGGCACTCTAACGTAGGTAGGCGAGGTTGGCTCGTCCATCTCGTAGGCATAAACCGGCTGAGCGTGATCCTGCTCCCGATAGTATACAGGCCGTGCGCGTGCTTGTCTCGGAGACACAATCTCAACATCTTCTGGCAGTTCACGATAGATTCGCTGTCGCTGACCCTGAATCTCTGAGAGGCCTGAGAAAGGAGGCGGTGAAACAGGCTCTTCCTTGATGTAGACTTCGGGCGACATAGCAACACGCTTACCCGAAGTACGGCGCTCCTTTTCACCCTCGACAGCGTCTCTTCTCCGCTTCTTCGGGTTCTTGACCTTCTCCTGTGGAGCAGCAGGGCTTTGGCGACCCGAGTTCTTGGGTGATCTGCGTCCAGCTCGCCCGTTTCCTCGTTGACCCTGCTTTCGTGGGCGGTCAAACCTCGGAGACTGCGGTCGGCTTCGCGGCGGCGGCAGCAACTGTGACTGATCTATCCTCGGGAGTTTATTGTAGGTCAACGGAGACACGCGCGCCGGCTGCGGCGCAACTGGAGATCGGATGTGGTTTCTAATGACAGGAACCTCGGGAGACGGAGGCTGTACGCCTCGCATGCGCGGATAACGGAACGGGTAACGCGGTTCAACAACAGGCTGTGCAACTGCAGGTTCGTCTCTCTTACTTGGGGCCAGGGTATTGTGTGGGGGAGGCGCAAACGCATCCGCGGCTGGCGGTGAATAGGACTCCTCACGCTCCCCTTCTTCCAGATCCATCGGCGCATCGTCGTCAAGATTTGTATCTTCTTCCCGCTCAGTGGCTTCCGCCTCTCGCGACGGTGGATGCTGACCTTGAGGTTGCGCCGCTCCGATGCCTGTTTGATCAACACGACGGTCATCCAAGTTTGCGGTATGGGGAACACCGTTTGACTTGCCATTGATGCCATGATCGTCGTCAACAAGCCTAGATGAACCTTGCGCTGTGTCTGGTACAATGTTCCCGCTATCGACTATTTCTCCAGGCTCTGAACTTTCAGTCGACCAGCTCACAACTTGGCTTGAATAGTAATCATTTGTGTCAAAAGATTCATGGCTAGGGCTGTTGTCGTTAGTGCTGGGCGCAAGACCAGATATTGGTGGAACAAGCAGCTGTGCCTTCAACAGAGTGTCCGACACGAGACCAGGGTCAAGATTAAGGTCTCGTTCCCAGCCTTGCCCTTTCTTCGCGTCGACCTGGTCTTTCAGCACACGCTCAATACGCTGACGCTTCAGTTGTAGCTCCGCCCTTATAAGGGTATCGGAAGGTGTCAAGAGCACTGGATCAATGCCGGACGATGACGGCTTTGAGCTAGGGGTCTGTTGTCCGCCTACTCCATGTTGAGCGTTGGCAAAGGTCTTTGGGTATGGGTGCGCGGCGCCATTCTGAGGGACAGAGGGGCTTGGTGGAGGCAGACGTCCACCAGACAAGCCGTTTATCGTGGGAGGTGGTGCGGTTGGCGCTGACTGCTGGGGCGCGACTTGGGCCAGGACATTCTGGGGCAGCTTTACGCGCGGATGTCTTCCAGAATAGACCTCAGCTTGAAGGTAAGCAAGCTTCTCGTAGAGAGGTATCCTCTCGTGCAGTTCTTGCAACAAGCCGTCGATCCCGTTGGTTTGCGCTGGCTTCATCGGTGCTGCCGAAGCTTTTGAACTTCGGTCGAACAGACCCGAAGGCTATAGATATTAGTACAGATCGGCGTACCAGTGCTCTGTGAAGCACTACGCGGCGCAGCACATAGTGGGCAATGGAAGCCGCTGCGTGAAACAATGTGCTTGTTGTTGAGATGGAGTCGTGAAAAGGGACTCGAGTTCAGCGGGATCTCAATTTGGGTCCGTGCGTTCCGCCGCAACCTCCGAGCACTGCAAGGGAAGGCTCAATGAATCGATGACCACTACTTCATACTGCTTCCACGAACAACGATAGACACAGTCTTTCTCGCAGTTAGTCTGGCTTCCCTGAAAACTGTCGTATCGCGACCTTTCTCCTCAGTTCAGTTTCCGCGTCTTCGAAGGGTTTGTCGCTCGATGGGCGACCATCAAAGCATGACGGCTCCGCCACAGAAGCCTGTGTTCTTCTTTGATATTGATAACTGCGTGCGTCGCCCTCGGCCTCTATCCAGACAGTGAACTAATCGATGATAGCTCTATCCGAAGAGTATGTCTTGCACTCACCGATTAGACCGGCGTATAGTTACTGATAAGTCCGCCAGGCACGAAGGTGTTGAACTTGATGTCCGATCTAATAGGTATGCGTTGCTTCAGAACAGAATGCACATTGCATGCACTGCCAACATCCAAGTTACGCTGAGATTGCTGTGCTCGCTATTCGCTTGAGTTGCCCTGTCGCCTCCTCTGCGTACCCCTCCTCAGCTTCCGTCATACTCTTCTATCTTGTTCGTTCCGCAGTTCTGCATTGCCCGTTCAGCTTCTTGAGTTCTCTCTGCGGTCTGCCCTTGATCTTTTTGCTTGGATGTATTCTCACCTCCCAAGACAAGTACTTCGAGGACCACCTTTCCCTGTCCCAAAAAGACGCCAACAACCTGCACATGCGCTACTACAAGGACTACGGTCTAGCGATCGAAGGACTAGTCCGCTACCACAAAGTCGACCCGCTAGAATACAACCGCAAAGTCGACGACGCGCTACCGCTCGAGGACATCATCAAACCCAACCCGCAGCTACGGAAGCTGCTTGAGGATATCGACAGGAGCAAAGTCCGGCTATGGCTGTTCACCAACGCCTACATTACCCACGGCAAGCGCGTAGTCCGGCTGCTGGAGGTGGATGATCTGTTCGAGGGGATCACGTACTGCGACTACGGCGCCGAGAGGTTCATCTGCAAGCCGAACAGGGAGATGTATGCGAAGGCGATGAAGGAGGCTGGCGTGTCTGCCATGTCTGATTGCTACTTTGTTGGTGAGTAGGCCCGATATCCCCCGAGTGCCTGCGCCCCCAGCCAAGCCCTCCGCTGCAGGTGACAGACGATCAGCGCCTCCGCGGAAGGGCATGGTGCAAGCCAGCGGAGAACTGACATCAGCATGCAGATGACTCTCACATCAACGCAAAGGCAGCCCAGGCCCTAGGCTGGACGTCGGTGCATCTTGTCGAGGAGACGGAGCTGGCGCCAGAACATCAAGGGGCTAAGTACCAGATCCGGCATCTCGAAGAACTGAGGGACATCTTTCCTCAGTTCTTCAAGTCGCGCAACAAGGATCGGTCCGACGCGGCAGACGGGACAGATTAACTCTTTTCCATGAACCATCTGCGTTACGAGCTACTGATGCACGACATACACGGTTTAGACACGGTTGTTAGAGGGGCCTTGTCTTAGAAGATCAAACGATTGAGCCGAGGCAATGCATCACTTTACATGCACAGCGCCACAATCGTTTCCTGCTTTTTTGAAATGTATGCAGTGCATTGTGGATTAGCTGCGAACCCAATCACTGTCCATGGAGGCGAAGTCTTCACAGCCCGTGTCTTGGACAGAGAACTTTAGTTGCCTAATGCAGCCGATAGATTGTGAACTGTAGAGTGTCGCAGCCGAACGACACGTAGCGAGATTTTCTAAGGGGGTTTTCAGGAGTACTAAATGGCTCACCTTGAGAGGTAAGGTGGAAGCGCCCATAGTGGATGCTACAAAAGACTACATAGTGTCTCTAAATCACTTAGGTACTAGGTAAAGATGTTTCTCGTGGGTATATTGAAGAGCACAAGAGTTCCTCCTGTCCGCTTAGGAGAACCCACCGGGAATGTGCTGAGGGACTCCTTATGCTGCCACCATTTGGACTTTGGACCGCCACATGATCGTTACGTCGGAACAGTGCTGCATCTTGCAGAGAGAGAACGTGCCATGTGCACCGCGTACCTGCAATCGCTTCAAGCCACTTAGGTACAAGTCCTCTCTTGTGAGACATTGTGATGACTATCAAGCTTATGCACTTTTCCGGCCGTTTCGCCCTTGAGACAGCCTGCCCCACGAGAAGCCCACGCATGCAGAAATCCCCTATCAGCACATTCCCGACGTACTGCAACTGAAGCTGCGGTGCCATCTTGACCATGGTTTTTCCGTCCCCAGGTTGCGGTCAACAGGTGGCACAAGTGCAGTGGGCGGACACGTGCGGCCGGGTGTTCTGACACTGTACATGGCTGTCGAATGCCATCTCTCAACCTCTCTAAGGATTGTGCATATGTTTCAAAAGGGTGGCACGGCAGCGCGGGTGTACCTTGACATGCCGTTCCCAAGGATCTATCCAGCATCGTCTCGAGCTCAGATTCAGAACAAGACCCGGCTTGCGGGAGTTCGAGCAGAAAAGCAAGCAATGATGTGTGCAGCTGCTCCGTTCTTGGATGCAAGTTGCCGTTTTGACGACCTCCGAGGTGCAGGTGTCAAGGCTTGGTGGAGGTAGCTGTGCGGTGCGGTGCGGTGCGAGGCTTGGGCAAGGAGCCGGCATCTCTAGCTTCCGATTGGCTTCCTCGCCAATCGAAGGACGAAGCATCCATGGTTATGTCGTTATGCGTGGCGGTGATGTTGTGGAGCTCGTGTGTCAGGCTTGAGAGTCTCCTGCGGTGCTATCTGATGGTAACAATCTAATGAGGTATGTACTTTGTACCTTATGCTCGCCCGCACGCGCAAGCCTTCCTCGACGCAGAACGGCTGATCACGCTCCGATTCGAGGACGTCGTCTGCAATGATTTGCCCTGATCGGCACGCACTTGTCGAAGTTCTGGACGAAGGCGTGGTGGTCACAGCGCCATTCTTGCCTGTTTCAAGTCGGCGACCCTTGGAACGGCAGGTAATCGTGATGTGCGCGTCCATGGGCTCGTTTAACTGTCACCCTCAGCTGCTACCAAAGGAGACTTCTGTAAGCCCCCTGTTGCAGCTACTCTGCAGCTCGAGCAGGAGGAATCGAAGCCAGTTCCAACTCTGCTGCCCTCAAAAGTCCCGACGACGAGCTCAGACAGTGTCTCGCGCACACAGGACTCGCTGCGACCGGGGACTCGAGTATCGCCAGACGCGGAGGTGCAGGTGGGTGTTTTTTGGTGGACGCTGGCGTGGTGCATCCTGATCCGTGCTGGAACCCTGAAGCTTCACCCTCACCCTAGTCCCGAAACAAGCCTTCGCACACCACCGTCTCCAGGTCGAACACCCCTCGACACTCCGTCCACCTCTCGCTTTGCAATGCGATTGACCAGACCATCCGCTTGACTGGTCCATCCGTTGTTTCCATTGTTCCTGTCATGCGCACAACAACCACCATCTGTGTCACGTCCCTCGTTCAGCCGCGCTCGATCCCGTCGACAGCAGATCTCCAACCACCCCAGCTTTTGGTGACAGGCCCCCTCGTATCATTGCTCGCCTGCCTCTCGCACCAACTGCCACCTCAGCAGACCTTCTCGCCGCGCATTGCCGCTCTGTGAAGCAAGATGGACTCTCCAGTGGGCTACCCCGAGTCCCCGATGGAGCCGGACGAAGTGGTATACCCATGTAAAGGCTGCGGAGAGGTATGTTCTTACGCCATGGAAGTCCAACGCGATGCATGGTATCCTGAGGCTGACCGCTTGCTTCCGAACAGGTCCTAGAGGAGGGCAAGGCATTTGAGCTAGGTAAACAAACCACCCGCGACAGCCGCACCGAGACCTGCTTCCTCGAGCTACCATCGCCACGGCTTCATATCACGAACACAGCTGATGAGATATAGCGGGGAACCGATGGCATATCGACTGCTTCCGCTGCAACACTTGCGGGACATTGCTCGACTCCGACGCGAACCTTTTGCTTCTCGGCGATGGGTCACTCATTTGCAATAACTGCACCTACAGCTGCAGCGCATGCGGGAATAAGATTGAGGATCTGGCAATTCTCACGGGCGATCAGGCATTCTGTGCCAGCTGCTTTCGATGTCGAAATTGCAAGCGCAAGATCGAAAACCTTCGATACGCGCGTACATCTCAGGGCATCTTCTGCATGTCCTGCCATGAGTCGCTCATGGCTCGCCGGCGGAAGAAATCGAAAGCAAACCGGCAGCAGGTGCCTACGCCAGGTAGTACTGCTCCGATCGTCCTCGACAAGTCACTACCCGCTCTGCCCCCAAATGCCATACCACAGAGCGCGTTCACGCCAGACGTGGAGACTCCGCCGGAAGACGTGTATATCGAGACACCTATGGAAGTCTCGCCCCAGCAAGACCAGCCACGGCCCAGGAGAGAAGGGGCAAGGAAAATCAGGCGAGAAGCATCGCCAGCGGCATTGGAAGATGGTCATAAAGGCGTGTCTTCGAAGCCTGCATGAACTCACGGGTTAAGCTAATCTGATGTATAGACAACCTTACCCTACCAGCCAGCACATACAAGGCCAATCGCAGGTCCGGAATGTTCCAACCTGCCGACCAGTCGTTGGGCGGAGATGATGGATTTTTCGTTCCGCTTGCGCTCGATCCAAATCCAGCACCGGGGCTGTCCCCTCACGCCGATAGCCGCAAGTACCAAGATGAGAACCCGAAGATGGAGGGTGGACGGGATCAGGAGAATAAACAACCTGTAGTCGACTATTTTGGCAATGCTCGAAACGCGCCACCCGCGAGCCATAGAGAGGTGTTGAAAGAGAACCGATCAGGCTCGTCAAGATCAAACTCGACAGAGCGCGAGCGTCAACCAAAGGTTGCCAGCAGTCCGCATATTGCGTATCAAGAGAAAGGGCGACAGCCATCAGTTGATTTGATGGAGACTATGCGTAAAAGGAAGGAGTCCGGCCCATCGACATCCACCGGCACATCTCCTATTACAAGCATGGATAGACAACGCGCTCAGCATGCGAGTTCCCCATCAACCACAACATCGAAGGAGAGTGACAACTTCAAGCTTCAGGAAGCGCCAAGACCGAAGAAGTCAGGCTCAAGGAAAAGCTCAAGGACCGAAGAAAGACTCCCTATCCAAGCGTCGGCTTCCGCGGATATGCTCGATAGGATGAAGACTCTATCAATCGAATCAGGCATTGTGACCTCACCCACCTCTTCCGAGCCATCGCGTGCCTCTGCTCAGGAACTCCCGCGCCATCTCGAGTCGCCGGTAATCTCACAAGAGTCGGCCTCGTCCTACGGCTCCGCGCAAATGGTTGAACGGCCTGCGAGAGGAGACTCCTTGGCCGCGCAGACTCACAGACAGGCACTTTCTAGGAAAGAGATTGGCGCGCGATCCTCCCCGTCTACGCCAACGGCACCGATCCACAAGCGGCAAGCCTCTACGTCTTCCACCAAGGCGAACCGCGAAGACCAACTTGCGCAGCTCAATGGCGGTTATACCGCCTCGAAGCTCCAAGAAGCACCAAATATCCCCTCGCGATCAACTGGCCGCCCTCCACCGCCTGAAGCTGCTGCCTCCACTGATTCGTTCGTAGCTCCTAGAGCTCCGCCTCCACTTCCGCCACCCCCAGTCGAGCGCCACAGAGCAAATGAGTCGACCAGCACCATTCGAAGCGATGGTTCCCGTCCATCAGATCATCATATGTCGCCTGCGCTATTGCGATACAGCGCCGGAGGCGAGTTCTCAATGGAAGAGGACATGGCGCGCATATTGAGGGGGGACGAAGGCCCTTCACATGATTCGTCTGTTCTTCGCCGAGTCTCGAATGCTGTCAAGCATGGCCGAAGTTTCAGCGACAAGGGATCCCTCAGACACTCGGCGCAGAAATGGAGGAGTCCGCACAACGGTGCTATCGACATCAGCAGTCCTACGATCGCTTCGCCCGACTCGAAAGAGGAGGTGATCCAGCTGCGGAATGAGCTGCGCCGGGCTCAGCAGCGCATCACAGAGCTCGAGACCGAGAAGAACGGGCTAGAAGAGAAGGTTAACGGCTCGGTGGTGATTAAACAGATGAACACGGAGCTTCGCGAGAAGAGATCGACTGTCGCGTTCCTCGACACACAAAGGGAGATTGTGGTCCGGGAATTGGAAACAATGACCGATCATCTGAAGAAAGCCAAGGACACGAACCAGCAATTTGCCATGCAGACCTTCCAGGCGGATGTTCTGAAAGACTTTGGAATCAAGATGCAGAAGCTGAAAGACACCATGAGCTCAACAATCGAGGACCTGGTGCACAAACGGAATGAGCTTACGGACGAAATCTCGAACCTGATACAAATGAAAGACAAGGGCTTCCAGGAGTATGAGTCCCTAAGCACACAGAACATGCGATTGCAAGAAATGAACAACAGGCTTTTGCAAAACATACAGGAGCTGTACAAGCAGAACCGCCAACCGCAAGGGAACTCGTTTGATGGCGGCCGACCGCCAGCCAATGGCTTAGGCATCTACACCCACCATCAGAAGGACAGATCGGACACGGCGATGGACCTGCGCAACATCATGGCACAAGAAGGCTCCATGCTCAACCTTCTACAAGACGCGGACGCCGACCACACGGTGCTACCTGCCCCGCAAGTAGTGAACATCCGCAAAGGCAAGCCCAGCAAGTTTAGCTGGAAGAAGGGTCAGCAGGCCGTTAGCAAGAAGCTCAGAGGCATCAACGATGCGCTCGGAGGCAACCAGGAACACATGCGCGACGGGCAGTACTCGATCGAAGGCACACCTTACGGAGCAATGCCTTCTGGCCCCGAGATCTCCGCGCCTACGCCTGCCCCCGGCGGGCTCAAGCCGAGCATGGACCCCAAGCATGGCGCCGGATTTGGGTTCTTCGGCGCGCAGAAGGGCGGGTCCCTTAAGGCGAGCCAGTTCAAGCACCTGCAGGCCGACGGCAGCAACACCAACGTCTCAGGCGAAAGTAGTTCAGTACTCTTCGGATCGGACCTCTCAGCTCGATGCGACTTTGAGAAGCGCCAGATTCCTGCGATCGTGAGCCAGTGCATCCAGGAGGTGGAGTCGAGGGGCATGGACGTCGAGGGCATCTACCGCAAGAGCGGCGGCTCGGGCCAGGTCAACAATATCCGTCAGGGCTTCGAGAAGCACGATCAGTTCGATATCTCGGATCCGGATCTGGATATCCACGCTGTCACTTCGGCACTCAAGCAGTACTTCCGCAAGCTGCCGAATCCGCTCATCACGTTTGATGTTTATGATCACTTGCTGGAAGCAGGGCGTAAGTTCATGAAGAGACATCGCATACTACTTCGTCGAAGCTAACGCTCCAACAGAAATCGAGGACAAGGAGAAGAAGGCTCTCGCCATGCGTCTCGCTATTCGTGAGCTACCGCAGTCTCACCAAGACTGCCTCGAGTTCCTGATCTTCCATCTCGCGCGCGTCATGGCGCACGACAAGGAGAATCTCGTATGTCCCATCCTCAACCTTCTGTCATCAATGTGAGAGCACACGATACTAACGCGTACCAGATGACCCCTCTCAACCTCTCAGTTGTATTCGCCCCGACCATCATGCGCCCCCTCTCCATCGAGCGCGAGATGAACGACATGCAGGCCCAGCGCATCGCCGTGCAGGCACTGCTCGAGAACAACAAGGTCATCTTCGCGGAATCCTGAACGAGCACATGGCGCTTCTGCTCTCGATCCTACGAGAGCTACTCTCCCGCTCCTCCCAGACAGCCCGCGAGCTGCGCCCACCTCGCCTCCTGGTCTGCATAGATGTGCCACTTTAGCGAGAGTACTACATCTCCGCATCCCCCGTCTACTCGTCATCCATCCAGCAGCGTGCCCTGCTGTCCCCCAGCCGGCTTCTGCTGCGCTCCGCATCGTTCATTTCTGTAGTCTGAGTCCTGTACAGCGTCCTCTCTGCGTGCGGTGTATATACCAGGTTCATCTCAGTCGTTTTGAAGACGGCGTTTTGCATGAGGTTCTAGGGTCTCTGATCTCCTGGGCGTCTTTCACCCCTGGCGCGCGTGGTCCTGAGGGACCGGGGTTGCGGTGGCGGTTGCCTTGTCTGTGAGAATATGGGGGAGGTGTATAGTAGCAGCGGTGTGGCGCTGGGATAGCTGCCTAGAGAGGAAGAGGGTTTATGAATATCATGATTGTTTGGGTCGCTCCGGAAAACACCTGTGCGGATCTCTACGCGTGTTGAGGCCAAGGAATCAACTTCTTGACTGCGAGTCATGTTTTCCTGAATGCCAGCCGCCACCCCTTCTCTATCCAGCCGGTAAAGCTGAAGGGGGCTCCCACCGTTGCCAGCCCTGTGGAGTTCGTTCGAGGGCTTTGCTTCGTGCCACCGCCCACGCGATTATCCAGCCTGAGATGCTTCTAGAAGATGATGGTGTGGTTTGTTCTCGGTTTGCTACCGTTCACTACGGCGAACGAGTCCAGGTGCACAAATGCGGCGGTTGTTATTTCAGCCCGCCCTTGCATGTTGGCGCAGTGGGATAGAAAATAGACATGACGGATCTGCCGGAAGCAGGGGGCGCAGCCGGCCCGTACTGGGGGCACCCTTGCACACAGTCAAGTCACGTCCAAAAAAAGGTGAACTGCAAAGCCCCCGGCCCCGCTTACCATTCCAAACACCACCGCCAACGACGTAGTTTGAGAAGAACATACGGTAGTTTTGGATGGCTCTACTTGACTTGTCTGACATATATCCAGGCGCCTTAGATTGGGATTAGTTGGCTGGTGCTGGTATGAATGTGAAATTTGCGGTTCGATAGTTCACGTCTTTTCCAGCCACGACGTGACGGTACAGCAGTAGCCTCAAGCCTCTTCTGCACATGCACTACAGTATTGCATGATGTAGGTGGCTCTCATGCTGCGTCCCCGAGCCTGGGAGAGAGAGGCTGTGAGTACCAAAACGGACTACTTTCTCTCATTCGCATTGTATATACGAACCTTTTCGTCTCTGCTGTTGCAAAGTCGTTACTCACCATCAAGCAATATCTCTCTCAGGAAATCTCACACTCTCGTCATCGCGATCAAGAGCCATGAACACCACCTATCCCAACACGACCCTTCCTGTTAATACCATATTAGATGCGCCGCCCGGCGGAACTACAGTCACAGGACAAAACATCCTATGGGCACTAGCCGGTCTCTCCGCCAGCACCATGATCCAGCGCTCCGGGGCCGACGAATTTTCCTCCGCCGACATGTCCCCAGCTCGTGGCTCTCCCTTCATCTGCGCAGCAGACCTGGCCGTAGCGACCATGTGGGTATCGTACGGCCTCTTCAACGGCCTGACATTTTCCAAATCCGCCAAGGTCTTCGCGCACGCATGCCACATGTCCGCCGCAAAAGAGCAAAGAGGTCTTCTTATAAACTTTCCAGTCCCCAACGGCCCAAAGCTCCTCATCCACGCCTTCTTTTTCGTCCTTACGCTCTTCTCAGCCATGAAGATCTTCGCCATGAAAGGCGTGCCGTGGTCCCAGGTCTGGGCGGTGTTCTACTTCTCAGCATACGTCGTCTCTTCCACTCTCCACTGGTTCGGCAACGGACCAGCCCTGGCAGAATTCGACAAGGAACCATGGCTCAAGCCCGACGGCGACGCCATGAAGAGGTTGTTTGACATTGCCGACGTCATCTACTGTCTAGCGTACACGCTGCAATTCTGTTGTTGGGTTGGCACCTTTACCAAGGTCCTTCAGCTGCCACAGTTTGCCACAAACCCAGCCCTCACAAACACGATCTTGACCTCGCTCATCGCCTTTTCCTTAACGGCCTCTGTCTTCGCCCCCGAGCACATCCTGTATCAGTTCTGGAGCCTCAGGAGATGGAGGCGCAGAGAGTGGCAGTTCTTAGGCCAATCGGCTTTCATCATCTTCCTCATAATGGGCGCTCCGATTCCTGCCTTCATCGCCCAGCGGTACGACGTGAGCCTGGTAGTGTTCGATAAAAGAGCGCTGGAAAGCACCTGGACGTTTGTTTCTCGCCCGCTCGGAAGCCTCGCAATCGCCGTTGCCGGAGTCTTCCTCGTCGCCTTCTTTGATGCGACCGTTGCATGGATCTGTCGGCGCGTCTGGCCGCCCGACGACGTAAAAGCTTCAGAGGAGGATTTGGAATTTCAGTGGCAGAACGATGGTGTATTGGCGGACCGACTTAATCCGCTGCTGTCAACGGCGCCCAGGAAGTGGAGGGAGATCCTCTCAACGGCGTTTGGGTTGATTAATCTTACATTTGCCGCATTGTATTATGTTTTTGTTTTTGATGGGACGGCGACTTATAAACCTTCATGGCTTGAGAAACTACCCTAGATCTTGGATCACTCGACGAGCTGGAACGTTATGATATTCTTTCTATGAGACACGGTTCACTGGACCCCCTGGCAACGATTCAACGCAGGGGCTTGTTTTGGTTGAAATAGAATCGCGTTACAAAGCATTTAGAAGATCGCGTAATGGCAGTTTAGGGCACCTAGTGATCTCGATAGCGAAACTACATTTGTTCAACGGAGGACATACAGATTGTCGTGTTTGACAAGCAGCGAGCTCTTGTGGCATGGTTGTGAAATAAATGGCTCTGAAAGAACAAGTGTGTAAGAAAAGCATAGATGATGTAAGACAGTTGGATGTAGTGGAAGCCATGCAACACGTCGAGTAACAGTGAATGACTTAGGCGATGTATAACAGGCGAAAGTAGTGAAAGACGTGTGGCGAGAAGTACGATACAACTACGAGCAGTTTTCTCCGTCTAATGGAAACAGTCGAGGTTAGCCTGTAACTGGTAGTAAAAGTCACTCAATCTCACTTACCATGATCCTTCTTCCGCGCAAGAACTCTGGCTTCTTCAGATAACACGCATAAAGTTTATGCTGTCCGGTTTGAATCCCAGCTTGCCATTGTTGCGCCTTCGCGGAAATGCTTTGCAATATGACGGGCGCGAATGTCCCAATCTACAAGACATTGTCCGCAAAACCCACATTTCCACGTCTGCTCAGGACGTAACACCTGGGTTTTCCATGAATTGACCGTCGGACGGAAAATTGACGCTTTGTGAAATCCCTTGATATGCTGGACCAGATGGTCCCTTCTGTAAAAGCTTCGGTCTGGAGCGGGTCTTGCCAGACATTCACCTATTCGATGACATGATGCGACATGTCCATCGTCAGGGTCCTTTTCTCCGCAGAAGGCGCAAACGAAGTTTGGATCGCGGCAGTAGGGGACATGGACCCGGAACCCATGCGCCATGCATGTCCATTGAGTTCTGGGTAAATGTTGCGTCTCCTCATGCCGCTGCCAGGTCTTTTCTGAGAAGGGTTCATGGCAGAAGGTGCACTGGAAAATTGTAGCTGTTAGCTGCTCTGTTGAGGGGAAGCATTCTTCCAGTTCGGAACTTTCTCCTGAGGGTAAAAATCGGAAAGACATCGACCTAGGCCTTTTGGTAGGACGCGCCGAAACAGGCCGACTCTGAGTGACTTTCGCCATATGCCTTTTCCTTCCCCGCTTCGGGGGTCCGAACGGTACTGCTTCGCTGCATTGGGAGAATGCCGATGACGACCCGGCACTGGCGGGGGATATTGACCCGGCGTAGGAAGGCCGCCGGGGCGGACCGCCTTTAGTTCCGGATGTCCCTAGAATATTCGGCCGCACGGGTGAGGCGAATTGGGGGCCAGAAGCTGGAGGTTTGTAGAAAGATTTGTAGAAAGAACTATCAGCAGCACGCCGAATGTCGGCTTCAGACGCTGCCTCGTCCTCAGAAGAGCTAGTGAGCCACGCTTCCAGTGGGCTTAATGGACGCTTTCCGCCAAGTTGACGTTTGCGGTTGTTAACAAACCAGGTTTTCACTTGCCAGACTGTCAAGCCAGAGGATTCGGCAAGTGTTCGTTTTTCTGCCGCTGATGGGTACGGGTTATCTGAGTGTTCGTCCAACCAGTTCTGGAGGGTGATGAGAGATTTTGGAGAGAATTTTGGCCATGCTGGAACTTTCAGCGCTTCCGATCTATACCCCGCCAGCATACTGGTGGGCCTGTTGATGTGTGCCCTCAGGGCTACATTTTGATGCTGGAGCTCGTCAGGAGAACTTGGTGTGCGCACAGCAGCCGGTCTGCGGGATGTATGCTCAACTCCCTGTTGCTCCAGGTTCATCTTCTCCCCCCTCTCCAGCCAAAACGGCTGGAGAGACGTGGTGACCGTGTGAGGCGCCCAGCAACGACTGGGTGGCAAAGTTTGTGAATCAAATTGAGGTAAAGTTGGCTGTGCCAAGTGGGTGATGGCGGACGGCATATGTTGAAGGGGTTGCGGTGGGGATGTACTTTGAGACGGATGCTCTGACGATTGCGGCATTCCGGCCTGAGACAGATCTTGATGTAATGAAGCGGGTGAATATGCAAAGGGCTGGTCGGTCTTTCCGTGTATGGTCAGTGCGGCCCTAAAGAGGAGTACTGGGCGATACTCACGGCTAACACAGTCTCAAGGTTGAACCAGCTAGCATTTACATCCTCAGTAACCCGAGTGCCAGTAGCTGGCAGCAAGCCGTTAAAGTAAACAGCTTCAGAGTCAAGTTGATTCTCTTCTGGATCGAAAACGCCTGCAGTCAGTGGATAGCTTGATTCGGTGTCCGTTTCAAAGGCACTTCCAAAGAGTGGGTTTCGATACTCTGGCTGCACGGCGGAAAAATTTACGAAGCCATAACGATCGTATCGACCGTTCAAAGACGTATCAGGATCACGTTTCCACGGCCACCGCTCATAGTCCGTGAGCGATTTAAAAGAGTCGAACTCATTGGTCCCCCAGTTCATTGTTTGGCACTTGAAACAATCTTGATGCCGAGAGGTGCCTTGAGATCGACAGCAATCGAGACTCTAGAAAGGTTCCGTGTGTGTATTGGGACCAAGAGCGTTTGATATTAGTAAGGGACAAGAAATTGACACGAGAGATGCTGAGCGAAGATGGCATGCTGGAGGAGTGCGAAGTGGGAAAGTTATGTATACTTGAAATGCAGCCTCGCCCGCTGTGACATTGTGGGTGACGGGACGTGCGGGACCACTTGTCCAGTTCACCCTTAACATCAACCCTCAGCCACGATAAGAACAAGACGCTAATCCACCATACAACCAAAGATGAGTGCTGTTGACGGTGCATCCTCCACAGAAACACTGAAAGACACAGACTTCAATGTAACAAACGAGCGTACTATGAGGTGACCGGCGGTTCCGCTTGCAAAATTGTACCTGTTGTTGTAAGGCAGAACTTCCGTCCTGGATCACGTGCTACACCTTGATGATCGTCAACCTCCTGAAAGCCGCACGCTAGTATGCGCTAACCCACAACATCACTCTGCCGCTTGAACGAATACGCTTCAGGACTGCTAGGGGCGTTGTTCAAAGAAGACGTGTTTCCGGCAGAATCAAGGTTCCCGAAGGATTGTCCATCCGCCCTGCCGACAATACGGGTTTCGTGTGAGGCACGGCTCGGCGGACACGCTGCGGCGATTGAATGCAGGAGCTTGCTTTGATGGAAATGGGAAGTCGTCATAAAGCAAGCCAGAAGATCTCGTAATGGTAGTCTTGAGGCGCCGAGCGAATCGACAGTGTAAGCCACATTCGTTCAACGCAGAGGGCATACAGGCTGCCCTATCTGGCAAGAAGCGACTTCTTGTGGCATGATCATGGATGGATGGCTACGGAAGGGGTAGAGAGCAAGAGGTACAAGGGCGATCCGAAAAGTTGGTTGCCGTTTCTTTGCTCCAGCTTGTTCGATACCAAATCCACGGTCGAACTAGACTCATGATACTGTCAATTATAGAGCAGCTAGACTAATTCCATGCGGTAAATAGCAAAAGATGTTGAATAGTTTAGCTTTTTAATGGATCGATCACGCAAGGTGTCTTCCAACTGATAGACAATGCTTGGGCTATTCACCTCCAGGACTACAAGTAACTTTCCATTCGACAGCGGACTTTTCGGATGGCACTTGGTATGAAAGGTGTAACCTCGTCGTATGTTGTGGAAGGCATAGAGAATGTCGAATGGTGGTGAATGGTCCAGGCGGTATAGAACATGTGGGATAGTGAGAGATTTGTATAAACAACGATGCTGGCAGGTCATGACGTATGCCCCAAGCTCGGCTTGCTGCCTTGCATTGCAGAAACTAGTCAATGTGACCGGTACCGCACTGGTAGAGGCGGAAGAGAAGGCAGAATAGATCATAGGGCCTGGGTTATACGACAACTGTAGCGGACCAGAGGGCAAAGTACGGGAAGCACATCGGTACAAGAACCTGGCGCACTTCGTACGGTAGAGGGGTATCGCTAAAGCTGCCATAGTGGCGTATTTCGAAGCGGACTGTAGAGCAAGCCCGATCCCGACGGCTATCTCCCTGTGCTACTGAGCCGAGAGTTTGCGTATGCCTAGACAAAACCATCCCAAGCGATCAAAGCCATCCCTTACGCAGGTACTCCCGCCGGTATTCCGTACACCTCCTCCAGATATCTGTCCCCAAGCGCGGCCTTCACATCCTCGCCTAGCAGGCTCGATAAATTCAGTACAGTCGCCTCCGCAGCCGCGGGGTTCGCGCAGACAAAAACCCGACAGCCTGGGTGTCTCAATTTTGCAGCCACCTTCTTCGCGATACCATCCTCGAGGAGTTTGTCTTGAATGCGAATACCACCCGAGTTGCTTAGCACCACCGATACGATGTCAAGTGCCGCAAAATGTCTCGCATCAGCAATGGCCTCTTCAATGATGTCGACATCCACGGCTCTGTGTCCGATGAACAGACTGATCGGCGACTCGGCAAACCCTGTGCAGGCATCGCTTGTAGCGGAGGGTTCAGATGCCTTCGCAGCCGCAACGCGCTTCTGGAGTAGGCCTCGCAGTGGTGCTAATCCCGAGCCTGTGACAACGGCGATGATCGGACCGACGATAGAGGAATCTAGCATGGGCCACGCCGGAGACGCACAGATCATGTACCGCATCGTCTCGCCTGGTTCCGCTGGACCGAGGAAGTTTGTACTGAAGCGGCCGTGAGGTTGGATCTTGACAAGAAGATCAACGAGATTACGCGGAGTTGAGTACGTGCTCTTGGGGTGTAAGCGTGATGGAGAGGAGGCAATGGAGAAGGTTCGAGGGACGAGGAGATGCATGCATCGGCAGATCTCGTTGATGTCTAGGAGTGGAATGAAGCCACCATGTGAAAGGAGCTCCAATACTTCCGGCACGTGTTTGGAAGATAACGAAGCTTGAGTCTGCGGCACAAGCCCAGTAATTTTGGAGAGCCAACCAAGAGACCTGAATGGAAGGTCTAGGTCGACAAAGCGTAAATAGGAGTAGACAGAGAGGTCTGCAGCAAACGGCAGTGGATGCTCTGGGCAGACAGCGAGGGATTTTATAACGCAAAGGATCTTTTTAGATCTGTTCGGAGGCAGGATCTTGATGTGATCCATTTCCTGGTACGTGCGGCGACCAAGACTGAGTGTGACTCGGACGATGCCTTCCGATTTCTCGGATTTGCCGACCAGCGTTGCTTGCGCAAAGTTGCGGAACAGTGGCTGTGCGTTCCCCCTTGTAGTCTTTGACTCCTTGATAAGTGGAAGTTCTTTGCCGGAGAGAAACAGCTGGATCCGATTCCACCATTCTTCGAATGCTGTCCAGGGAGGATTTTCACACGCCGTATCGCCCTCGAATAGTCCGCCGGCGATCGGCTGGGCACCTATAGACATGAACGACTCGGCAACGGTCGACGCGGCTGTATTGAATGTGTCTCCGTAACTGCTGTCTCCGTTCCCGAACAGCGTAAACCGTGCCTTCGTTTCCATTCCACGTTTCTCACACCGCAGAGCAAATTTGGCTCCATTAAGAGGTATCTCCCCGCGTCCGGTGGAACTAACGATGAGGAGGGTCAAATCTTCCGCTTGTATACTTGAGATGTCGAGTTCGTTAAGTGTCGCTGCTGGGAGAACGCGATAGATACTGGAGGTCTCTTTCGCATGCGAGCAGAGGCGTGAGTAGAGTTTCGAAGCAAGCTTTGCAGCAGTTATGCCTGAACTGCAATAGTGTATTCGCACGGTCCTGCTCGCAGGTGAAACAGCTGTTGTACGCTTGCCAGTGGATGGGGCGATGTCGTCCACGGTGTGGGCAGAGTCTGCGCTCTCCGCGTCCAGTGAGTTCTGCCGTCGCTCCCGTCTCCATGCTTTGACGGGGTCTTGCGTGTGGCGGCAGATGAGGGGTTTTGGCTGGTAATTTGGCGCACCGCCACGATGCCAAAGCGGAATGATTGAGCCTTGGGGCGGCGCCAACCAGTATGGATCTGCTGGAAGTCTAAATCCGTGTTCACGCCTGTGAGTGTCGTCAAACTGGGACCACGTTGCCGATGCTGTAAGGCTGTCTGTCATGGATACCTTGGCCTGCAGATATGACCAGTGTACTGCATAATTGAGTTCTGCTTGAGCTCGGGACTGGAAGCGCTGTCAGGCTTGAACAGAGTCGGGTTGCGATCAGTAGGCAGCAATGAAGGAAAGTTGCATACCAAGGCCGCCAAACGCTCATATTCCGGCAGCTCGTCAAGCTCGCGGTCTGGTAGATCGTAGAGCTTCAACGTCTGCGCGACCTTCGGCAGCACATTGTAGCGGAGTGTGTCAGCCAGGTCTCGGACTCCAATCTCCGCATCCATGAACCAACCAGCGAAAGGTGCTGCGGTGTACTGGACGCCTCCGATATCGAACCCAAGTCTGCTAAGGGCGGGAAATCCAACCCACCGGAGATCAAGCTGTTCAAACTCCTTCTGGTAGCGTGGGTGGCGAATGTGGACGAGTTGCTTGAGCTGAGCTGGGAGTTCGAATATTGCTGGCTCGTCATTCTCACCCATTGTGACGAGTGGCAGAAGATCCCACTGCGTACGACAGTCAGGGGAAGGGGGGTTCCATCCAAGCTCGATGATTGCTTCGGTCAGCTCGGCGTTTATTGGATCACCAAGCACGGATCCGTCCTGGAGCTTGTACTGTCTGCTATCAGCGCATGTAAGGCCGTCTGGGGTAAAGGTCGCGCATCACCCCCGCAAAGGCTAGCAACTGCTGATTCCAAATCATAGGTCCCCTCTGGCCAATTTCTCGCGGAGGGAACACGATCACTGGCAAGAGTTAGCTGTGCAACAGAACCGAGAGAGATCCTTACCCGTTGGCTGAATCTTGCCGCCGTTGAAAGCTTCAGCAATGCCTTTGATCAGCGCAGGACCCATCTCCATGCTCGAGACAACATGCCGGAGATCGCAAAGCCTGTACTCTCAGTTAGTGTGGCTCAAAGAGGCGCCGTCTTGCTTACCTGAGCTCCTGATACTGAGACCGCATAATGCATTTCCGCGCGTTCTTCCAGGCAAGTCTAGTCCCAAACTCGAGCTCCTCTGCGGTCTGGGTCCAGTTTCCTCCGGCCAGTCCATACTCTGTGCCGCGGTCTGTTTTGAATGTGGTCTGAATGGCCCCAGCGTGGATCTGCTGTATGACGTCCTTCAGCCTCTGATCGAGTTCTTGGTCCGATTGAATAGCTCCTGCAAGTCTCATTTCCTGTAAGAAGGAGGTAGCTTCCAGTTGAACTTCTTCCAATGGCCGGTCAAACCCAATTCGGGGCTCAGAAGTGTGGATAGCGCGTCCCGCCTGGCAAAACTGGGCGGTGCACCCGGTGGACGCAAGGACGGGATACCTCTCTTTGATCAGTTCAAATTCTTGCAATGCACCCAGTTTTACTGGACACTGGCTGTACTGAGGCCGGTCTCGTCCAGCGGCTACAGTGACTGGAGATGCGGGGACATTGATGTCGTCGCTTCCCGAAGTGTAAGCCGTACTGTAGCCACTGGACTCGCTGGTAGAGAGTTCGAGCGAGTCGGACACGTCTGTCTCGAAAATTGACATGGTTTCAAGAATGGAGTCGGACATGACTGATATATAGCTTTGACTCGATCGGTGATGCCTTGCAGATATGGGGGAGGACCCTTCGGAGTAACCCCCGAAAGCGGCGCGTATACGGCCGCGAAGCCTCAAGACTTTGGTATAGAGCCACAGCAAGTGAAGATGTCCTAATATCGTGACCAGTCTGGCGGTGTGATTTCAGGGTGATGTCATCAATGGAGCTGACTCCGTGAAACTGAGTGTGAGGGGCGTGGAGGAAGTAGATAAATAGAGGGAACAATTCATTTGATGAGGGACATGGAGACAGATGGCAATGGTTTAAGTATCCGGCCTGGATGACTGGCGACAGGCGGTGGCGCAGACGTGGCCTCCTTCAGCAAACGTCTCGCTACACCAAAGTAAGCCACAGCGGAGTCAACGTGCCATGAGACGGCCATGCCAAACGTGCACACTGGCTACAAGCAGTCGAGGTCCCAAAGGGATCTCGCAGTTTGCTCGCATAGCTGTGGACGCCTGCGGGGCTGAAGGAGGCTGGAACCGTCGCGGCTCAGCGGAAAAGGAATATGCAGTCCCTCTCAGATGCACTGGCCATTCCTGCCTTGATATCTTTGTCGGCTGGTGTGTTAGCCATTATCAGTTGATGCTCAGTTCAGAGCTGTGTCCCGCAGTCCCGTCTAGTATAGTTCACAGTCCGGGACCGTATCACGTGGAACATCAAGTGAGAGGAAGGAGCTGAGGGGGACTTATCTATTGTTTGCGGCTGGGTTGGATACACCCGTAGCACAGCTCGGCTGGAGAATGCCTAATCCTGAAGAAGTCCCAGAGGTTTGGCCTTGGATATAGCTCAGATCCTTGTTTGTACCTCCGCAGCAACATCACCCGTCGTAGATTGTACAATGTTACGAGGATCAAGATGAGATGGTGTTGCCTAACCCTAATAACCTGCTAGCTGAAGTCATAACTAGCTGCGGCCCTATGTCCTCGAGAAAGGACTCTGCCGAACCGTGCCACGGGTATATGCATCGGAGGAACTCGGCCGAGCTGAGGATGCTGGTGCGGACGACACAACCAAGATCGTCGTTTGAGTTATCATTCAGCCCTCCGTCCAGGCCATCATCTCAGATCGTTACCCAGGTGATCATCCAGGCTGTCGTTTATGCACTTGTTCAGACCATTGTTCAGGCCAAGCATAGCGAGACGACGCCCTCGCTCCGACGGCCGGCTGATGAGGGCGGCTAGACCAGCTGCAGCAGCTGGAGGCGTGCCTGCGTCCAACGACCTCATTGCCCGCTGTTGCGGCTGCTGGCGGCTGATTCTAGAGTGCCTAAATAGGTAGGTAGAGGCTCGCTGGCTTGGCGTGAGGCGCAGGTAGATACGTAGACTGAACGAATGAGGTTCAACATCTGGGCTGGCGCACTGACCACCTGGCTTCACGAACATGCAGGAGGGAGAAGCATGTGGTCGTCAATCCATCACTTTGCTTTTTCGCGGGGAGTAGATGGGCAGAACACACGGGATGTGATCTTTTACGTAAGACTCCTGTCATTACTCCGGTCATCAGAGAGTGTGCCGTCGCAGTTTCGAGAGCTGTGCAGGGATCGACTTAAAGAATTGATACACGAGGCAGCTCAACCGCCAATGGTGACCTTAGACATAGGATTACTCCAGACCGTCCGCCCTTAAAATTAAACGAAAGAGACGCTACAGTAGCGCCAGCTACAGCACCCTCTACTTGTCATCATCCATCACCAGCGCGAGCCGTTCGAGCCGTGCTTCCATCTTGAGACCGCTCTTGGGCCTGCCAGCGTCCTCTATATATTCGCCGCGTATAGGCCAGGCACGACGGTGTTGTGTCTCGAGATATATTGCAGACTCCAGCAGCGCCTTAGCGATTGGATCGACATCCAGAATCTCCACCTTCTGGGCTCTGATTGGCGTGTTGTGAAAAAACAATTCCAACACCTCAAGCAGCCGTCCTCGGAAGTCATTTGAGGTCTCTGACTTGCTACGCGCGAAATGCACCGTTGTTGGCCCGAGGAAGATCCCGAGGTCATTGAATCTGATCTTAACGGATCTCAGCTCCCAGAATCCGAGGCGATCGAGGCGTCCTACATCCGCAAGGAAAAAGAGACCTGCGTTGCAGTTCTGAGTGTGTGCCATGTGATACCGTTTGACCTCGTACTCAATGATATACGACGAGAACGGCTGGCCGCCTTTTCCTTTGGGGTGACCGTCCTCCAGCTCTAGGGTGAAGTCAAGCTCGACGTGTCGAACGAAGGCCCGCGCGTGGACCCCGCAATTTGAGAAAGTGTCCACCGGCAGAGGACCGCCAATCTGCGTGACACCCCACCGGTCGACACGGAAGTGGAAGACATCGTGTCGAAAGAACATATCGATAGCCTCGTAACGCATTTGCCTGCAGACTGCAAGCGCTGGTCGGTAGAACTTGGTCGAATCCCCGTCGTTTCCGACGTAGAGCTCTTTCAGAATCATCGAACGGACTTCCATTGGAATGTTAAGCAGTGTGGCTCTCTGGATCCGGACACTGCGCCAGTCTGCGCGGAGAGTGAGCGTCTATTTCTTGGCGTGGATCTGATCACTCACGCAGTGCGTCTTCCAACCTGATGATCGTACACGGTACTCGGGTAGTCAATACTCCGTTCGACATTGCCTCCCTTGAAGTGGACATTCTGAGTTGAGCCTGTGGCCTGGCAGTCTTCTTCCGACACAGTCGTTTGGTCGGAGTCGTGAGGCGAGGAAGCTGCTCGATGGTTTCTACAGCTGCAGTCTTAGGCGATGGGTAAACGATAGTGATGCTGCTGGCTGCTAAAGATTGGATAAGGAAACGTATTGGATAGCTTGATGAATGCTCGCCCGGAAGTGCGCTGAGATGAGGGCTCCATCCCGAATCGTACGTTGTTGACTCTTCTGATGTGGTCCATAATTTGGGGCAGTTGCTTCCCTCGACGGCAAGTGACACTCATCGAGCCCGGCCGTTCGCTGTTCACGCTTCAGTCAGCAAATTCGGCCACACTCTGCTTTCTGTATGGACTGTGGGTTTAGATTGGGCAAGAGCCACTCAACCACTTACATTCATGGCTCGAGTACTCGCACTGCTGGCCATACTCACACCTAAGATACTGAAGCGCGCAGTGACAGGCGCGTCAGACACCGACTATTCCAGGTGTCACCGTTCCTCCGTAATACTAAGACTTCAACGTACGTGTTCTTCAATACTATAGCGCCCGCGCGACATGCTCTCCTTCTGCAACTTCCTCGCACGCGTGCGTTTTCCTCCTTTAGCTTCCTGCAGCCTTTTTGCTAATACAAGCAGAGCACCACGAACCGCCGAAGTGATTGCCTCGACCATCCAGTACGTGGTCGCCAAGGTAGCGTGAAGGCAGAAATGCGCCCATGTCGTCGAAAAGTGAGAGGTTTCGTGGCCATGAAAGCCAGCCTAGCGCGGAATTACTCCCGAACAGGCGTAAGCCACGAGCGGATGTCTTCGTCCTACTTGCGGACAGCTAAGTTCATCGACGTCGTGTCGGAGGAAGTTTTATTGCAGTTTCCCATTAAACGTCATAATGCGTGAGTTGCGTGGCTCGGACTTCGCCGCACTTCATTAATCGCCTTGCCCATCACCACCACCGTCAAGTCTCCCGTCGCCAGCTTTCTTGTCCGTGCGCTCTCCAAAACGTCTCTCTCCCACATCATGGCGGCTCTTTTCCAGACTGTTCACCTCTCCGTGAATCTCTTGCCCGCCTATCAGCGCCTTCTCCTTCTTCCTAATATACCTCCCCATACTCTCACACAGCCTCTCAAGCACGAACTCCGGCTCGCTCATACCCGCCACCATAGGACTGTCCTCACCTATCCAGTCCCACTCAATCATCTCATCCTCCTCATCATCCCCCTCACTAGTAGTGAACCTGATCAACTTCGTAAATTCCACCCACTCCTCGTACGAATACCTCTTCGGCGGCTTCTCGCAGTGCAGCTTCAGATCCTGCGCCGCGCGCCGAATAGCAACAGCGAGTCGGCGCGCAAGTTCCGCTTCGCTGGGCGGCGCTTCTGCCTCTTCCGCCAACTCGGTGAGGCTCCTCTTGAGCGTGGTTTCCGCCTCGGTTTCCCCTCCCACGCCTTCAGCAGCACCGTTTTCATCTGCAGTAACCGTCCGAGGCGCCTTTGGTGCTGTCTTCTTCTCGCCCCTCTTCCCTCGCCCCTTTCGTCGCAACCACGCGCCCAGCCACCGATGCCAGATCCCCTGTTCCGGCAATACCGTAAACCCCGCCAAGCGATCTGTCCCATGCTTAAACGTGCCAATAACCGTATCCCCCATATCGCTGATCAGCAGCGTCATAGTCGGCACGGCTATCAAGCTCCACACCACAAAAAAGCACCTCCCCGCATTGGACTTCGGGCTGAGATCCCCGTACCCGATCGTCAGCAGCGATACGTAGCAGAAATACAGCGCCTGGAAGTACGTCATGCCCAGCGTGTCGCGCTCGCATTGCCAGAAGACGAGCGCGCCAAGGCACCAGAGGAGGAAGAAGGCGATTAGGGAGAGGGAGAGGGCGGTCCACCGCTTGAAGCGCGCGGTGGACCGCTGGATGCTGCGCATAGCCTCGAAACGGTCTTTTTCTTCGCGGAGCAGTAGGAGCTTTGGTTTGCGCTGGCGTGGGAACGTCGACATACGCCGCATCAGGGGGACGGTGTTGCCCATCGCCGTCGCGAAGGCGTTGACTCTTTTCATCATCACCGGCTGGTTGGTGATGCCCGCTCCGCCCGGCCCAGCGGTGTCTTCGGTCTCCCGGCTGCGGAACTCGACGGAGGTACGCACGGCACGCCGCGCAGTGCGTAGACGTGTCTTCTCGACGTGCCGCTGCACAACCTTCGAGGCGCCGATGTCGGTCGCGAAGTTGTGGATGCTGGAGATCACCAGCCCGAGCATGATGATGCCGCCCACGGAGTAGGGGAATACGAGGCCCCGGCCAATGTCATTGGTGGGAGCGAGGTCACCGAAGCCGACCGTTAGGATCGTGACGTCGCAGAAGTAGAGCTGGCGGAGGTGGGTTAGTGGGGTGCTAAATGGCTCGCTGGGAAGAGGAGGAAAGGGAGAAAGGGGAAGGGTGGCACTGTGAAGGTGGACTCACGGCATCGACGAAAGACCAGTCCAAGTCATCTGGCCCGCCGAAGCGGGTCTGGACGACGGAGAAGACGGCACCGCCGCCCGCGAGCCAGATGAAGAAACACATGGTCTGGAGGATCAGCGTCCGCTGGGAGTCTGTGAGATTGAAGGTCTGCGGGTAGTGGCCCAAAAAGTAGCCGAGCATGTTGACCATGAGTATCATGGAGCATATAAGGTAAAGCACGGCCGACATCACTCCGTACCAGAAGCCTTGCGTGTAGGTCTGGTTGGGGCGGATTGGTGGGTCGTAGATCTCTCTGCATGCGGTGATGGCAATGAGCTACACTCGGCGTCAGCGCTTGGCACCTGTTGGAGACCTCGTGGAGGGATCGCTAAGATGGAGGGCGCAGAAGCGGGCTGGGGTTACGCACAGCACACTTACAATACCGCTCGCAACATACCAAAACACAATCGACGCCGGCAGTGCGATGATATACCTAATCCTCCCCGTAAAATTAAACAACAGGAAAACATTCCCCACGAACCCGGCCACAAGACTCGCAACATTGAGCCAGTACACCCACCCCGGGTCCGCAAACACGAACCCCTGCAGCTCAGGGACGCGCTCCCCGGTAACTGGATCCAGAAGATTCATCGCCCAGGGAGTCACCAACGCGCCGATGCTGAGGACGTTCGCGAACGGGCCCAGCGTCGCGGCCAGGAGGGGAATTGCGGTCGAGGCGAACCACCAGTCCGCTTCTGCATCGTCGTCGCGGGTCCGCATCCGGAATTTCCACCATTGCTTCTCGCGCGATGCGTGGGGGGCATGGAGGGCCCCGGCTCGCTCATCGTGCTCGTTCTGCGCATCCGACTCTTTCTGCTTCGCCGCCGCGGCATTGGTGGAGTTTGTCACTGTACCGCTTGGAGCATCTGAGCCGGAGCTCGTAGTGGTCATGCTGGATCCGTCCGCGGCCACAGGTAGGGGACAGTGCTGGTAAGGCTGCAGAGCATGGCTTCAACGGGTTTGCTGAGGAATAAGGGGGGCCTTTATGGGATAGAAACAAGCGCGAAGACTCGAGCGTGTGAGTGTGAGTGTGAGTGGTAGGCTGAGTTCTAGATGCAGGCGGCCCAGCTGAGGTGCACCCCTCCCACGGGCCGGGAATGCAACTAGAGCATAGCGCGGTACAAGAGGGATCTGGAAATCCTCGTGCGATGGGACCGTAGCTGCGTCTTGGAGCCAACTTTCCAAGGCAGCGAGGATGATAAGGGCGACATCTTGTCTGGAAAGCCTGAGAGCTTGCGATAAACAAAGGTGTGCGCTGTGGGATGAGCGCTTGTGTGCAATGTGGCAAGCCACACCGATAACCAGATGTGGTTCATGGTTCATGCCAAGCATTACTAGCGCGGGGTTGTCCATTGCTTGACGGGAGGCCTGACACGATCAACCAAATATCAGCGTCCGGGGTGCCACGCAAAGTGCCTGATAGGCAGACCGTCAAACCATGGAACGCAACACTCCGGCGAGGTTGTCCAAAGCAGTTCAAACACACATATTGACAATTCAAATCCGGGTTGACTACTCCTTCCGCAGCTTCTCCGTCAGCTCCGGCACCTTCTCAAACAAGTCCCCTACAAGTCCCACATCCGCGACCTGGAAGATGGGCGCATCCCCATCCTTGTTAATCGCCGCAATGACCTTACTATCCTTCATGCCCGCCAGATGCTGAATTGCCCCACTAATCCCCGCACACAGATACAGCTGCGGTGCCACATTCTTGCCCGTCTGGCCCACCTGCAGGCTGTTATCCGCGAATCCGCTATCCACCGCCGCGCGCGAGGCGCCGATCGCTGCGCCCAAAGCGTCGGCGAGAGGTGGCATCAGCCTGTCGAACTCTTCTTTGGATTTGAGACCGCGCCCGCCGGAGACAACTTTCGTGGCTGTTGCGAGGTCGGGGCGGTCGGATTTCGCAAGGTCTTCAGAGACCCATTCGGTTGGACATTCGGCTTTGGGATCCACGCCTTCTTCGAGCGATGCGCTGCCGCCTTCGGTTGCGCCGGCGGGGAAGGCGGTGCCGCGGACTGTTATTACTTTCGGCGAGTCGGTGGATTTAACGGTTAGGATGGCGTTGCCAGCGTAGATAGGGCGAACAAATGCTGTGAGGCGGTGTGAGCGTACGCTGTGAGGTTGTGAGAGGGAGCGGTGGAGGGGAAGGCCATACTGTCTTCGCTCTCGATGTGTGTGATGTCTGAGATTTGCTGCGTGTCGAGCAGCGCTGCAACACGCGGCATCAGGTTCTTGCCGAACGCAGAGTGGCCTGCTAATATGTGTGTGAAGCCGCCCTTCTTGATGTTCTCGACCAGCAGCGGCGCGAAGTTCTCTGGTAGGCCCTATAGTCTCCTCTCTCAGCTTCCCTGCTCATGAATTTCTCGCACCAATCGCATAGCGGTAGCCAAACTGACCTTGTCATATGCCCCATTCTCCACGTATATGATCTTGTCTATCCCCTCTACTTTCGCCGCCTCCTCGGCGACCGCCTTGACGTTGCTGCCCGCCACGAAGCCGGTCACCGGCTCGCCTAGCTTCTGGGCCGCGGTTACTGCCGCGAGAGACGAGACATTGAGCTTTCCTTCCCGCTGTTCAAGAACCGCTAGTGTGGAGAGCAATCGGGCGAGGGCGGAGAGCTGGGGCGCTGTGGTAGGCCGTGCGATGCGGAACGGTGACCGTGCTTGCCGTAGGGCGGTATGGCGGGCTGTGGAGAACATCGTGGGAGAGGGGGAGTGGGAGGTAGGAGTGAGAAGTAGGGGTGGGAAGAGGACGCCGGAGGGAGGGGAGGAGGGAGGGTGTTGAGAGGCGGAGGAATTGGACGAGACGGCGGGTGTAAATGATGCTTCGAGGCTTGTTGCGGCTCCCGCTGCCGAGGATTTGCGGAAGTCGGCTTCCATGCCACTTGATGCCTGAGGCTTCAAAGGACGGAGGATCGATTTATCCGTGCTTCTCCCAAGAAACGGCAAGGGCGACAACGCGACTGAGGCTGCCCACCAGCACCGACGACGCGACCATCACACAGAACCTACACCACTTCCTACCGTATTCGCTCCTTTATCACTGCAGTCGCATACACACACCCATCCCGATTGTTACGAAAGCGCAAAGCGTCCCCGTCCCTTCCGCATCCACAACCCCCGATCCGCTCAGCTTCGCGGGCAGCTCCTACGCTCTTAAGATGGACAACGCAACTGCGCAACCGGTACCGGGCGAGCTTACAAGTACTATCACTGCGGAGGAAGGAGCTGCAGACGTGCCGGCTATAGTGCCTCCATCAGATCCCAGCGAAGGTACGTTCACTGGTTTGCTTTATTGCTTACAATGTCCTCCCCATCAGACTCGGCGTATCTTTCTCTGTGGGACCGGCTGAATGCTCTGCTGGAGGCTGATGGTGCTTCTGCGAGCACGGCACGGCAGCTATTTCCTCCTCTGTCGTCTTTCCCTCTACCTCATTCATCGCGGCCGGTAGAGGAGCCAGAGCGGAGAGATTCGTGGTTGCCTTTAAACGCGGGCAGCGCTTTTGTTAATCATGGGTTTTCGAATGCAGATGCGGTGATGGACGATGGCGGCGATCAGCAAGCCGACGCAGCCATTGAGACAGGCTCGAATGCGACACCAGTCGTCTCAGACAACCCACTCGATGCGCCTGAGGGCCCACGACCGGAGGCAGAGGCAGAGGCGGATGCTGAGGACGAAGAGATGGCGGAAACTGGGGATGATGTGAAGAGAGACTTGCCGGCAGTGGGTGGAGAGACTGCCGATGGAGCAGCGAAGGAACAGCCAGAGCAAACCAAGGCCGCAATAGAGACCTCTGCGCGGTCACATCTCATCTCGCAGGCCCACGCCATCATCCTGCCGAGCTACAGTACATGGTTCGACATGCATCAAATACACAACATCGAGAAGAAGTCGTTGCCGGAGTTTTTCAACAGCCGGAATCGTAGCAAGACGCCTGCTGTATACAAGGATTACCGGGACTTCATGGTCAATACGTACCGTCTGAACCCGGCAGAGTACTTGACTGTCACCGCGTGCAGGCGCAATTTGGCTGGAGATGTTTGCGCGATAATGCGTGTCCACGCCTTTCTAGAGCAATGGGGCTTGATCAACTACCAGGTCGGCAGAGGAGTTCCATGTAAACACAAACCGCTAACCCTGTGCAGGTCGATCCGGATACCAGACCATCGAACATCGGCCCACCCTTTACAGGCCACTTCCGCATAACAGCAGACACCCCTCGAGGCCTGCAACCGCACCAACCCGCCCCTGGCTCCATCGTCACCCCCGGTAAACCCAACCCGACAACCAGCCGTCTCGCCAGCGCAACCCCACCTACCAAAGCCGATCTGAATCTCGAAATCCGCCGCAACATCTACGAGTCCAATGGCAAAGAAGTCACACCGTCGACGAGCACCGTGGAGAAGCCGGCCAATGGCGAGGCTAGCACAGCTGAAGCCAATGGATCCGCAGCCACAGCCACAGCCACCGCCGCGAGAAGTCTGGAAGACTCTCTGAAAGAGACAGGCAAACCCCACTACTGCTACTCCTGCGGCATCGACTGCACACGTGTGCGCTACCACAACACGAAATCTACGCCGTCCTCCACAACCGGCAAGACCGGCGCATCCCTCAAGTTCGATCTGTGTCCGTCTTGCTACATGAACGGCCACTTCCCCGCATCTGGCCAGGCGAGCGACTACACAAAGCTCGAGAACGAGAACTACAAGGCGGTGCCGGACCGTGATGCGCCGTGGACAGATGCGGAAACATTGCTGTTGCTCGAGGGACTGGAGCTGTTCGACGATGACTGGAACAGCGTAGCTGATCACGTGGGGAGCAGGACGAGGGAGGAGTGCGTGATGAAGTTCCTGCAACTAGAGATTGAAGACAAGTACCTCGAGGGCGAGCCAGACACCTCCGCAGCCGTGAACGGCGTCGTGGCTGGGAACCTGGGCTACCTGAGCAACGGACGCATCCCTTTCACCCAGGCAGACAACCCCGTCATGTCCGTCATGGGTTTCCTAGCTGGCTTGGCCGACCCGGCCGTCACGGCCGCCGCAGCAGGCAAGAGCGTGGAAGAGATGAAGCGCGTCCTGCGGGAGAAGCTCGAGCGCGGCAGCCTCGGCGCCGACAAGGGCAAGGAGAAGGAAAAGGACACCTCGACCCAAGACAGCACAGCACCCGCCCAACCCGCACCCGTCAAAGATGAGCCCTCAGCCATGGACATCGACGCCGCCTCCACCACCCAAACCGCACTAGCGACCACCACTCCCTCTACTACCACCAACAACAACGGCACAGCCAACCCCCTAACAACCCTCCCCCTCGCCCTAACCGCCGCGCGCGCCTCCGCCCTCGCATCCCACACCGAGCGGCACCTCACCGCCCTCGTCTCCTCCGCCGTGAACATCGAGCTGCAAAAACTCTCCCTCAAGCTCACGCAGTTCAGCGAACTCGAATCTCTCCTGCAAGCCGAGCGCCAGGACCTCGAAGCCCGGCGTGAGCAGCTTTTCCTGGATAGATTGGCGTTTCAGAAGAGGATCAGGGGTGTTGAAGGGGCATTCGCGCGGGCGGTTAGCTTGGTAGGCAGCGGTGGAAGGGAAGGGGTTGAGGAGGCGGGGAGGGTTGTGCGGGAGGCGGTAGGGGAGTGGGGCGTTCAGGGTGGAGAGGGGAGGGGGGTTGTGGTTAGGGCGGCGGCGGATGGGAGCGTGCCGGTAGTGGAGGTTAGGCCGTTGGGGGAGGGGGATGAGGGATTTAGGAGTTTTGAGATTTGAGGTGGGATGAGATTGGGCGCGTGCGGTTATTGGCGTTTGGATCAAATGGTGTCAGTGGACGGGACGGTGATCTGGGCAGTTGGAGTTTATGGCGCGTCTTTGGCGCGTATCAAGCTGTATCACGGTAACGCTGTGATGGTCCAGCAGGCAGGGCTATGGCTGGCTTCCTTTGGTACGCCACTGTAGTCCGTATAGAGAGTCGCGGAGACAAAATGTACGTTTGGCGTGCCTAGATATAACTTAATTGCTAGATCATCCCTTGTAGACACAGGCCGTGATTAGATTCTGCTGCGGGCAGTTGCTTGCGCGTCTCGAGCCATGCCCGAATAGACAGTTATCAGCTCCGGCTTCTACTGATCAATATTATACCATCAACACATTTCGTGCGGCATTACATACAAGTGCAGAGCAAGAGGGGAGCCTAGATAATATCTTGTCTGTTGTATTCTAACACTAGTGATGCTACTATAAAGGCGTGGTGTTGGTGCGACCGATTGCCGACTACGAACTTTCGACAGCTTCTTCTCATGAGTGCTCTTCTTCAGCCTTGCCCAATCACGCTTTTCCTCCCTCTCTTTCTGATGTTCTAGCAGCCCCTATTGGCGTGTGAATGCCCTCAACGAGCTTCCCCCAACGGGGCCATGTTATCCTTTCATCTTCATTCACGCTTCGAATGGACCACATGTTGGTCAAAAGTGCTCTCCGTCCTATTTTCACTTGATGAGTCCGTTTCAACCAGCTCCAGATGACTATCCGGCTCCTCGGGATCCTTCTCCGGTTCTTTGGCAGGGGTTTGAAAGCTACCTTTAAGGGCCATGCCTCATTAGCCCATTGGAGGGATCAAGGCGCCCTCGACTCAGCCATGATCTCAACGACATGCAGGCGCTCCTAGGCCTGCATTGTGGCTGACCGTGAGGCCATCTTGGGTTTCATGTTCCGCGCATGGACTGCAGGTTTGCGGCACAGCAGATCCCTGAGCATCAGAGTATATTTACAGCAGTACCATTCCTTTTGATTCGTCATTCAAGCTATTACAGCACCTTTAACTCATTGATACGCCTCCAAACGATGGATATTGGGGACGAAAATAATACCCCAAAGCCGAGGCTGAACAGGCAGGTGCTTGAGCGTCACGGGATTACGTATTCTGAGGATGTCCACGTAGATCAGGCCCTCCTCGGCCTGCCAGAACATGTCGCCCTACTCGCAGAGTTCTTGTTAGATTTTGAAGGACTCTTGGAGATCAGCAGCAGGCCGGTCCTTGAGAACGAATTCAGGAATCAGACAGGAAATGCTAGGCCTCCTCATACCTATGGCCCACCCGCGGAGTCAACATACTTCCAGGCACATGACGTGAACACAAGACGTTCCGAGAGAAACAAGGCGATTGACGAAGCCGAACTGAAGCAGAAATCCCTCATCGCGGAGGGAGCACGTTGGCTAGAAGATAATCAGAAGTCAGAAGACGACTGGGTATTCTATTTACGTGTCAACATCTTTAAGGCCTTCGAACAACACCAAGAGACAAGTTCAGAGCCATCACGATACGGGTAAGCCGCGTCATCTCGCCTATCGCAAAGTTCGTGTATCTAACATACTTCAAGGAAATTGTTCGATCGCTGGTCGATGTACGTGGCATCCCTGCCCTCTGCTGTCTTTTGAGGGAATGCCAGGCTAAAGTAACTTC